TTTATTTTGTAAAGAATAAACATAATTTATTATTATTATTTATCAAGGATTATACATAAGATTTATTTATTTAATATGAAACGAAAATAAAACTCACTAGAAATATATATAATGTATAAAATTATGTCATAACATATTATACTAGCAAACCATATAACACGTTGAAAGAAATCTTTTTCTCAAAAAAAGCAATTATAAAATTAATTTTATACTCATATACTTTAACAAAAATTAAAAAAGAAAAAAACAATATCGTAATACAATATAAATTCAAAACATAAAGTAAGTCAAATTAATCCTGGTTTTGAAAAAATTTTCTTGCGTGATATTTTATTCTCATTTTATATTATATTATTTATTTAACATATTTTATTTTCAATATTTATTTACTTTATTGCTTTTACACTTTTAAGTAACTTATTTTGAAAATTAATTCTTTTTTAGTTGATTTGTGTTTTATTTCCTTAATTCTTCTACACCCTAATGAAACAATGATAAGAAAATACATTTCTCACTTTGAATATTGCATTAGTAACAGAACTGTTCTTCATAATGAAAAATTCATTGGTACAAAATTACATATTTTTAGTGTTTTTTAAACTAAATGCAATAATAAAAATTTATAATTTCAATTACAAAATATGGAAGCTAATATTGATTTCTCATATGTTAGTAATATAAATAATCTATGATATTATATTATACACAAGAAAAAATTAAATTAATTAAATTTAAATTATTATAAAAAAATTTACATTGCTTAATAAATAATTGTGTTTTAAAAAAAACATAGTTGTCAAATCATAATAATGTTTATAAATTTATTCTTTCGTTAACAAGTCATCGAGGCGTTTTGATTTACGTCAAAGTGCCATAACTTTTTTTTTCTTTTATTTTTAACTCAAATAGCCTTCGTGAGCTTTTAAAGATATACGACCATAGGTATTTAACTATCAAATAATTATTGATTGATTTCTTTTTTTTTTTTTTAAAATTTGATTGATTGATTGTTTTTTTTTTATCCTTTTTAAGAGTTTGTATTCCAAACTCATAAAATCAGAATTAAAAAAAAACTTAACGTTCATCCTTTCTAAATTTGTATTCTAAACATTAACTTAACATCTAATAGTTAATTCAAACACTAAATATTACAAAAAAAATAGCGTGTAATATTTTGACCGATTTAAAAAGTTGTTATCCAACATATACATAACATTAATATTTCTTTCACTAAAAAAAATAAGGACATGATGATTTGTCACTCTCATGGCAGTGGGTGGGCAGTGGACTTTGCTTTGCTTTGCTTTCAACTACCACCAACACATTTTATTTTACAATAAAATAAACTCAAGCATTAGCACTTTATGTTGTTTAATATTCTGATATAAACTCTTAAGTCTTAACAAAATAAATTAATCTTATCTCCAAATCTCATCTGACTAAGACTTGTAAAAATAGAACCTAGCTATGTTCCTCCTTCCTCTAACACCAGGGCTTAAGTGCAATACAACAGAAAACAATGCTTAAAATAATCTATGGTATGGGTTTTAATATATATTTCTTTTTATTTATATCAAAGTGATGTTTAGTACCACAAAATAAAAATAAATAATATTTTTTTTCTAATGTTGAATAATATATGTATTAAAAATTGTAATTTATCAGTTATCACTTCAAATAAATTTAATTATTAGGTATTGAAAATTTTAATTTTAAGTACCCAAATGTGTTGACAATATACTTAAGATAGTTACATATTTTCCAAGCTAAAAAATAAATATTTAATAATAATAGAGTTTCAATTCATAAATGGGTCAAGTAATTTAATTAGAAGATAAATTTCAATATATGGTTTTGTAATAAAATGAATTTTTATTATTAATTTGTTTAAGTATATTAGCGTTGTGATATTATATACATAGTAACATAATAAAAAAAAAATCATATAGATTAGTTGTATTTATTACCTAAAAAATTATAAGTTTTAATTAATAATGTTTTTTATGTATTAGAATATTTTATATAATAATAATATATATAAGATTATGATTTAATTTAATTTAATCCTATAATTAATTGACAATCCTCTATATATATATATAATTGAATATAAAAAATATTCTCCTGAAATTTTATTTTCAAAATATCTATTTTTTTTTTGTAAAAACATGGTATCACTTGGGACTGACATTAGCATATGAGCCAACTTGATTTAAAATCTACAATTATAATTTAAATTTAACTTGAAATCACTTTATGAGTTGACTAGGGATTTATTGTAGCTATTTTTAGTAGCGTTTAGATGTTAGCTATTTTAATAGTTTTTCATAAAACGTAAAATCTAAACATTACATGAATTCACCTTTTATAATACGGTATCTTAACCTCTAAAGTTAGTTTAAATGCTTTGTCATCGAACACTATAAAAAATTACATTTAACCGATTAAAACATTAAAAGCTACTTAAAAAAAACTTTTAGTAATCCGTTTGCAATTTAAAGCAATTTAACTAGAATCCATTTAAAAAAAAAAAAAAAAAGAAAGAATATGACTAAGAACTATTCAAACACGAAATATCATGAGCCTAAAGTGATCTGATCCGAACTTGACCCATCCATAGGCCACTTGTCCAAAAATAAAGAAAATGATTCAATTGTGAAATTGAGAATCTGCTTTTTTGCTAGTGAGATATTATTATGTTTGGAACTTGAGAGACAAATTAAGATATTTTGAGCCATTTCTCAACTCGTGATTTTGATTTATTCATAGTAAAAGGGTAAACAAAATATCTCAAACTATTATTTTCCATTTTAATTTTTTGCTTTGAAAGTGAGATGGAGAGTTTAAAATGCTATTGTCAAAAAACTTTTCATATCTTCAACCACCAAGCAAATAATACTTTACTCGAATTCAAGTTTGAAAAACCAAGCTCAAAACCGATTTGGATTTGAAAAGTTAAGCTCAAGTTCAGATAGTTACAAAAAATCATTTACATGCTCGAATTAGAGTTCGAGCTTAACTGATCAAGCTTATCGAAAGGTTTATTTTTTAAAATTAAGTTTCAAGCAGCTCATGATCGATTTATCTTGTTTATCTTTATGTTTTTAAGTGAAATTTAAAATATCTGAGACTTATATATAATATCGAAAATAACTTCATATGTGCCAAAACAATAATAAAAATAACCCTTTTATCAAATAATTAAAATAAGGGTAATTATATCTAGAAATTAGCATATTGCATCTTTGAGGCTATTAAAAAACTTGTTTAAAATATTAGAGTCTCTCAAACAAAAATTTTGTAAAATCTTTTAGAGATCATAATTTTTTTTTTCAATGAAGTAATAATTTACAATAATATGTATATTTAAAATTTTTACTTACTTCCTGCCACTTGACCACTTGCTAGGTAAGACAGCGAAAGGCAAAAAATGGATTGAAAAAAAATATAAAAATGACTGATTCTTCCCTTAAAAAAAGGAAAAGTCTCATACTTTCATTTTCTAATGATGGTTTGTGATCTTATCCTAAAGAAAATGATGCTTATTGTCTTAATAATGACTTTGGTTTTCCTTTATTTATTAAGAATATTAATAAAAAAATATAAAAATTTTAACACTTAATTGAAACGTGAAATAGTTAAAATTTCAGTGGTAGGTGCGTTTTATAACCTGATAATAGATCTATGTTTGAATCTCTCTCCTATAGTTTAATTTCAATTAAATTGATGAAATAGAAAATTGAACTTTATTTTTTATAAAAATTAAATTAAAATATAATTAATAGGAGATCAAATTGAAATATTTTGATTTTGATTCGATTCGATTTAATTAATTTGGTAACCGAACTGTGGAAACTTCAATGAATTATTAAATATTTATTGGTTGAATTTGGTAACCGATGTAACTTAGCATAAATAATATATTAGTTAGTTAGTTTTGCATCTCTCTTTCTCTGCCAAGTAACATAGTTTTAGCAAATTTCAATTCAGTTGGGTGAAATCAAATTTTTTGTATAAAAAATTAAAATTAAAGTAATTGAAAATTATAAAATTGATTAATCAAATTGAATCGAAAATTTGAAAAATTAAATTTAATCGGCTCGGTTTTATATTTTAATTAAAATTGATATATGCACATCCCTCTCAATGATAATTTTTTTTTATTTCTATAATTTATCTTCCAATAAATCAAAAAGGAAAAAATTAATATAAGAAATATAAATCCTTGTAAAATTTAAAAGAGAAATTGTCTAGTAATTTAAGTATGAGTGCCAAAGTGATTATAAATTGTTTTAGTCAGTATTTCACATTTAGTCTATAAATAAATATTTTTAATTAAATACAGTAAATATAAAGGTTAGAACAACAATTTAAAATTCAATACTTAACTCTTAAAAATAATTCAATAATAATGTAAAAATGTACATCATCGGAAGAATTTTAACTAAATACTATCTCAATTCTAAGCATGAAAACACATTCACAAATTTAAAAAAAAAAAAAAATCCTAATTAATGTTGGTCTAATTTATATGGGAACTTTGAGATTTCATATTCAAGACTTCTCTGTCACGAGAGTTTTTTATAATTTGGTGAGCAAAAGAGAAAATTATTTTGTTGTTTAGCTTTCAATATTCTTTTGGTCCAGGTACTAGTTTGGTTGATCTTCTCATTTATGTGGAGAGTATGGAATTTCGAGTTTGAATCCTCTCAACCACAGTTGTTTTCACCCGTTTCGCAAGCCAAATTTGGCCCAGGCCTCCAATGAATTAAAAAAAAAAAAACTCTTAAAAATTGTAAAGTTTATAATTAAAATATTCAATTTATTTGATTGCTAATATATTTAGTTATTGATTACTAAATACCAAATGCTTGCATTAAAAAATAATGTTGGATGTTATAAAAAAAAAAAAAAATTTTTAAAAAACACGACCCATTTGGATCCCTCATAGTGAGGGCATTCGCATCAGTCTATATAGTCAAAAGTTCAAAACACAAAAACACTGCATTTAACTCCCTTTAATCACCCTTAAATCTCGCATCTTAATCACTCCGTCCCTTCCCTAGATTTCCTCATCCATTTCTCTCTCCTCTGTCCAAACAAAATGAGCTCTTACTCTTCTTCTTTCACTCTTTGCCTCTGCTACTGCTTTCCTAATCGTCCCCATGATCACCACTAGCTTCAATCTCTACATCACAATTTTCTTCCTCTTTCTTGCATTGTTTTCTTTATGGGTTTCTTAAAAAATGAAACACCTAAACACCTAATTTGCACATGCAAATGCTGTTTATATTCTTTTCTTCAAAACCCATTTGAGAATAACGGATTTTTGTTTGTTTTAAGCTTTTTATAGTCCTGGTAATTATATAAGTTGATAAAAATTGAATTATAGGACTGGACAAAGTTCTTGAATTTGTGGGGTCTTTTATGTTTACTGTTTGTATAGTTATAGTACCAGTGGCAGTGGAAACATATAGAGGAGAAAAATGATAGGGTCAGGGATAAATTTGGTGATGACTGTTATAGGATTTGCTGTTAGTACTATGTTTATAGTATTTGTGTGCACCCGTTTAATTTGCGCTCGGATTCAGTTAAACGCATCAAGACGCTCATTTCCTATTACATCCAGATCTGATCTTAGCATTGTAAGCGTTTCTTTCCCATTCAATGCACAATTCACTTTGCTTTTCTCTCTTTTCTGTTTTTTTTTTTTTCTTTAAATTTTAAAATTTTCTCCTTTCTTTCTTCGGGGTTCGTGTGACTTACACATATTCAAGTAACTGTTTTTGTATGCCATAACTTACACTTTACAGTTCTATGTATGGTAATTGAAATTGGGTTCTTAGGATTTTCGATTTTCTGTTTATTTGGGTGGAATTCTGAATCGAGTAATTATTTGGGTAGACTCGGCTTGGATTTTGATTCTAAAGTTATTATGGTACTTCTTTTAATTGAATTTTTTTTTCTGAAGTCATTATGCTTCTTATTTTATTCTCTCAAACAGCTTTGGAAATGAAATAGGAAGGATAATAGACATCTCATCTTCCAAGATTCCCATTCCTTATTTTTTCCAGATAAAGTATAATTTAGTAATCTTAAAATTTATTTTCTTATTTTCTAAAATTAGATTCCTAGATTAAATTCCTATTGTTCAAATATAAAATTATTGTAAAACAAACAGCAAGATAGAATCTATTCCAGCAATTATATTCTGTTCCATTTTTAGAGCAAACCAAGTAGAATTTTTTGTTTATTTTCAGTTATTAGTTTCATATAGTATTTGGTTTCAAATTTGGAAATCTATTATTAACTGCCATATAAAGCTATCTAGAACATGCTAAATGATGAAATTTCCCAGACTTAAACATCGTTTTTCCAACAAAATTTTAAATGTATTTGAAATTAGAAGCTTAACTAGTGTTCTCAACATCTGTGCTACAGCTGGAACGAGGATCACATGGGCTTGAGCCTGTAATTGTTGCAAACTTTCCAACGAAGAAGTACAATGATGAACTTTTCTTGGCATCAGAAGATGCACAGTATGTTCTTTTTCACCCAGTTTATATTTCTGTTTGATGCTTTATACTCTGGATCATATGCTGTGAACTTTGTGGACAGATTTGGGTTCTCTTGATATTCTTATAAATGCCCAAAATTTGCAATGTCTCTTACAAGTTGATGCTTTTTGCCTTTTTGTTTCTTTTGGTGATGTCTATTGATAAGGGATTGTTTTTAACTGAACAACAAAGATATTAACTATTTCATTTTTGAAATATTGTGCATTTTTCAAGCAAGCATTAGCTTAAGTTGTCAGTGTTTTGTATGCTCACACCCAGGTAACGGTGTTGGATACATGTGCATCTTACAGGTTAGTTGCAATTTTATCATGTCAAGTTCTTTTTGGTTGGTGTTTAGAACACTAAAATTGTGCCATCTAAGTGGCACCCCTTGTTTGATGTTTCTAACTTGAAATGTTATCTTAATATTGTACATTTGTATTTGGCAACTGGCAATCTATATATTGCAGCTGAATTTGACCTTTTCTTTTGGTCAAATATCCCATTGATCTTGTGCAAGAAAATATGAATTAATTGTACTGTTCTGGGGCTATGTCTACTAATTCAGAATGCCTTAGAAAGGATTTATACTGATTTTGTTTTCTTTATTCGTGATATTAAAAAGACAACCTATAAAACTGCTTCCCAAAAAGCATCTGAAATTGGATAACCATAACAGATAACATAAGAGTTCTCTAACAAGATATGTCCTTGTTGTATTTATGTTTATATTATGTGTAATGATTACAATAGAGCCTGCAAGCAAAACTTGAGGTTTGAAGTGTGCCTATAAATTACTGTCTGAACATGATGAACACACCTTTGAAATTGATTGGTACCTAGCACATGGATTGAATTATTGGCATTTTATTATAATAAAGAATTAGTTCCCTTAGATTATTTAGACTGAAATTACTTATTGTAAGTTTCATCAAAGAACTGCATCCTGCTAAAATTTGCTATGCTTACTTCAAGTCATTGATATTGTAAAATCTCTGTTAGCAACAAACTTGTTGGAAATGCTTTGCATTTATATTATTTTGCAATTTCTCAAATTCTTGCTATAAAGCAGTGAGTTACTGCATACGTGGCAGATGCACAGTTTGCCTTGCTGAATACCACTGTGAGGACAACTTGCGGATTCTCCCCTATTGTGGGCACTCCTTCCATGTTACTTGCATAGACATTTGGTTACAGCAGCATTCCACTTGTCCTATTTGTCGAATATCATTGCGTGAAATTCCCGAGAAAAAGCATATGATGCAACCCTTGTTCAGCTCAGCTATTCGTGCTCCGTATGGCACAGAGTCCTTTGATGCCCACTCGTACAACTGCTTGTTGACGGCACATGGGCTTTCGTCAAGAACCCATGATAACCTAGTCAATGACTCCATTCAAGAGAGTCATTGTGTGTCCGAGGGCCATGAAGCCGAAGCTGGAGAAAATTTATCCTCCATAACAGAGGGTAATGAGATCATAAAAAGCTCGGGAAACAAGCATGTAGAGAGCCCCTCCAACCCATAAATCTTCAGGCGTCAAAGTCAAAACCGAAATCTGGAGCCTGCATTCATTGTCACTTTCAAATTTACAGAGTTCAAATACTCATATTATGAAGTTCAAAAGGTTGGTACTGAAATATTTCCATGAAGTTTATTTCTCTTCACTGTAAATATTACATATGTGATTTAATTTTTACTCTTTGCCTTGCAACAGTAGCTGGTTTGTGGGCAGTTTTGTTAGTTAGTTTCGGTTGTAAAACTAGAATCATTTCTAAAATGTTTGAATGAGGTAATAATTCTTTCTGCTCTCTTTCTTTCCATGTGCACTATCCAATCAACATCAACAGTTGGATTGCATAATCTTTTTTCTTTTTCTTTTAATGGGTTCCTGAAATGATGCAACTGAGGTAGTGGGGTTGGAAATGTGATGTGCTGTATATTATAGATCTCTGGTTTCTGTTGTATTATAGCGAATGTGTAGATTCCTTATAAAGGCCAAAATTTCAGATTCCACTGTGGTTGGGCTGATCTTGCTTTTGAGTGGAGGTACACTCCTTTGGCCTTTTTTGTCCTCTCACGTATCATTATTCTATTCCTAATACAAATGTTAGAGTTTAACAATAGAAATTTATTGGTGTTGAGTACGGATTTATTTGGCTTAATCATTAAAAAAAAGCCTTAACTTTTGAGATGTTTTTCACATTTGGCCAATTCTCTTCATTTTGTCAATTAATATCATGAATTTATTTTTTATTGTCAATTCTAGCCTTCGTAAAAAATTTCGATTGGGTGCAATCAAGTGATGCATATTCAGGAGCAAAAAAAACCTACTGACCGTCGAGTTCATTAGTTGGAAAGTCATACTAGTCGAGTTCATTAGTTGGAAAGTCATACTAGATTCTTTCAAGCTTGGTAGGAGTTGAAGGAAATTGTCAACTTAAAGATTCTAAAAATAATGATGGACGGTCATGTGGATATAAGTTGACATGTTTATGGGTCAATTAAAAGTCAATAAGCGATAAATTAATGGACTCTGGGCAACAAATTAACGGATTCTGGACAAAAGCTATAATTGACATAGAAAAATAAGAAGTAATGGATAAAATTAAAAATATTGACCCAATCTATTAAGAATGTCAAAGTTTGGACTTTTTTATGATTTATTTTATAAAGCTTTGTTTTTTCGATTCATAGCATTTGTTTTTTGCTAAAAAATGTTAGATGAGGCATCATCATAGTTTTTCTTTTTTATTTCTTTTATTATTTGCTAATTTCATTTTCTTTTAATTTAGATATTAATTAAGTTGAAATTAATTATATGAATTAATTTTTTTAATTAACTAAATTAATAATGTTTATATTTCAAATAGTGAAATTTTTTATTTTTTTGATAATTATGAGATTAATAATTAAAATCTCAAGATTGTTTTCCCAATGCTCCAGAAATTTAGGTTTTCAAATTTCCATTGTTTTTTTTCTCTATTTCTATTCACTTTGAGAAAATCAGATAATAAGTCAAAAGTATTTTCTTTATCTCAACTATGTATTATTAAATAAATTATAAAATTTCTAACAACATTGAAATTCAATTATTAAATAAATAAGGAAGACTTTGGCATCCAAATGAATAATGTTATTTGAATTTCTAAAAATAATAATAATAAAGTTGCACATTCCATGCAGCGTGGATATAATATAGAAAAACTCAGAAAATATTTTAGTTTCCTTCTATAGTCATGAAACGTAAAATATAATATCAGAATAATTAAAAACATATTGTACCAACTAAAATAACTTAATTTAATTTTCATATATTATTCAATTTTTATTAAAAAATTCTTCTAATAATCATTGAAGAATAGAATACATCACATGGCTTAAAGAAAAGATAGAAGTGTTGCTTAGATTAGATATTTTGGATAAAGGGAGGAGATCATCATTTATCATTCTTTTTAGTGATATTTATCTGAAGGAAATCATTACTCTTTTGAGAACAAAGCTTTTCTCAATTTTCAACTTTCCATTATATGATACTTCTTTGTCTAATATTAAAAAAAAAAAAAAAAAAAAAAAAAAAAAAAAAAAAAAAAAAAAAAAAAAAAAAAAAAAAAAATCCAAAGATTTTTATTTGATAAGTCGTAATGAATGTAATGTTATCAAATGAATCTTTATAACCAGTTTAGTCAGTCACAATGAAATATAATCAAATACATATTTCATATTTTAAAATAAAAAGAATAAATTAATTTTTCCTTTATTCACTTATATTTCAGCTCTCTCCCTCTGAATCTAAATCATTATAATTTTTATTTTTATATCAAATATAACAGTTTTGATAATAAAAGGAAAATTTATTTTTCATTTGGATTAATATAAAACTACTTAATATGTTAGTGTAATTAAAAATACCACACTAAATTACTTCCATATTAAAAAAAAAAAAAAAAAGGAGGTTGATGGGACTATAAAACAGTTGGGACCATTTTTTAGTTGAAAAAAATGAGGATGGGAAAGTGATTTTGCAAAAAAAAAATAATTAAATTAAAAAAAAAAAAATTCCATCAGTAAGTATGAGCCTGCATGATGCTAATTGAAAAGAATAGATAAACCGAGGGACAAGCAAGATTTTGCCAAATACAACATAAGGGAAAAAAGCACTTGGGCCTGTTCAAGTAAAGAGGATAACATAAGAAAAAGTTATAAATTATTATTTTGGAACATTCATAATGTAGTGCCAAAAAGACATTCTTTGGGATGCTACATTTGAATCACAGTCTCAATCCTATATTCCTTAACCATGATGTGATTGCGAAGAATTTGTTCCCTAAAATGAATCTTATAAGTGGATGTAATATTAAATAATTTCCAATAGCTAAAACATGCTCATTTGGGTTTGGAATCACCGCGCTGCATTAAACTCTCCCAAGTCGATAAGACCTGCAACACTTCACTTTTGCACTCAGTAGAGTCCTTCTAGGTCGATCCGAAGTTTTTTATCAAGGAACACAACCATCCTGGACAGTCAACCCACTTTACAACATGTGGGGTTGCAGAAGGAATAGCTAAGGCGGGATTCCATCAAGTTGCAGGTTTTGCGGCGATTAACCTGGACAACCAAATCGGGAGAAAACCTTGCAAACCCAAAACAAAATCAATCTCCGGTTTGAATTAAATAACCCAAAACAAAGAAATCCTTTGTTGTGTGTTTAGCTCAAGGAAACTTCAACCGTTCGGTTGTAGAACCAAAGGCCAAATCCAACATTTCATTCTCCTCGTCAGAGTTGGGGGATTTCTCTACTTTAAAAAAAAAAAAAAAAAAGGGTTGAATGGACTATAAAACAGTTGACCATTTTTGTGAAAAAAATGAGGATGAAAGTGATTTTTTGGCAAAAAAAAAATAATAAATTTGAAAAAAAAAAAATCCACAGTAGTATGAGCCTTGCATGATGCTATGAAAAGAAATAGATAAACCGAGGACAAGCAAGATTTTGCAAATACAACATAAGGAAAAAGCACTTGGCTGTCAAGGTAAAGAGATAACAATAGAAAGTTATAATTATTATTTGGAACATTAGTAATGTAGTGCAAAAGACATTCTATTTGGATGCTACATTTGGAATCAACAGTCTCAATCCTATATTCCCTTTAACATGATGTGAATGCAAGAATTTGTTCCCTAAAATGGAATCTATAAGGTGATGTAATAAATAATCAATAGCTAAAACATGCTCATTGGTTGGATAGCTGCAAAACTGTGATAACTGCAACACTTACTTTGCACTCAGTAGAGTCTTCTAGTGCGGTTTTGGAACATAACCATCGACAGCAAAATTCCGTGTTGCAGAAGGAATAGCTAAGCGGATTCCATCAAGTTCAGGTTTCGCGATTACCTGACAACCCAATCGAGAACTGCAAAACCCAAAAACAAAATCAATCTCGGTTTTTAACCCAAAAGAAATCCTTTGTTGTGTGTTTATGCTCAAGGAACTCACGTTTCGGTGAGACCAAAGGCCAAATCCAACATGTCATTCTCCTCGTCAGTTGGGTCTTCTAATTTATTGTAGTATTCCAAATCCTATCATAAGATTCATGTAGTTAAATCCCTTCTTTAAGTTTAACATTATAATGGAATCACTGCATAAGGAGACTTTTAGTTGCATACCATAACGATCACATGACATGTTGAACAAGCAAGCGAGGCTTCACATGCTCCTGATGACATCAAAACTATCATATTAAAACTAAAAGGAAATTGCCATTGTAGAAATTTACAATCTATTTTCTGCTTTTATAATTGATGAAGACAAAAGGAACTAGGGGAGATGAATCGCTGTTGCAAATTAAAGAAAACAGAATATTCCATGACTATGATAACTATCCATGAGTGGCCAAACTGCAATCACTGGACTTCAGTAAAAGCATTGCCATCCAATAAAACTTGCTTACAGATAATACAAGTTATAATCAACTCAGCGGTGGACAATAATAAACTAAAGCTGCAACATATAGTTCTTGCCTTCAAGTTCTATATCATTTTCATGAGCAGCTTCTAACATAGACATTCCTATTGGAACCTTGATGTGCTTTTCCTCTCCATCCTTATCCACAAAGGTTACAGATATCCTGCAAATATCGCCTAAATGAGAAGAAATAACGGCAAGATCTACTTGCAGATCTAAAAATAAAAAGATGATTGTTGTGGCTTGTTTCACCAAGGATGATGGTTAGTTCTATTCTTCAATTGCAAACGAGTGCAAACAATTAAATGTTTATCCATATTGCCATGACATAAGAATTATGTAGAATAGACATGAGACTCCATGATGGAAAAAATAATGGAAGAATGAATTCACTAATACTTGAAAGAACTAACATCACCAATTTAGCAAGTAGCTGCATATTCTTCTGCACATGATGACTTCACTTTGGAAGTCTAAATGCTATATGCCACAGTTGAATATGCAGATCCTAATTGTCCACTTAATTTAACTCTCCAGTACTTTGGAAACCAAGTAATAAGTCATAAATTATGAATTTGATGAGTTTCTTTGACTATATAATACAGACATGTCTCTGAAAATTAAGAGAGGCATCTAGCTTTGACTTTAGATAGGTCATGGAAACTCCTCAAAATGTAGAAACAGAAAACATGACTGTAAATGTTTGTTTCCAAAACTGCTATATTAATTCTACCCGAGTCAAGATTAAATATATTCAATCGCAGAATAGCAGTAAATCATAATAAATTTATATATTTTCTTATAATTCTTAAGTCTATTATTGGGAGAAGATAAATAGTTCAATCTCATACAACAAAAGTGTTCAGTGTATGATGATGCATCAAATCCCAATTAAATACAAAATACAACTGCGAATACAACAATACGCTAGAAGTTAATTATCTATAATTTACAACCAAGCAAATTATTTCAGACAAAATAAGACAATGCAGAACTATTATTTGTAGTTCATCCAGCAAGCCAGCCTAAAAGTTCTTGGAGAATGATTGATCTTATTCGAGGTAGTAGAGAGAATGATTGACCTTATTCGAGGTAGTAGAGACTCACCAGCCAAGTGAATGAGAAACATATGAGCAATCAGTGGATTCTTGGTGAGTCCAGGAGAATCTTTGGAAATTACTATTCTAAGTCCTCAGAATTTACTTAAGACAGTATCTAATGATATCAGAGTTTCTGTTGTCATCTGAGTTTTCCTTCCAAAAATTATAGAAGTATAAGCTCATGCATTCACCATATTTACCACGATGTCGGGACAGAATAACCAAATTTCAGTGAACACTAACCAACGAGATTACTGCTCACGAGGATATAGGTTCTCTCAAAATCTAACTTAGACTTTAAAAGAATATAGCTACTTAAACTTTTTAATGATATTTATGTCATTCTGAAAGGGTGTCATTATTAGCTTTTCACCCTTGAGATATAGAAAGGCATACATTTATCTAGCATCATAAAATGCCACATGTTATCAATTCAAAAGAGCTTACTTTTCCTCGCTTTCATCCACAATATCAGTACTAGAAGTTGTCGTAGAAAACAGATGATGCTTCTGAATTAAGGTACCTTGGAACACCTTAGTCACTGGATGCAATTCAAACTGTTCCCAAAGCAAGAACCAATTAATATATATAAATTAGAACAATGGGGCAAATAGAAATTTATTTTCAGATAAAAATAGGTCTTCTAACTATAAACCACTCAAGATTCCTAACCAGATTTATAATGCATGATTTCATATGTTTAATCAAGTGATCCTAGTTTATGCAGATGCCAGGATCCTGCCTCAGGTGGTGAAATGGTGGAGCAAAGTTCAAAGGCCTAGTGTTCTTCAAATCTCATCAAGCAACCATGGGCTTAAAATTCATATCAAGTCTACAGCATTTACAATAATGAGAACTCATACATCTTCTCTAAATACCGCTTTTCTTCAATATTTTATTTATGCATCTCTTCAGTTTAATTTTTGCAATACCGGCAAACTTACTTTTTCTAACTAGGTTCCCAGCTCAACGGATGCCTTTCAGTCCCATGTCCAACGATTCATAGACTCAGAATTTTTCTAATAAATTGCAAACATAATGCTGAACTGCCACATGTTTCAGAAAGAAATTTAGAGAAATAGTTACTCAGTTTGCATAGGTATTTAATTACCAGGGATATTTTTGGTTTTTGACTTTGCAAGAGAAGGGGTTCATTTTACAATACCTACCTAAGTATTTTTATAGCTCTTCTAGCACCAAGTTGTTTAGATTATTGAAATATGAAGTTGAGTTTAGAAATTGTTTCCTTCAGTTTGTTTTCATTTTCCGGTCCCTTTCTAACCATATTTGCACATTAAAATGTCAACACAAATGGGTAAATTATCAAATCTAACCGGTTCCTTGCTGAAGATAATTGCTGGAAAACCACTTTTCTCGTGATGTATATTCTATTCAATATTTATCACCATAAATTAACTAATCGACTATTACACCAAATAGGCAATATGACAAAAAGATGATTACACCAATCCCCTGGAGCTCAAACAGTATTTGGAGGTAAGGGTTGTTGCAGGTAATCAAGACAAATCCTCAACAGATCTAACATTAAGCTTTTGCATGGAATCTTTCTCAGGTTAGGCATTTAACAGCCAATCATTCATGTATCACAAGAAACAAGCATCCAGGTGAACCACTATAAATTTCTTCAACAAAAAGAAATAGCTATGACAGCTAATATCAAACTAATTTTTTTTGGGAACTGATATCTATCTGATCTGAAAAACTAGATATCAATAATACTGATCATAGTTATCTAAATATTACTCACTAACTTGTATGAGTTGCCATACAACCAACTTACAGATGAAGCAGGACAAAGGAAATGATAGAGCGCCAACAGTCTGTTCATTGAGAAAAAAAAGAAACAATAAATGCAGATTCTATAGCACATACCTGAGGTCGCCAATATTGACTATAAGTTGCTTCTACAAATCCTGTTCTACACAAGGATGTACACATACCTGTGCAAAAATGATGCAATTTGACAATGTCAGTTAGAGAAATTATGAATTTTTCTGCTATATTGTTTCTTTAATTGAGCTTCCTTCTGAATGAGTGAATATATCAGATATACATATTCCTAAACTATCCAACAGCTACAGCTTCCAAATTATAAACCCAGATGGGAAATGTGAAAAATACCTCTAGAGAGATGTTTAACTATCCCAACTCCAATTCTTGAGATTCTAGAAAGTAACATGGCTGTACCACCTCAATGACTCCTATATTCCAGAAAAAACAAAGGGAATTACAGAAAGCGCATATTACATCTTGAAAATAGCAATCAAAGTTCAACGACAAAAAAATATATAAAAAAAGAAAAAAAAAACACAAATCTCCTGAACTAATGAACAAACTGTGAGAACTAGAAAACAGCCAAAAGCACATTGAGGATGGATTAATAACATTCCAGTTTATAAAACCAAATGTCCTAAAAATTACAAAACATTAAAAAAGAAAAAAGCAAAAAGGGGAATAAAACCCAAAAGCTAGTTCAAATTAGTAATGTTTGACGCAACCAAAGATGGATCAGAAATGAGAATTCAATAAAGAAAAAGAATAGCTCAAGGATAAACCTTTTATTATTGTTCAGATTCATTAAATCATCATTATAAGGTTTTGAAGAGGTTTCTTTATATGAATGTGTCAAAGTTTCAAATTTGAGCAGAAACCAATGAAGCATCGAATCTCATTGGGAAAGGCAAATATTAACATCAAAACCTTCTCCATGATACACATCAAAAGTTTCCTTTTTTATTAAGGCAACATCCTCGAGCTGGGGACGATCTAACCAAAGTCATGAAACAGTACTTCTATGAATGATAGAGCAAAAGATTGGCTAAATAGAGTTGATTTCCTAATTACTCGTACCACAGAGATCATTCACTACTTATAATTTCAAATTAGATAACTCAATACTATGTAAGATCATTAGGGTTCAGCTATGGAGAGGTCATAATCAAAGCATTCTTCATTTTATCTTCAACATAACATTATTTTGCATTACAACTTCAAAACCTATTCTTTAATGTTACAATGAATATACCAAACCCAGCAAATTCATAACCACAATAACAGAATCATAAAACAGAAATGTTGCAAGAAACCCTTTTCAAGTTTCAACCAAGACTAATAAAATCAAAACAAATGGATAAACCTCTTTACAAAATCTCAAAAATCAATGTGATTACAAAACTAAGGGAAAAGGATAAAGACACTATGATGTTTAACAGAAAGAAGAACAAGAAATTGCACCTGTTCTGGGTGAAGCAGTTGCCCAAACCAAAGAGAACAGCCAAAAACTAAAATGCCACCTGATTTAGGAAATTAGGTTAACGAAAAGGATGAAGCCCAGCTTGCTGATGGTGAACGCGTTTCCGTTTCGTTTCTTTTCTTTCGTCGCCTGCAGGGACTTATTTTGTTTTTTCTTTTCTTTTGTCGTTCGGCTTCATTTGGGTGCTGTAATTATTATTCGGGTGGGTTTGGTAAATTGTAGGGGTTAAATTGAGTAATTTGCAACTATTAATGGAGCAAGAAAAGGCAATGCAAAAGTTTTAGGAGTGAAATTAAAATAAATAAAAAAAAGAAGGCACAAGATTAGTGTTATAAATTATAATATAAAATTTAGAAATAACTACTTGAAATAAATTAAATATAATTTCACTTTAAAATTAGGTGGCTAACAACCTTTATTTTATTTTATTTTTTCAAAAAGACTTATAAAGTAAATTAAGATTTATTTTTTATTTTTAAATTCAAATTTTAAATTGAATTTATATATACTGTTATAATAAACATACAAAAATAAAATATTTCAAAATATATTCGAATAAAGTTAGATATTTCGACCAAAAAAATAACATTTATCCTTTATTTTACAAAAATTGCATAATTATTTTTTTAATTAATTATAATATGATGTCATAAACCAATTTTAATTAATTGTAATTGCTTTTCAATTTTTTCACATACAGCGAAAGCCTTACAGTTGTATGAAGAAAAAAAAAAAAAAAAAAAAAATATTTTTAAATTAAATGTTTAAATTGGAAATGCTATATATACTGTTATAATAAACATAAACAATTAAAATATATATATATTTCAAAAGTATATTCGAATAAAGTTAGATATTTTCGACCAAAAAAATAACATTTATCCTTCTATTTACAAAAATGCCATAATTATTTTTTTAATTAATTATTAATATGGATGTCATAAACAATTTAATTAATTGTAATTGCTTTTCAATTTTTCACATACAGCGAAAAGCCTACAGTTGTATGAAGAAAAAAAAAAAAAAAAAAAAAAGAAATTCACTCTTTAGAAAGGTTTTTCTAAATGTCCACTTTGGCGCTAGTGGTAGAAGTATGGTACTGATCAAGGAATAAAAATCTACCATATAATTTCCTTATCAAGACTAGATACTTCCTTAATAAAATTAGTAATATATAAACTTCACTTTTTTAATTATAGGAATAAAATCAAACCTAATAAAAAAAAAAAAAAAAAAAAAGAAATTCACTCTTAGAAAGGTTTTTCTAAATGTCACTTTGGGCGCTAGTGTAGAAGTATGGTACTGATCAAGAATAAAATCTACCATATAATTTCTTATCAAGACAGATACTTCCTTAATAAAATAGTAATATATAAACTTCACTTTTTTAATTATAGAATAAAATCAAACCTAATTAAATAACAATGCAATTTAATTATTTAAAAGGATATTAAATTATTTAAGGTCATGTTCGGCAATTTTAGCTGTTTTAATAATTGTTATATGTTTTACTAACGGTTAACTGTTTATAGAGCGATTTAGAATTAAAGTGTTCGGTAAAATAACTGTTCGATTACCTATGTAATATAAAACGACAAAAAACATTAAAGTGAAGAACAAAATAAAGATAAATAATGAGTATATGAATCATAAAAAATTTATAAAACACTCAACGTTAATAAAGATAACGTTTCATGAAATACTACTTTAAATTCTAAACGTAATGATAGATATTATATCACCGAATGCTATAATTAATTAAAATAATATTTTAATCCAATTAAAATACAACATACTACCCGAAACACGGCTGCCAAACAGTGTCTAAGAAGACTCAGGAAGCACAAGTTTGTTTGTGATCCTATTAAGAAGTTGATAATTTATAATTGGAAAAGATGATCATAACCACACTAAATAATTGAAAACTAAATATGGATGCTGAAAGTTTAATAGCTGTCTTGGTAGGTGTGGATGGTCCAATTTTAGCTTAACTATCTTAATTATTGTGTATAGAATAGGGCAAGCAAAGGTCTATACATTTCCAAGACAACTAAAGTCCTCATCAAGGAGATAGAAATTTTATTACACCTAAAGTCATTGAGCAAAGGACTATATATTTCTACGTATATATTTAATTTTGAAAAGGACTTTAGCTGCATGCTAACTATTTGATAGATACTCCAAGCCACTCAACCATATAATAGACTTTTGATTATCATTGAATGCTATAGCATCAACTATATATATATATAATATAAGTAGCATAGAGATTTTTTTTTTTTGTCAAATTTTCTCAATCACTGTTTTCACCGCTATAACGAGCTATATAACGAGTTTATGAGAGAGTTATTCCATATTGTATAACTGATAAAAAGACTAAGTAAACGGTCGATTAGATGCAAATGGTTAAAAACCATGGTTATAAAATATAAATTGAAAATTTTTTAAACAATTCGGACCAAAATTTACATTTGAATTGCACGAACTAAATTCAACAAGTTAATTTGGTATGTTTTTGTCGGTTTTTGCTATTTCAGTTTGGTTTTAAACCCAATCGATAAATTTTTGTGTAATCGACTCGAATCGAACAATAAATTCGATTCAAACTCAACCTTTTTTGGACACCTGACCGAATTGAACCAAAATAAATCGGTTCAATTTTCAATTCGGTCTATAGTTTTGCTCACCCTTAACTGATAGTATTATTCCAATTTATTAAATCTCCTAATAAATAAATTTTATATATACGACAAAAAGGTAAATTACAAATTACAGTAACATTCATTTAAAATGTTTTATTTTCATTCCAAAAGAGTATCATTATCAATAATAGAAAACAATTCACATTATATGGCATATATAGAAAATTATTTGTGTTACCATAATTGACCTTTCAAGCATTTTTAAGTCCTGGGCTTGATCTTAGCTCTAAGATTATTCTTCATAACCACAGTAAATTCCAATTTACCAGTGAAATCAATCTTTTCATCTGGTGGATAAGCACTCCATTCAAATTCTTGAACCATTCTTGCAATCATTAAATGTAAATGCACCGTTGCTAACCCTAAACCAGGGCATATTCTTCTTCCTACACCAAACGGTGTCATTTTGACACCGGTGACTCCGGTTATATCTGCCTGCTCTTTTCCTGAAGAAAATCGATCCGGATTGAATTTTTCAGGGTTAGACCAAATTCTTGGATCCTCCCCTATAGCAGTAGAAAAAATCTCTACATTTGCATCAATTGGAATATCATACCCTCCTAAAGTTGTAGCTTCAGTGACTGCATGAGTTAATAAAAAAAATGTTGGAGGGTGTTTACGTAATAATTCTTTTACTACTGCTTGTAGATACTCCATTTTCTCTACATCTGTCTCAGTAACCTTTTTATCCCCCACTACTTCTTTTATTTCATTGTACAACTTATTTTGAACATCAGGATTGTCAATAAGTTGTGCAATGCCCCATTCCACCGCAGTAGCCGTCGTGTCGGTCCCGCCATTGAGGAACTCCGAGCAAAGGGTCACCAGTTCTTGGTCCGACGGTGAGGATTTTCTCCCTTCGATTTTTAGGCCAAAAAGGGTATCTAAATATGAGAAAGAAATTGCTTTTGGATCTGATTTAGGGTTTTCTAAAGCTTTTCGACGTTTTTGGATCAATGGAACCATGAATTCAACTTGTTCTTTTCTAACTTGGGATACCCTTTTTCTTTGTTTAGAGAAAAAAGGGCTTAAAATGGGAAGAAAATCATCAATTCTTGGATCAAGAACAATCAAGACTGATTTCATTATTTGATCCATCTTGATAATTGTTTCTTCATCCATTTCAAGACCAAAACACATAGCTAAAAGAATACAAAAAACAGCAAACCTTGCATTTCTTAGCACCCAAACAACTCCGTTATTACTTTCTGCTTCATTTCTAAGCCGATCGATAAATTTATCCATCGCATCATCTCTTACATGGCGAAACTCCTTAATCCTACTTGAACTAAGCATATTTTGCACCATATTCCGCCTTAAAGACCGCCATACAGGGCCGTAAAGGGCGGCGTTGACGGTGAACTTGTTACAGCTAAAAATAGCTCTTGTAGGGTTTTCACGTGGCCTAGTAGCGAAAAGAGGACCTCTTTCGATAAGTGCTTCATGTACTAATTTAGCATCACTTAGAATTATAAGCGTTCTTGTTCCCATCTTTAAAGTAAAGATCGGACCATATTTTGGAAGTAACTCTTCTATATACTGAAAAAAGGGTTTACCTGAACGAGCAACTTGAAAAAGATTGCCAACAATAGGCCAACCGGTTGGCCCTGGAGGAAGATTTAGATTCTTGGATTTAGATTTGCAATAAAACAAGAAAGCAAAGCAAGAAATGAAAAAAGCAAGAATGGTAAAGAAAAGGCTGTTGTAAGAGGAAAGAGAAAAGGTAGAAGAGATAACAGCCATTGTTTTGTTTTTGTGTGAGAAAGGAAAGAGAAGGTGTTTGATGGAGTAGATGATGAATGTAGAATGGGTATAAGAATGGGAAGAGCATGAAATTGTAGGTGGAGGTTTTAATTAATAAATAATCATGATGGTCTCTTACTGCCTATTTTATTACACTAATACTCAAAGGAAAAAGAAGTCTGATGCCAAAAATTGAATACTCAAAGGAAAATTGCTAAAAGCCAATTAACATTAGTTTAATGATATTAAAATCATTTTTAAGGTTGAGAGCTTTGGTATGCTTTTGGGTTAAATTGTAGTTAGATATTGAAGAGTATATTATGAAACATTTGAAGAAATAAAATTGAATGAAATGTTAATATAAAACGACCGAAAGTCATATTTGGAATGGTTAACTGCTAATTTTACCTAACAAGATCAAATTACTGAGTTTTTTTTTTTTTTATTTTCAGAAAAAAAAAAGTATATAGTGCCAAATATTACCAATAAATCAAAGGCAATATATATAAAAAGGAACTGAAATAACAAAAAAAAGTAGGATAAGGTAGCTTTCATGTGATGAGGTGTTAGTATGGTTATGTTTAATGCTTGCAACTACTCACATGTGAAACTGAAGGAAAAGCGTACTTAATATCAAAAAGATGAGCACTTGAAAATTTGGGTAGAAGAGAAGAAACAAATCAAGTTACGTTGGAAAGTTTTTGTGGTTCACAAATTACTGGAGAAAAAGAAAACTAAACTCTCTCCCATATGCATGTGCTGTGCTTCTCTATCTGTCTCCCCCGTTCCCTCTCCCTCTGCCTCTGTATATGTACGTAGTCAATAGAGCCTGCAGGTGTATTCATCAATACTCGTAAATCATACAAACCGATTCAAAATTGTAAATCATTAAAACCGTACTTATAGGTTCAGTTGGTTTAAATATCCTTCATAATTCGATTTGATTCGATTTAAATTTTTTATATGACTATTGATTTGGTTTCTACAAATCCTCCAGATCAATTCATGAAGACCCTTGCCAAACAGTGTTTTTATCCTCTTTGATGATTATTTGAAACAAGAAATTTTTATACAATCCATAGATTATTCAGAATTCTATATCTAAAATCCCTCAAACCAAACATAACTATAATCACTTTGAGTCCAACTTAAATAGTCTCGTTAGCAGGTAAAGATGGGTCCATTTAAGAAAAATTGATGTGCTAAAATTTAATTCAATTAAAAGAAATAAATTGGATTATTCCAACTTAATTTTACTTTTTAACCATCTTTATTTATTTTAAAAATAACTACTTTGAGAGACCATATATAAATTATAATAATAATAATATTTATATAATAAATCCAGTCTAATAAAATTAATACTCTTGATTATGAAGTTAAAAGTAACATGATTTTTAATAATGTCAACATGTACCGGTTTGCTTGACAGTTGGCATTTCAAGTCGGTATATTTGACGGCCGACGAGCATTTGATTCGGTTTAAATCAAATTATTAATTTAAATTTAACAAATTGATAATTTTTATGATATAAATTAATACGTAGAACTGATATCGAATTGATTTGAATCAATTCGAACTGATATAAAATTTTTTTCTGCTAGAAATGAAATAGAACCAATTTTGTAAAATTTAGAATTAATGAAATTTAATTATATCTAACTTTATTTATGGATTGGAGAGGACACCCTAAGTAAGAATTGCAATCAACAAAATGTTGTAACATTAATTAGACCTGCCATGTGTGAGTGGCTAGTAAAATTATTGAGATGATGGATGTTTGAATTGATATTATTTTGTATGTTGGCTAGAGAATAGATTATATAAATTTTTAAAAATAAATATAAATTAAAATCAATCAACAGTATAATAGGTTTTTCGAGGCTAAAAAATTATATAAATTTTATTTTAAAAATAAAAATATGAAATTGCATATCGAAAATTATAATAACAATTATATATGTTGATGGGATATCAAAATTAATAACTCAATTAGAAGCACCCTCTACTAAATAGGCTTGCACATGCAGCTATTACATGGGTGGTTTTGGGCCCTGGCCCAACTGTGGATTTTCACACTATTTAGTACCACATCGAAAATTTTTTTTTGTATATATATATATATGTATATATACACGCACTCTCAAATTTGGTTATGATTGTAATTTTTTCTTTTTTATGGGGAAAATATATTGATTTGTCTTTAAGTTGTAGCTCTAATAAATTATTTGATATCTAATTCGAAATACGTTATTTTAATAGTTAAAAGATGAAATAAATAATAATTGAATGGTAATTATAAGTATTTTACATTTAAAATAATAGCTAATTGGGGTGATCATATGGTCGGTTTGATTGAACATCAAACTAACTGAGATCTAAAAGGATAAATTAAATTTCTAAAATTAAACTAAAGCTATCGTGAGAATCAATTTGGATTGAACTGAAACCGGCTTGGTTTGATCTGTTTTTTCGATGTCTCGAAAATATGCGACACCTGAAAGATCACGATTAATCCAAGTTAAATTTTTAACTGTCTAAAAAAACTCATATAATTAAAAAAAACTTGAAGTCGAGATCTCCCTTTCATTACATTAGAGAAAATATCAATTAATTCATTTTTGAAGAGAAAAATAATTTTATATTAAGCCCACAACATAATATTTTATTTAACTCATATGATTGTCTCTAGCATTATATATCTACCACTTCTTCTCACATAGCTAGCAATGATATAAATACAAATATAAATCACCATCACAGTAAATTAAACTCTCTAGAAAGTAAACAAACTTTGAACTTGTCAAGAAAAATACAAATAAATTGAAATTTTTGGTCCATACTTGAAATAAAAATCTGTTCTAGCGATAATTAATTAATGTCTGTCTGACAAAATTAACTGTTTTTATAATTATTAATTGTTTTAATAGCTTGTAACTGTTTAAGTAATTTTTCAGAAAACGCTAAAAGTTAAATGTTACATAAAAACGTTATCTTATCTTCTAAAAACTAAATCAAATGCTATATTATCAAATACTATAAAAAATAACATTTAGCGTTTTGACCAATCAAAACGTTAAAAATTATTTAAAAAATTATCATCCAACATATATTTTAATATACCATATTAAAAAGATTTGGTATAGATTTGATTTTTACCCTTACCTATATACCTTGTACAAGATGCAGGCATATACAAGGTATAGATATGATAATTAATCGCTTCAGATTTTACCTTTCCCTTCTTGGCTCCGTACAGGGTAAAAATGTTTTATCACAAGACAAAACCTGCAAAACTACTTTGTCGAACAAAAATTAATAGTCTCCAAAGAGAAAGAAAGAGGGAGATACTACAATTCCAATTCATTATTACCTAAAGATAATATTAAAAAGATTACTACTAAATTCATAGCTTATTTCATGAGATTTCGGACTTTAAATTTTGGCAATCTGATCATTCTTTTCAATGCTTCCATGTGATAATAATGATAATTTTTCTTTATTTTCAATCATAATATGATGCTCTACAAATAATATTAATATTTCTAATTATATTAAGCCAATACGAATATTTAAAATCAGTTAAAAAGAAAATTTTAAATGAGAGTACCTAATACTCAAAATGAAAAAAAAAATGAAAAATAGAACTAGATAAAAACTAATTAATTGCATCAAATACATAATTATGTTTTGAACCAAGGTACAAGTACATATATATCCCTCTATTAATCACATTGTACCCCTTAACCAATATAACCATGAAAGGGCATTTTATGACCATAATAAAAACTTCTCAGTAGTCAGTTTTTTCTAATTACACCAAATAAATAAACAAACCAATTAATCTCCACCCCCAATTGTCACACACTGCAATATATAAATAATTTTACCTTCTCAACAAGTTAAATCTACACTACACACCTAATTATTATAGAGGCAATATATATAACTTCGACTCACCGAAATCATCTCCAGAACTGTAAGATTGCTTGCAAGTTCGAACTCTAATCAGAATAGTTATTGAAGTTGCTGATTCTTCTTGCCCCACAAGTGCTCTCCTGAAAGCAGCTGATGCTTCCATGCATTTGGCTATTAACCACATAAGAACTTGATGAAGGTAAGTTCAAGCTTTCAAGTTTATCTATTTCTTGACCATTATTATTATAAGGATCAAGTTGCTGAAAATAATTGTTGGGTCTCAAATCTTCTTTTCTCTTCTTATTACACTCTGCTGTTGTCATGTTGAAGTAGATGTTCATGTTCTCCCATTTCTCTTTAATCTCTTCCACATCCCTATCGTACCCCAGACTGCCCATTTTTGATGCTATTTCTTCCCATAAAAATTCTTCTGAATACCCACTACTACTTTCTTGAAATCTTGCTTCCATGGCTGTTCTTATTTGTATTAAACTACAAATCTCTGGGTCACTCCATCTTCCAAAATTGATCTCATCAATATCAATCTTTTTTGCATTTCTTTGGTCTTTGTTTTTGTAATGGGTTTGAGTTACTCTTACTATTTGCTCAACTGATGATGAAAGTCCAAGTCGTTCACAATTATCTGCATATTTCTTCAATTCTTCCATTAAAGCAACATCTCTAGCTTCAATACGAGCCCTTTCTTTAGCCCAATATTCATGTATTTGATCTAAACGCGCCATTTCTTGCTTAGCCCATTCTTCTTCTCTACAAATTCTTTCTTTCTCTCTATCTTCAATAGTCTTCAGCATTCTTTCCATCCAAGCTTCTTGTTTTTCCAACAACTTCCCCATTTGTAAGTCTACAAAATCTTTAACTTTCCCTTTCCAACCCTTCTTTAACCGGCCTTTTGGTTTTCCAATCTTTCGGTTCATCATATCATAAGCAATCGCAGAAAGATCATCGTCATTGTTGTCTGAAGATGAAGTTTCGAATTCAGATGTGTTGGATAAGCTTAGGCTTTCACTGTTCTTGTTTTCTTGAAACGATAAGGATCGTTCTTTATTTTCTGGGTTAATGGGTGTTGGATAAAGAAAAGAAGTTCTATTAGTGTCATTAACCAAATGGGTTTCTGATGAAGAAGCTAACTGATTACTTGTTTCTCCATAAAGAGCTTCAAGTTGGCGAAAGAACCTATAATGCTTCCCATCCTGTCTTCCTGCTTTACCTTCCTTTGTTTTCTTGTAGTATTTGTATAAATTCTCAAATTTTTCTCTACATTTCTTGCCACTTCTTTGATAACCATGTTCCTCAGCCATGATCCTGTGTTAAAACAAAACATGCATAATTATTAATTAATATAAGAATTTAGTAAAATAAGATGACTCAGTAGGGTAATAATTTAATAAATATAAGTTGACAAGCTAGCCAACATTCCATAATAATAACTGATTTATTAATATTATATATTATAATTCTAATGTTGCTTTTCTTGATTAAAATATTCAAAAACATGATTGATCATTAGCTCTTCTGAGAATCATTGTTTCTTTTAATTATTAGTCTTGATTAATTAAGTCAATAATGTCCAGGTGAGAGGTGATTATATACATTAAGAGATACACAATTATATAAATTGGAATATAATTTCATCATCCAAAACCAGTAAAAGAGTTCTAATAGAAAGCTATATATGGGATTTTCCATGTTCGTACAACAAGAGCAATAAATCATCACAAGAAGCAAGGAAAAGGAAATCACCTGAATCACTCAGTTATGTTAACTCAATTGTGTTGCTTTAGCATTATCAAGAATCAAATTCAACAAAAAAAACTGATACAAAGATTGCAGCTTTAAAGAAAATTTGAAATTGCTAGAAGCTGGGAGGAAACCCAAAAACCCATTTATATGTTTTGTACAGTTAACAAAACAAAAATTAGGGTTTCCTAATCTATCAGAACCAAAATGCAAGAAAAACAATAAAACAAAGAAAAAACACAAATGGGTATATAAATATATATGTTAGTGCAATTTATTTTCAAAAAAAATAATAAAAAAGTTAGTATACCTAGAAACCTCATCCCATAAAGGACCTTTTTGATTAGCTTCTTTGAATCTTGAATCAAGCCTAGATCTGATCTCAAGAAGAGTAAGAGTCTCTTGTCTTGGCCATCTACTATTATTTCCCACATCATTTCCATTATTAATCCACCCATTCTCCATTTCCACTCCAAAAAATGTACTATTACTACTAGTAGTAGTAGCGTTGTTAAAATAATGGTCTTGACCAAGCTTGACCAAGCCACTATTAGCAGAAACCATAACTTCAGCTGCCATAATGGAGTCATGAAAGTGATGATGATTGTGAGTCTGTTGAGGTGCAAGATTTCTACTTGTTTGAACAAAGAATGGCTCTGTAACTTGTGGGAGACCAGAAAAATGAGTTCTTCCGGTAGCCAGAAGTTGCCGGAGATCCGGCAGGCCGTACTGGTGGTCACCCATATATTGTAAGTAGGTATTGAAAGCAAAGAAATGGAAGGAAGAAAGAGAGGAGGAGAGAGTCAAGATTGTCTTTTTCAGAGGAGAAAGATTATATCTATGGGACAAATATGGAACTTTATTCCAAAGGAGACAGGATCCGAGTCTACCGCAACTTTCATCACTCTTTCATCAATACTTCAATTCAATTCTCTTGTCTCTCTCTCTCTCTCAAAGAAAGAGAGTGAGAGAGACAGAGAGAGAGAGAGAAAGGGCACAAACCACATACGTAATATAAGGTCCAATAAGAGAGAGACAAATACATGAAGATGATAATCCAATGCTCTCTTGTACAGTTACTGAATTTTTTTTTTCTTTTTTAACCTTTTTAGTTTTGACTAACTCGTTGTTTTCCTTTTTCCTCCTTGACTTGAGATTACTGCGCCTGGTTTAACCGTTTGTGATAGCTGGTATTTAGTAATTTGGCTGACATTTAATTGATAAATAAATGTTTATATTAAAATAATTGTGATAATATAAAAAGATGTAATTATTTTCGTAAAATATATATGCCAGCTGAATATGTTTAGTTCAACTATTTGTGATGATCGATGGAGAGTAAGTTGATTATTGATAATTAATTGTTTTAGTAATTATTAATTATTTTATTAACGTTTAATCAAATGTTTAAGTGAATAATATTTCATTATTTACCATTTCAATATCTAAACGCGGAAAATATGAAGAATGTAGTTAGGATCTATTTGTAATATTAACTGTTATAATGAATGTTAATTATTTTAATAGTTATAAGTTGATTTATTAGTGATTAATTAGTTATTTATACAGCGATTTAAAGCGAAAGTATTCAGTTTTTTGACTAAATGTTATTTTAAAAGTTATTATCGAATAGAGTATTGTTATCGATTACTATTTAAATATAAAATAACTATAAATAGTAGAACTATTTTTATAAGTTATCATTTATTATATATATATATATATATATTATATTAAATATAGTAATATTATATATACTTATTTTTTAAAGCATGTTATATAGATAAAAAAATATTTTAATTCATTTATTATATATATATATATATATATTTTTTTTAAAGCATGTTATATAGATAAAAAAATTTTAATAATGTTTAATTTAAATAAGTATAAATAAAACGATCATATAAAAACATTAATACAAAAAAAAATATTAATGATTTCTTTATACGATGAACATAGTATAAGTATAATATATAAATGCAAAATCATCTAGCAACTTATAGATGAATCAAAAACATTCTGATTATATTTTCCTATAATAATATTATAAAAATTATATTTTCCTCTAATAATATTATAAAAATTATATTTTCCTATAATAATATTATCTAATGAAATGAAATTCTGACTGAATCGTATTTTTATTAATAAGATTAATCTTATTATTGAATGTTAAGTATTAACTATTTTATTTTCTACAGATAAAAACATTAGATGTCGATCGCACAATGCATCCTTACTAAAAGTTTTTGAGGATCATGTTTTAAATGCAAATTATAATGTGATTGCACAAATACATAAATTAATGAATTATATAAAAATATATATTCGATATATAAATATACATACAAAGTAAATGAAGAAATGTTAAAAATAAATAAATAAACCGTAAAAATTAAATAAATATTTTATTAAATGACAGTGAAACGTGTCTAATAGGAATTTTTTGAAAATTATTCCTAATTTATCTTTTTTTTTCAATATATGGTCAAAATATTTTTATTTCAACAGCAACTTTTATTTTAATTTGTTTAAGATGGGATCATGAACCTGAGCTAGATGGATTCAAAATCCGGATCTAAGTAAGTCATTCTTACCGATGTAAACTTATTGTCAAATGGTCGGGAGCTTATTAGGTTTTTTTTTTTTAAATGTAATAATAATAAAATCTTTATTATATCTGTTAAAAAAAGAAAAAAAATTATTATCAAATAAAGGTAAATCTCACTCTCACCATGTAAATATGTCAAATCTGATATTATTTAAATAACCCAAAACCAATCTAGTTTGAAGTAGGAAAGGTCTCTTCAAAAAAAAAAAAAAAAAAAAAGATTAGGAAAAAAAAAAAAAAAAAAAAGTAGGAAAGGAATGAAAGGAATGGACGACCTGTTCTATTTCTGATTGCTTAGGACAGACGTTATATATATAATATGTATTATACCGTTGCGTGAGTGAAGTGAGCGTAGGCAGGAATGGATATAGCTGCAGCTACTCTTGTTTTCTCATTTTTATAGTTTTTGTTCTTATAAACATGTAATATATTTTCTTTTTGCAACTATATAGCCACCTTTCATACATCAATCCATAAGAATTTAATAAATTCATTCATATAAATAAGCAATTTGTTCGTTAAATCTATCTTTTTATTTATTTATTTAGTTGCTTTTTTCTTAAATTATCCGATATTCAAAATATAAATAATTTTATAATATAAATGAACGCAACTAGTGTATCTTCTTAGTAAAGGATTTCTTCGCCAAATAATTTGATAAGTCAATGATTTTATTTATATTTCAGATACGGTTAACTAACATGTTAATATATGTTGAACGAAATGGTAGTTATTGCGATTTTCATATCACAAACAAAAAAAGAAAATAAATTTAGAAAATTGGATAAAAAAAGTTTATATTTTTTATTTGACACAGTTATTGCTCTCTTCTGAATATTTACAGGAACTTTATAGACAGAATTAAAATTCCAGACCTGTAATTAATGGGTTTTAACGGTAACATACATTTAAGTTTTACAAACAGTGTAAAACACTTTTCTTTATATGTTCTTTTCCCTCTGTTTTACCTAACCATAAGTAAAAAACAAAAGAACACATACATGTAAAGACTGAAGACTGAAGTGTCTGTTTTCACTTTTTCACTAGTACAATAATTTTAATTATTCTTCTTATTTTAACAGTTTCACCACATTTAATAAATCAGTTTTTAACTAACCAAATATAATTTATTACACTGGTTCAATCATATGAACCAAATTTATTGCATTTGTAAATAAATTTTTATGTTTTGGATTTATAAATAAATTTCATAATGTTTTATAAAGTGTTTAGTCTTTTGTTGGTTGAAATTATAATTGCCTTCTTTTATAAATATTTTATTTTTTACTTTTTACTGTTGGTGATATGATGAGTAATGATGGATTAGAAGGCGTTGAGTATTATAAAATTTCAGTTAAAAATTAATCAATTTTAAAATTGAAATAATTGTTAAATTTATATTTCCTTTGTTTTAAAAATATTTTTCACTTTTTTTAAGTTTTAAAAAATACATGTCTATATCTACAAAATAAAAAATATATATTAAAAATTAATCTTTCCATTTTACCTGTTATTAATTATTCAACGTGAAAGTAGAAATTATATATGGCGCAAAAAAAAAAACAAACACATATAGATATAAAAAAAATTACAAAAATGTGATTTCATATAGCATTTGTTATATTTTAAATAATAATTAAAAAAAATCTTCCATCCAATGTTCATAATCTAGGCTATTAGCTTAAAGAAAAAGGAGAATTGTGGAAAAAAAAAAAAAAAAAAAAATTTAAAGAAAAAGGAGAATTGTGGAAAAAAAAAAAAAAAAAAAAAGAGTATTAATAAGCTAATTTGACTTGAGGAAAGAAACCAGCCAAACGGACAAAGGATTTGAAAAAAAAAAAAAAAAAAAAAAGAGATTAATAAGCTAATTTTGACTTGAGGAAGAAACCAGCAAACGACAAAGGATTTGTAGTTTTATCTTGAGGCAAAATTAACTATTATTTAAGGAGTTACCAAACACCAAAATTTGAAAAAGAGAAAAGAAATACTCAGAAAAAAAAAACTTTCTCCATTTCAAAATATAAATTTAAGTTTTTTTTTACAGAGGTTAAGGGATGAACTAATTTTTCTAAATTATATAAAAAAAATCAAGAGTAATTAATTTGATCAAATTATTTTTTATATTAAAATTTATAGTAACTTGTGAAAATAATTATTATATCTCAAATTATTTATATTTAGAACAGATGGATTAGGTGGATAAAGTGAATTTTATAAATCCATCAGATTTCAAACAATTGCTGTTTTGACGAGCAGTCTATAAATTTAATATGTATTATTGAGAGATGATTTTCGAGATGGGATGAGAAAACACACATTTGAAGGCTCAGGGGCTTCATTTCTATTAATTCCTAGAATTGAAGAAATCAAGAATATAAATCATATGTAGTGAAATTTTACTATGTGTTTTTAACTTAGAAAATTATAATAGCAAGTGAATTAATAATATCTCATGAGCAAATCTTAAAAGCTATGGCCAATAAGAATGTGAGATTGTAATTTGACTTGTGTGTTGATAATTATAATATATAATTAAAATAATGATTAAAGTTAATTGAAAATGATTTAGCTAAGTGGGGAGAGAGAGAGAGAGAGAGAGAGAGAGAGTCTACAAAGGGAAGGTGGGGTTTGTCTTTGCCTAAAAGGGCATGTGGGTCCCCATATTACAGCTGTAAATCACTGCGTATCACATGAAACGGACAAGAAATCGTACGGTGCAAAGATGAGTGGGGATAGGGGCCCAGAGTTGGAAAATGGACGGTGTGATGTGATTGGGGATTATGATTCTCCGAGAGAAGAAAAAAGGGGCCCCCCTTTTGCAATGCATCATTAGATAATATCTGTTTCCTTTTTGTCCCCTTCGGTTTTCCGGTATTTCATCGGACGGCTCATGTTGATTTGAAAATTACATGAGAACATCATGCTAATTTTGGGATGACAAGTTATATTCATTTTGTAAGAATAGATCCAAATTGGACTGGATAAGACCTCTAATCGTACGAACGAGAGACAAACAGCAGTCCACCGGAGCATATGAGCCGTTGAACATAGTTACTACTACTTACCACTACTACTTACCACTATCTACCAATTCTATGTATACATGATCCGAGAAATGACAATCAAACTGACCGCATAGCGCAGTGGATTAGCGCGTTTGACTTCGGATCAAAAGGTCGTGGGTTCGACTCCCACTGTGGTCGATTATGTAATTTTATTATATTTTAATTTTCTTTTTTTAATTATTTTTAAAAGTATTTACTTTATATTTTTAAATTAATTGTGATATGTGATATAAAGCATTGTTTTTATTTTTATTTTTACTAAATGTAGTGTTTACAATAAATTTATATTTACTTCATTTTACAAGAAAATGAAATTTATAAAAAAAATGTTTGTAAATCAATTATATTTTGAGTTTACTATCATAATTCTCTACAATGATATATATTGACAATTTATAATATAAATATAATGGATTATATAATCTTACATCTATGTTATGTAGTATGAGAACATTTTAAGCAATTTTAGAATACTAAGATTGTTTCTTGTTAAAGTTTAATATATCTAGGTAGTAAAAGTATGGTGAGATTTCGCATACAGACTTGATTGAAGTATCCATAAGCGTATGAGCTCTCTAAGATAGAATCCAATTGCGTCTTTTTACTCTCTCTGTATCTCTTTGTAACTAATTCTATGAATGGAGAATAGATACGATATGAATGTTCTATACATAGGCTTGTATCGATGCACTTTATAAAGGAGAGCAATAGATCCTTCTTTTTTTCTCTATTCCCTTTGGAAAGTCTTTCACAACGAGGAGAAGATAGAATCTACTAGGATATCAATGCATTTTTTTAGATTGATCTCTCTTAAAATTTTTAAATAAAATTTTATTTTATTTTATTATATATTAGCTATAAAAAAATTGCTTGTTGAAGCCACAAATGCATATAATTACACACAGCGCAGTCGATTAGCGTTTTTGACTCACTGTGGTCGGTTTTTTGAATATATTATTTTAGCACCTTTTTAATTTTTTTATTTATTTTTAAAAGTATTTACTTTATCATTTTAAATTAATTATGGTATTTTAAACTAATTGTGATGTGTGATTCACACTTTATTTTTACTAAATATAGTGTTTACAATAAATTTATATTCACATCATTTTACAAGCAAATGAATTTATAAAAAAAAAAACTGTTTGTAATGGAATTTTATGTAATTGATAGAATTCATTATATATTAATGGATGGCCAAATATATAGATTGTCCCTTGAAATTTAATAAATTAACCCTATGCCACTTTTAATTTTACAGAGATCAATTATGCACCTGAAATAAAAAATTTTGCACCAAGTAAACACCTTCTATACATTCCCACACTGATACATGTGTGTATTACAAAGAAGCTGAATAGGATAAGTAAATGAAAATGGAAACTAATTTCATTTACACCTCAGTAATTTTAAAAATAAAAAATAACCCACCAAACTCCATCCAAAAGCACCTGTGTGTGTATTTTTTTCATTTACACCTCAGCAATTTTAAAAATAAAAAATAATCCACCAAACTCCATCCAGAAGCACTTGTGTGTGTTTTTATTTACACCTCAACAATTTTGAAAATAAAAAATAACCCACCGAACGCCATCCAAAAGCATCTCTCTCTCTCTGTGTATATGGTGTGTGTGCGCGTGTGAAAACAACAATCCTATTAAGCAAAAACAAAGCATCTCCATTTATAATACAAAATAGAGAGAAATAACGATGACATTCGAAAATCCTACTTGTTCTTGATGTCAGCGGCCATGGCTCGACATTCGTAGCGTTTTTTGCACCCGTCTCCATGAATGGAATGCCTATTTCATCTGCAAATGCCTTTTGAAACACTGATGAATAGTAAGAATCAATTTTTAAAAGTTGAAATAAAACCAAAATAGAAAAACCAATTATCACCATATATCTATTCACGTTTGAAAATAATGAATAAATACTAAATAACCCCAAAACAGCATATTTTTGGTATTTGGAAACAAGTTAAAAAATGATTGCAATTAACATATGGTTTGAAATTGAAAAATAAAAAATAAAAATCTTCAAAAAAAAAAAAAAAAAAAAAAAAAAATAAATCTCAAAAAAAAAAAAAAAAAAAGAGAATAGGATAAAAAAAAAAAAAAAAAAAAAAGAGAATAGATAATAGAACATGGGATAAAAGTAAAAGTAACCCTTAGAGCATGAAATTGAAAAAAAAATAAAAATCTTTCAAATTCAATAACCCTTAAAGATTTGGCTAAGAAAATTGCACACGGCAAAAGAAATATGATTTGGGGAGAAAAAAAAAAAAAACTCATTAGAGCATGATACAAGAGTGCAAGATTGTGAACTACCAGTAGTGCAACGTAGCAAGAAACAGAGTGATAAGTTTAAGTTGCAGCAAGTACCAATCACAGAATTATATAAACAATAAAGATGATAAAATTGAGGGTGAGAGAGTAAAAGAAAGGAAGAGAAAGGTGAATCAGAAGAACAGTGTTTAGCCGTAAAAGAATGAGAAAATATAAAAGACCTGAAATGCCTACAAGTTGATATGAGATTCAAGAATCATTTTAGGGGCAATAAAGACGATACATGATCAAGTAGCTCTTCCAGTAGTCTGCTCTATATCCTAAGATTCATCTCCGGCGATCGAGTAGCTCATCCAATTGTTGGAGATTGAAGACTATTTGAAATCAAAGCATGGTCTATTTGAAAACCCAAAAACGATTTTATATGGAACCAGGGGAATCACGACGTTGATCACATCTGCAGGTCCAGCTTCTCGGTGGTTCAGGAGAGGCGATGTGCCCAACAGGCGAGTATTCAGCGGCGTCAGGCCTTGCCTGTTGCAATGCGCCATTGTCCTTCGTGGGGTGTTGTTCAGTCCTCTGGATAGCAATGTTTTATCGATGGTGCAACCTTCCTTTCGATGCGTAGGGTTTGGTGTCATTTTTGAAGATGAGAAGGGTGCTTTCGCCATAAGCTTTTCTGGTTTTTTTGTTTCATTTTCAGATCCTCTTGTGGTAGAAGCAATGGCGTTAAGAAAGTGCTCGTTATGGCTTCAAGAGCATATGCATACTCCAGGGATAATTTTACGGATTGTCAAGCTGTTCTTTTTGCTTTAAATTCTTCTATTCAGGATATTTCAGAATTTAGTTTAATTATTGATAATTGTAGGTCCTTATTAGCATCTAGATTGGATTGATGGGAAGTAACACAAAATAACTTCACAACAAAAACTTTCCCACTTGAATGAATCTATTAGGAGTAACAATGAGTAATAAATTCAAGTAACACAAGCTGTCCCAAATCATACACAATTAAAAATAACATTTACCACACGAACACAAATGTTTTTACGTGAAAAACTCCTCCGGTGTGAAGGATAAAAACCACTCCTCCGGTCCAAGAAAATAAAGTTCACTATCACAAATATTGTCTTACAAATTACAGCAAGCTACAACCACAAAAAATGTAACTATATCACAAACAAATGTGTAGCAACACAATGGAGTGATCACAGAACACATTCAAACTTACAAATTACAGCAAGCTACAACCACAAAAAATGTAACTATATCACAAACAAATGTGTAGCAACACAATGGAGTGATCACAGAACACAACTGTTGTTCTCAATACATTTAAAAATGTTCTACTCATCCAAAAATTAAACTGATCAGCCAGAATCAAGAAGAATTGATGTTAGGAACATGCTCACTAAAAATCAGCTCAATCCGACAAAGAATGACTGCTGAAACGCTGAAGAAGATGAAGCTATGCAGAGTTGGAAGCAGAACAGGACAACTTCGGTTTCAGAGCCAGAACTCAATCTCTGAACCACCAAATCAAAATCCCTGCGATGAGAATCAAGAATAGAGAGTAAAGAACAACATATCCAAAAATCACAAAGATCTAACGGTTGGAACTCCGGGAATCTCCAGAACACGATGGATGGTGCTGGATGGGGCTGTGCAGAAAAAACCCTCTCCTCTCCTCTTCTTTTCTATTTTTCTCACACAGTTTTAGATGATTGTGTCGATCACATAGCAGCCAAAAAATATGATAGATATGGCTGTTAGTTGAGGGGCAAACTTGTAAAACAATGATTAATTTAATGGACTTCAAAATATGGGTTTTTACCACATAGGAAGGTAACCCAAATCCAACATGGATGTGATTGTTAGATGGATAAGGAGGCAAGCCAATGTAGGTGCTCATACACTAGCTAGAGCATCTTACACCTATGCTCGCTTCTAAGAGTCGATCCCACACTATTTATTACCCTTTTATTCTTAATACAAGAGTGGCTTTTTTGCTTCAAACAAAAGTAGAGAGCCGGATGGTTTGAAGGTTTTGATTGTGAAACATGTGTACAAATTATAAAATATTACAAAGAAAAATCAAAACTAAATCTTTTTTATTTTTAAAGTTTTCCATGTGTAAATAAAATTGGGTCTCATTTCCATTGACTTATCCTACCCATTTGCTTTACAACACACAAGCCATTGTCAGAACGGAAAGGTGTCAGCTTAGTGCAAAATTTTTTACTTCAGCATCATAATTGATTTTAGAAAAGTTGGGGATATGGTAAGGTTAATTTGTTAAAATTTAGGAGATAATGTATGTATTTTGACCATTATTGAATGGATCTATATTATAAAGAGGAAATTTAATTGATCTCTCTTTTTCTCTCAATTCTCTTCGATGTGAATTTATTTTTTTCCGATCTCTTTTAAAATTTAAAATAAACTCTCTTACTATATTTTATTATATGTTGGCTATGAAATAATTTCTTTCTTTGATCGCCAATGTGTATAATTATAAATATAACTTTACTAATCTATACTAAAAAATTCGTCAGTTTTAATAGTTTGTAATTCTTGAAACTTAGAATTTATTTAGAAATTTTGATAATTTTAGCAGAATTCCATCTAAATCTAATAAAATTTGTAAAATAAAAAATATAAAATTTCAAAATTTGTCTTATATCAAAAATAAAAATTATATTTGTAAATGAATTTCGTAAATTTTTATAGAATTTATTTATATAAAATAAAATTATATTTGTAAAATGGAATTTCGTTTAATATTTATAGTATTCATTTATATAAAATAAAATCTTAAGTTTTTAATTAACTAATATATACTACTATATATATATATAAAGGATATATATAAAAGAAGTTTTATTTTTATTCAAACAATTAACAAAAGATATAAAACTAGCACTTTTAATTAACCAAGAAAGAACTCAATGAGCTGTTCCGGCGAGTTAGAAACTCGAATTTTCCCTATTCGAAAGAACAGACTATTGGCATTAATATCCCAAAACAAAAAATGTTAGGGTTCAAATTTCTCTCACCGCCACCGCTGCCGTCAATCGCTTCACTTCCAACACCTAATCTCGCTTTCATTTCCTTTCTTCCTCGAACCCATTTCAAAATCCCTAAAACGCAGTCAAGATTTCTCTTCTTTGCCCAAACCAACAACAATTCCCCAGAACCAAAGCTGCAAGAAAAAGAAAAGCTTAATGGGTTTACTGATAACGGCGGCGGAGGAAGCAACGGTGGCGGCGATGATCCGAAGAAAGATCGAAGTCCATTGCTTAATATCAAATGGGTTGAGCTTCTATTGGACCCAGATCCTGATAACATCATAGCCGTTGGATTGACTGGGTTGCTGACATGGGCAAGCGTTCAAGTGCTCTGGCAATTGTTTATTGTTTCTGTATCCATTCTTGTTGCTGCTCTAAAATACTCTTTTATTGCTGCTTTGCTTCTTTTCATTCTCATTACACTTCTTTAGAATAATCTAATCTCTTGTTTTGATTGATTGGTGCAAATTTTGTAATTTCGTTATTTATAATTCTAGCTGTTATTATAAAAAACAAATTCATACAAATTTATTTTATTTGCAAATGAATTTATTTTAAATGTATTACAGTAATTTGGTTCAACTATAACTAATTCCATATAATAGAAATTTAAGTAAACGATCATTTATACTTATAAAAAAGATATTTTGATACATTATAATACCTTAGTCTTTAAAGGAATATTTGCTGTAAACTAGCGTAAAAAGGAAAGGTAAGATTGTTGTTCACTGGAAATTAGCGTGCCTAAAAAAATTTGGTGGAAGAAAATATTCTGACTTGATGTAAATGTACAGGGCTAAAATTGAGATTGTACTACTAACATCCTCGTTGGTATTTCTATTTTACCATGGAGACAAATAGTATAGTAGAAATGTTAATTAGCTATTAAAAATTACTGTATCATAAATTTTACATAAATGGAAGAAGTAACCCTTCCAAGGCATAATCAAAATTGCTAGTTGATTTTGTTTCTTTGGCAAAGTTGTAGAAGCCATTACATCTAAAGGTAAAGCCAAAAACCAAACTGAGGAGCATTATACATTTATACTAGTAGAAACCCTTGCAAAATTGAACAAAATGTCACTAACATAAGCTTCGCAAAAGTATTTTGATTTTCTAAATTCTGAATCTCCTGGATCGGCAACATACTCTCCATGAAGTCTTCTCTATTTCTTGTTAATTACCCTGAGGAAAAGAAGTCTGCTAAGCATCTCTTATTTTCTCATGTACAGAGGAGAAAAAAGTAATTGCACAACTAATATAAAACTACCATGAATATTATCTGGGAAAGCTCCAGATGCTTAATCTTGATCAAATTTGATCCTTTTAGGAGCAGGCTGCATATCACCCACCTGCAAAACCACAAAAAATGGGAAATACATTTTGATTACTCATAAGACACAGAACAAAAGTCAAGGCAAATGCAAATCACAATTTCTTTTATGATACAATGAGCGAATAAAACAAATTGGCCTGAAACTGAATGAACACACACCAAATCACAAACACATATAAACCATTTAAACAATGCAGTGATATCAACTATCAAGAACAGATAGAATTACTGTAGTTATTGGAGTATCAGGCTAAATAATACAAAATGATTACAAATAATTTCAAGTGATCTTCATGGGGTTAGGAATGCCCCAAAAGGACACTGCAATTTTGTTGTATCAGTCCCAAAGGTGCACCCGTTTCTTATGCAACCACCCCATATTTTTGCAATTCAATGAACTTGTGAATTTTACAACTACATTGGTTCTAGATCCTGATTGCAGTAACATGTACGTGAAACCCAACTTACATAGTTGCATTTATTCCTCCTATAACTAGCATTTTTTTACTCATGCTTGAGTATTAAGTTGACAAAAACATAAAGAGAATTCTTACAATTTGTGGGCACTCGTAATCAAGACCAGCAGCCTCTATCCTCTTTTTCCGCTTCTGATCTCGCTTCATAATCTTCTCTACCAACTTCTTGTGCTCATCAAGTGTTCTATCCTGAGCAGCCATATAGCAGAATGGAATATTTATCAAGTTAAAAAAAATAAAATAAAATAAAACAAAGAAAGTCTTGTTCTCCCTAATCTGCCAGAATTATCGCTTATAAACAACATTTGGTACCTTGTTCTGCCTTTTCTGTTCAATTTGAACTCGGGCCAATGGTTTGTACCGATAATTAAAACCTTTCCACCTATGTAGAAGAGGAGGGGGAGACAGGAGAAAAATAATGGTAAGCGATCTATAGAGAATGTCGGAACCACAATGGTTAAGCTATAGGGGTGGCAAATCAAGTTAGTGGTCTTATTTGTGTCGCATTGAGGTATACCCATAACACAAATAGGATCAGCACAAACAGTATATGGTAAATTTAATGTGTTAAAAATCTAAACAAGAACATGATCCACTCATTAACAGGTAACATGACACTACAAATAATACCTTTAACATTCATTACCAAACAAGCCTCAAAGATTTGTTTAATATCCTTCCATAACATTTTTCTTTTTACTTCTAAAAAATGGATATTATTCTCCTTTTATAGAGGAGAGAACACTCTACTTATTTACTTAAAATCAATGTGGGATTTCATCACTTTCTCTATTAAGTGTGTAATTAATGGTTTAATGGTTTAATGGGTCAACTTGCAACATCATGACACGACATAATTATTTTCATATCAACTCAGGTCGACAAGATGACATAAACACATTAAACCTAAACCAATCCTGCTAATTTCATTGTGGGTTAGGGTTACATTATCATGTTGTGTTCAATATTGCCACCCATGGTAAGCAAACTATGAAGTGTGATCAAAATGAATTACATCTGCTTTAGTTTCTATTTAGATTTAATGATTTCCATGTAATTACATAACCTCGAAAGTTTATATTAAGCATTTCACTAAACCACATTGGACATTTTAAAGATCTTTCACCTTGATGTATCAAGAATTTAACAATGAAAAACACATTACTATTAAGCCCAAAAACTTATTGAAGTAAAAAAAAAATATCATTCTAAGCAGCCCCTCCTTTTGTTTGTTAAGGAGCAGAACAATATTGGGCTAAACATCAACAAGAATTGTTTTGAACACTTCGGTATGTAAAAATAAAGAAATTGATGTCACACGGAACATAAAATACTCACAATTGTGGATGAACATGCTCTGAAGGGATAAGATGGACTTGCAGAAGATGCTCAAACAACAAATAATTATGCATACAATCAGCAACAACTTCTGCCACCTGCAATTAGCAAAAAGTTATAGTGAGATGAAACGAAAAATGACATACTGTGATTTGATATCAAAGTCCACAACATTGAATTGTACCTCAGGATCCTGAAATTCGATGAATCCGTAATGCTTTGACTTTCCGGTCTGCGAAACAAAATAAAAAATTTGATACAACAATTAATACCTTCAAAAGACATTGAAAACACAATTGGCTTCATAAAGAACAAACAGCAGTATTTTTAGCATATTATTATAAGAATCCTTCATGCTATCAAGTGGGGATTGATCTAATTAGATAATGAGAGACCTAGGTCTGTCAGCTAAGAATCAATTTTTCCTACTTTGAAATATTCTGGTTATATAGGAGCCTTGTATATTTTGTAATAGTTGACAAGGTCATCACCATACTAAATGGTCAATATCTAAGTAGCCAGATTTTAAAAGGATCCATTATTGTTTCCAAGAAACAAAAGTAAATTTATTAGTTGAAATCCATATATACATTACAAATAGACTTGTAATGTATATAAAACCCAGAAAAAGCAAGGAAACATGATAAAATTCTTAATATGCAAGCCATATACTGACTGCATTAGGCCCTTATATGTAACAATGCATCACAGTGCAAAGGTAATTCTCGAGGAAAATGCATGAAGCTCCACTGCAATGCAAAGTAGCCTCATCAACAATTAGCCCATAAGAGGGAATATAATATGAATAAAGATGATGATGGTGATAATGAATTTTTGGTAGGATCTTAATATCAAGCGATAATTTCTCGGTTCTCATAAGTAGTGTAACGCAGTTATATTTGTACAGCTGTTATGTGATATTAGCTCTGTCTTTTGCAGTATTATGATGAGATTACAACTAAATTATTTTAACTTCTTTGTTCATGATTATAGTCTGCAATTTCTAACCAAAAAGTATACAAGTCCAGGAAAAAGTTGATGTATCACTCTCTTTTTGATTACAACAATACAACCATTTCATTTTCTGAGACCCAAAGATTCATCAACCAAACAAGAAAAGACCCAGGACATGCATTAGGAAACCCCGAAAATTCTACGAACCTCCATCTAATAGCACCCACGAAAACAACAAGCAATTATATATATGCAATTGTATATTCTAGGTGTCTGTGTAGTTATGCAATTTTTTACATACAAATTCAAAACCATTGATACAAGTTCATGAGACGAACCTTTTTATTTCTTGCAATTCTCAATCTCTTGATTGTGCCAAATTGGGAAAAATAAGCTGAAGCACAAAACTAATCAGTTCAACCAAAGAACACAATAAAGGCAACAACTTTATAAGCACTAATCTTTCTAACATTATATATATATGAATGTCCAAAAGCATACCTTGCATTTCTTTCTCATAGAAACCATGTGGAATCCGACCAATATACAAAACAGTAGCAGTATTTTTCTGCTCCTTTTGTTCTGGTATCTTGCGTCCAGCTCCACCTTCTAAGGGCTGAAAAACAAAAATAAATAAAAAGAAACAGCTAAATTAAACAAATAAAAAAATAAAACAAAAAGGAAATTTAAATGCAAAATCTAACAAAAACCTACCAAGAAATCAGCTGTATCTTTTCCTTTAGATAATTTAGACGCAGAAGCTTTCTGTAAGTTCTTCTTCAGCACTTTCTTTGCCTTTGCCCCCATCTCTCTATGTTAATACATATAGCAGCATTCGGTTACCGAGAAAATAATGTAACAGAAACTATAATATGAAATTTAAGTTTTTTCTTTTACTAGTTACCTAAAAACAGGAAGGGAAGCAAAGACCTGAGAACCTGTAGATAACTGAGTCGTACTGATTGGCTGCCGAGAAACCGAAAAGAAAGAATAAAAGAGGAAATCAGAGAACGTTTGCTTAGGATTTTAGGGTTTGGAATAAAAACCGAAAACCCTCACAAAGAGGCGTGGGCTGAGATTGTGGACTGGGTTTTACTTTAGTATTTGGGCTGAGTATAGAGCAGACAGTTTCGCTTTATGGTCTTAGTGGATTTGGGCCCCCTTAATTCAATTTTATTTCTTTTTAAAGTTGACCTTTTAGATAGATTTTTAATAGCAACTTGGATCCATTTTCAACTGAGTCATTGAATGCAAATGGGCAATATGTTTCAACTGAAAGAAAATTAAATCACTAGTCCTCTTTATTATCAAATAAAAAATGGTTAAATTGACCATTTGATAAAAAATTCCTATTAAAGTTGATCCAAAAATTTAATTTTTCATGTATGGTACGTCTCCAATAAATTTCGAAGCAAATTAAGCATTATTCCTTTTTTCCATAAAAATACCCTCTAGGTATAATTTATTCTCATCTAGATAAAATCTAGTTGTAAGCAGATGAATTATTTTTTGAATTTTAAACTCTTGTTATAATAATATAATATAATATACTTCAACTCTTCACTTGCATTAACATTTTTAATCACTCAAATCAAAATTTGTGATTTTTTATTACCTAAAGGTCTGGAGTTTGAACATCAAGTATGATGTCCTTTTAACACTTGTGAGGGAGCGCTTTTCTCCCCTTTGTAAGTCTGCCTAGCGCGGATCCGGATTAGTCAGGCCAATGAGCTTCGAACTCGGGTGGTTAAAAAAAAAAAAACCATAATCAGGCCTGCCTTTGTTGAATTGTTATTGAAGCAAGCTAATTAAATGGTTAAACGTCCTAGTAATCAACATCATTCAAAAATCAAAACTTACCTGCCTTTGTTGAATTGTGAAATGGATGTCTTAATTAGCTGATTAAAATCCAAAACTGATGTTTTAAGTTTTAACTCAAACGTTGAGTTCCTACTAAAACAATAAAAGGAACTTGAACAATACACTTGTTGAAACTATATACAGAAAGTAGCTGTACCTCTCCATTTCTTGGTTCAGAAGTATTGCAGTGAATCAAAAGAATGACACAACACATCGAACAAGTATTATGGTTATTTCAGTTTAAACAGTGAGGCGCAAATAGCTTTCCAATAGATAAACCTTTTCAATTAGAAATGCAATAGAGCCTAAACAAGAGGATAAAGATTGCAGCATGTCAATCACAAAGCATAATGACATGTAATAAATAATAGATAGATATCCCTTTTACAAAAGGTCTTGTTTATTTATCCATAAGTAGCAATTCAAGCAATTGATTACATTTACATTTAGCAAATGATGTCTGCAAAACGAGGAGTTCGTTGGGACAAGATTAGTCTCGTTGATGAAAAAGAGTATGGAGACATCACTGTGCAATGAACCATGCACAATATGCACTGCTGATTTTGAGGATACAAAGAAAAATCAAGCCAAGTAAACAACTATTGATCATCCTAAATTGATAAAGCATCCCATTATATAACATTAACACTTGGAGATCTAAATTCTGAAATAACGATCAATGGTTGCATCTAAGAAGTTCCTCCATCATCGATTATTTTCTTCAAAAACAGACAATGGACTAGACAATGTAAGGTACAACATTGTTCAGACTGGATTACTGAAACTAAGGGATACGAATGTTAAATTTGGACGTTTGTAGCAGCATTTGGATCGCAGCTAAGGGCATAAGACAAAATAAGAGCATCAGAGGAAACTAGGAGATTCAGAAGAACAAGGAGAAAAAGGGAAATAAGCAAAGGTTTGAACTTTGGAAGTGAAATGCAAGGTACCGAGTAAGTGAGCAAATATGTAGGAATCGCTTGAGGGTAAGAAAGGAACATAGAACCCAAAAGGACTTAGTTTCTAAATTTTTTCTGTTAATCAATATTGAAAGCATGGAATTGCAGAACTATACTGCATGTGGCTTAGCTAACATTTTGCAGAGCCACAAGCATAACACAAAACAGACCCAAGTATAATTCTTCCCCTCAAAAAGTTGCATAACAAGCTCCACTAATTAGCACAAAGCCATCTATCAATACCTTTAGTTCATAATGTAAACACTAAAAACAACAATAAGCAAGTATCAACAAAATTTGCACAAGTAAAGAAATAAAACTAGCACTAGATTTAAGCTAGCATCAACTAATTTCTAAATTCATTCAAAGCAAGCAAATTTCTAATTAGAAAAAACAATAGAGTTTCAATAATACAAGTTAACATCAAAGCTAGTACCCTACTCAGTAAAACATTATATAGTATCTCAAACTTTTAAAAGCTGCATTTTGTTCGAAAATGCAATAGCAATCCAATCAGGCTGGGAAGCTGACCATTGCAACTGATTGATTTCAGAAGTTGCAGAGTACATAGACATGGGATCAATCCCATTAGGCCCAGCCACAGTAGGCAAGTCCCAAATGAGTGCCTGTGCATCATCCCCAACAGAGCAAATATGCCGACAGCTCTGTGGAGCCCAAGCAATAGCATTAACACTCGCTCTATGCCTTTCTAACTCTGCAACAGGCATAGTTGGTGATCTAATATCCAAGATCACAACTTTATTACTATCCATCAAAATGGTTGCCATATACCTCAAATCCTGCTTGTTCCAAGCCAATCTAAGCAGAGGTGTATCTGGTTGTGGACTTTCATAAATGATTGTAGAGTGTTCCTTATCTCTCAAATCAAAAATTCTAACAGACCCATCTGCAGAAACCGACGCAAAAACCCTTGCTTCGCCCCAAGCAATGTCGTATACCTCTTTATCATGAGCAATAAGCTGCGTTTCAACAGCTCCTCTTTCAATATCCCAAATAGTACAGGTCGTATCAATACTACAAGTCCCAATTCTCTTAGGCTCAATCTCATTCCAATCAAAAGAAGTCAACGGAGCACAAAATTCACTAGTCTTACTATTATTAAGAACAGAAACAGGTTCAACGGAACTTTCCCGAACTTCCCAGAGTCGGAGATAGTCACCTGACGAGGCAAGGAGATCCGACGTCTTACGGAGAGAGGAAGCGGCAGCGGGATGGAACATAAGTTTAGTCGGAGGGTAAGGGTGGTCGAGGGAAATAGTAGGGCTAGTCTTGAAAGATAGGGTTTCGGTGTCGAAAGAAATAACGTCGACTCGGTTGTTGTAGTCTTCGATGAAACTTCCAACAGCAATACGGTGGTGGTTGGCGACGGAGCGGGAAGGAGAAGAGGAGAAAGCCATGGCGTAAATAGGGTAAAGGGATTCATAGGTAATGGAATTGTAATCGGATCTGAGGTGAGATTCTTGAGTAGAGTTCTCCATATTTGGGAAGAGGAAAATGTGAATTTCTTGGAATCGAAAGGGAAGGGACTGTTTGGTTTTGAAGGGAAAGGAGCGGAAAGTCAATACAAGGAGGAGGGAAAATTCAACGGGAAAGAATTTACCTTCCAGGTAGTTGGCGGTCAATGGAAACTAGCTGTTTACTGACACACAGAAAGCCGAAGGAGCAGCGGTTTTCACTCTCCGCCTTGTGGCCTTGGAAGAAGAAGTTGCCAATTGAATTGCTCCTTTAAATAAATTTTATTATTTATTATTATTATTAAAAATTATTAGAAATTGTATCATTTTCATATGACGAGAGTACGCTACGGTTCCTCCTTGCCAATTTTTTCATTTTAAAAAAATAAAATATTAAAGCAGCATTTTTGTTATTTTGTTATTTTTGATCAATTTTTTCGAACCATCAATTTTTTAATTTAATTATCTCATCTTCGTTCTAAATAATGACTCCTTTTTTTTTTTAATACTCATTCTCGTCCCATTTTATTTGTTTATTATTCTTTTTTTGAATGTCTCAAAATATTTATAAAGTTTTTAAATTTAGTCATATAAATAATTATTTTTCTTATAATAACTTTTATAATTGTTCATTGAATGAAAGATTTTTAAAATCAAAATAACTTTTGTTAACTAAATTTTTAATATGCGTGTTTTATCAAATCATGCAAACAAAATGAAACGGTGTGAGTAATTAATAACCTCATAACAAGTTTATTACGTTAATAATAATAAAACTCTTTCAAGTTTTTTTTTGTTCTAATAATTAATAATGCAAACAATAAGTTTATTGCGTTAATGATTTTTTGTTTCAATAATTAATAACCCTAGAATGATTGGCATTCCTCATTTATTCGACTTAATTGACCCTACATCTCTTTTGCTTCACAACATGTTTTTTTTTTTTTTTTTTTTTTTATCTCTTTTGCTTCACAACTTTTTTTTTTTTTTTTTTTTTTTTAACTCTCTCATTTGCATATTACTTTTTATTTTTTAATTTGTAGGAAAATTTTAACTAATAATTAATATTTTGGTAACAGAAAATACAGGTAAAGAAAAGAGAACATATAAATTTATATCAAGTATTGTATTATTTTTTTAATTTTATTTATTCATTTTTATGATCTGTTATGACTCTTTTTAATTTATCAATAAATAATTGTTTGTACATCTAGCAAATTGATGTAGTTTTTATAAAAAAAATCATTAATATTAAAAAATGAAATCACAATAAAATACCACTAAAATAATTTATCCCAAAAGCAAATGAACATATGAAACGACACTTCACATTTTGGCAGGAGATTCAGAAAGGACAAGTAGAATCTTGTGAGAAGACAAACAGATCAGGAGAAAAACAATTTTGGAAAACGATATTTAAAATATAATTTTACACGGAAAACGGCATTCTATAGAGGGGACGCACATGGCTAAAAGTCTCTGTACATCATAGCAGATACTTAAAAAAGGATGCGATAGGTAGGGTGAATAGTGAAATCAACAGCACTCTGTTTTATTTCTGGGAAAATGAAATAAAATCTCTGATAGTGTGCAGAGACCGTTAAAAGAAATCAATTTAGTTAATGGTGTGCCTAGATTCTTCAGGAAACCAATTAAACTAGATGTTAGCCATGTCCATGCCAAAAGAGAAAATATAAGAAAGATGCTTTAATTTAGGACCTATTCATACAAAGATGGGGCACCTGAAAGATAAACCAGATGAGCATCGAATAGATGGCACATTTTATAGCATTAGATATTTCATTGTTCTTCCACTTACATAGATTTGTCATCGAACATGTCTATTAACCGCTTGTGAAATGGGAGTTCTGATCAATTTCTGTAAAGTTTCTGCAATATTTGAAAACGATGGACGTTTTGATGGCTCACTGCAGTAAAAATCAATCTCAAAGTTAGAATATATGAGATAAGAAGAATGATTCATCAAATTTGTACACTATACATGCATCAATCAGTGGCTTATCGTGGACAGTTTTTGTGAAATACCGTCCCGCGTCACTATGAAGAGAAGGGATTCATCAAATTTTGATAGTTCATGAAAGAACTATAAATGCACACTTACGAAGTCAAGCAGGCATCAATTAGCGTAGCCACTGAAGAATTTATGTTTTTTGGAATTTCAAGCCTTTGACCCTTGAAACCAACAGCTGCAATAACCTGGAATAAGGTATAATGTAAACCATTCAGCTCCATCTTATCATTAAATTATCCAAGAATATCAGAATACACCATAAATATACTCATTTTGTGTAATTTACACACCATTTTGGTTTATTTTTTCATTCTTCCCTTCTGTTTTGAGAGTATGTATCAGGTTCTAATTCCTTTGAGGCAGTTCCATCCTTTTATCAGCAACCAGTACACCTTATCAACATAATCTACTTGATTCGATATTACCTTAGCTCTTCAGCCATAATGAATGCACTTAAACAAGTTTTGACTGGCTAACAAGTAGCTCAGTTTATATGTAACCCTAAGAGCAACCATCAAAAAATGTCTAGACTCTAGTGTAGGGTTATCCTGCCAATTTTATCACAATTCACTCCAGCAAAATTTTATTAAACAAAGAAGCAAGGATTGGTAGATCAGAACTTTTTCTTTTAAGCTCCCTAGAACTTTTCCTTTTTACTCCCTCCATTCTCTTTACTATTATCTACCTCCTTGTCAATTCCGTTCCACAGAACTGAATCAAACAACGATAGTTCATTTGGAACTTAAACATTATTATCTTAAAGTATCAGAATAATGTAGCAAAACGAGCATCTTGCTCTGTTACTACTCTAGGACCACCCAGTCAAAGTCAGTTACAGTGTTCGTATCTAGTAACTACTGGTCAAACATTCCTTAATAAGGAATAATCAATAACCATTACGGCTTATTCTTTTTCCTAGATTTTATTTCTGAGACAACAATCTTTATATTACTTCCTTCAAAAAGATTCTACCTTTCATTTCTGTCAAATTTATAAACAATATTGAACAACACAACCAATTCCAGATGTTTTTACTTGCATACAACATGGTAATAGATAAAAAACCTGAGATTGATTTAAAGTTCTCCAAGGCTGTTGAAGGGTCATGAGTTCCCACAAGATTACACCAAAGCTGTAAACATCAGACTTTTCATTTGATGACTCATTACGGAGTACTTCTGGTGCCATCCATTCAGGCTAAAGAAAAAGAACAGGCACTGGATGTTTTAGTGTTACTTTTATAACAAAAATTTAGAGAAATATGGCACATATAAACTTGGTAGCTTTAAAGTAGAACTTACAGTCCCAGCTGCGGTCTTCGATGAAAGATACGTATTTGCTTTTGAACGAGAAAGACCAAAATCACAAACCTGGATAATCATACACAAGCCCTGTAAGTTCACTATCTTTTCTTTTGTTTGTTAGTAAGGTGGTATCATGGGTTAGCTGTTATCCATCATACTGAGTCCACCTAAGACCATAATTAGCAGCATCCATATCCTTGTTACATAGAAAAAATCCCAGGCCAAACGATCCTAAAGTGTTTGAGATCTTTTCCTCTTTTGCAATAAAATAATCCCAACCCTTAAAATTGGCTATAAAATTTTATTATTTTACATATATGATTTGCTAACTATGGTAAAGAACTATGTCATTACCCTTCAAATATGAGTATTGGTTATTTTCCAAAAAAATCTTTCATTGTCTCTTTGTATTACTTCATATTGCAAAAACGTATTGGTACATACAAAATTCATAGATAGGTAGAGATTATGAAAAATGAAATAATACAGCACAAAATGATATAATAGTATTGGTAAAAGAATTGGTGACAAAAAGCATTTTCCTTCAAGGATGACTACAATACCATTCTATCTTGAAAAATTTTTATCCATTACTATTAGCCTCTCTACTGCCAACTATAACAACCTGTAAGTACTGCTATTCTTGGTGAACAAGGAGAAAAAAACTTCATGGATAGTCTATGAAGAAAGAATGAAGTTATGGATCATTTGTCAAATAAAGAACATCAAAACATTAACATCATATCTTTGTTATTGAAATCTGATTTGCTGTTTAAAATAATAATTTTGATGTCATTTATTAATTACTAAATAATGTGGGTCCATAAATAAAATCAAAACTTGGCTTGTTATGAGATATTAAAGAAATTTTAAGACTATTTGTATTCTTTTAATTTGTAACATATAAACCATTAGAAATTTTAAGATCTCTGATAAAGTTTTCCATTTTTCAAAATATTAAAGAAAATACTATTTTAACAAAAATGATTTTACTATTTCTATAATTAATGTATGTGATGATAAGGCTAGCATGTGCTGCACATGCAAGGTGTATGTGTATGATAGATTGCAACAAAGGAGAACAAGTTTCTAATACCAACCTTTACAGTGTATCTACTATCCACTAAGAGATTTAGAGACTTTAAATCGCGATGAACAATGGGAGGTTTCAGCTGATGAAGATAGTTCATACCCTTTGCCTGTTCAAAGCAGTACACAACTCCTTAACCAAGAAATGTAAAATGTCCAACATGATAAGTATAATAAGGTTTTCAATGTTTTCCTAGCAATTATTCATATGTGATTCCATTTGCTTCTAACAGAAATATAAGCAGCAAGAAATAAATGCAAACCACATCATATGCCATATTAAGGCGACGCTTCTCATCCAGCATCAATCCAGCATTGGGCATATGCAAAAGTTTATGCAAACTACCCCTGCAGTCCAAACCATATTATTCCCCTTCAGTCCATAAATTAGATGCATTCTTCTTAAGATAAAAGGATGTAAGCAAAAGTTTCTCTCAAACCATCACTTGGAATTTTAATACCTTGATAGATATTCTGTAACTATAGACAAGTGAGGAGGCTGAGTAACAGCACCCATAAAGAGAACAATGTTTGGATGCCGCAATCGTTTCATTGTTGCAACCTGATAAACAAATTGATGCAGTCAAAATCAACCGAAAAATAATAATAAGTGAACTATAGATACTCAATGTTTGCACTAAAAAGAAAGAGATGAAACTTCATCCATTTTGCAATGCCATTCCAACTTTAGTAAGTACAAATTTTTATGTGTACCTCACGCAAAAATTCATTGAAGCGCTCTGCATGGTAATCTTGCTCAATGAGAATTTTTACAGCAACATCCTGACATTGACATGCTCAGTTCTAAAGGATATGACACTAAAATGAAGGTGCAGAATTAAATATCCATTTCAAGTGGAAACAAAATAAAGGGAGATCAAGATGCTTACTGAACCACGCCAATCAGCACGATGGACAGTTCCGAAGGAACCTGAGAAACATTATTCAACTTCTTTCATATATACTCTTAAGAAATGCACAAACTAAAATTAAAGATCATGCGTTGAGAGAATTTGTATTATCAGTTGTTAAATCCTTGAAATTTCAAAAAAAGAAGATACCTTCTCCAATTTTCTCTTTCAAATCCAGTTCACTCCATGGGATCTCCAAATCTTCCTCTTCAAGATGGAGTTCACTACTTGATTTACTTATTATTAACTGATTTGCTTCCACGAACAATTGATTATTTGATGCATCAGGCTTCAGATTGGAGAAGAGAGAACTTGAATATGTATCCATATGCCCAGGTGGTAGGAGTGGACTCAGGGGAATTGGGCCTTTCATCAGGCTATTTGAGTCACTAACTGAGTTTACAACATAGAGATCCTTGCTATGGTTAATGTTTCCAGCAACTCTTTTAAGCAGAGGTGCTGCAGCTTCATGATTGTTGCCAGAAATGGGTAGAGGGTTCCTCTTGTCTTTATTCAATGTTTGGTTAAGTTTGTCATCTAGATCAATAGCAGTGTCTGTAATCATGAAAATTGGAACTTTTGACTGTCTGTAATAAATCATCAGATTATATGCCAGTTAATCTTGCAACATTAAATACCACATAGCAGCATGACTCACAAATAGCATTTTCTATGACGCATCAGATGTATCATGGGCGCGGGTACAAGACAGCTTATACATTGAACATACAGCCAGTGTATTTTCCCTTTTGTTTTCTGTCTAACTATAACCACTTGTCTAAATATTACTACAACAAGACAAGGTCCAATAACCATGGAGCAATTATTTTTCTTTTGGTTTACCATGAGATGTAAGTCCTTCAGAGCAAAAAAAATATTCAACAGTATTGATGGCTCTACTAATACAAGCATAAAACCAGATAATTACTGCACAATTTGTAGGTAAAAGACAACTTCTCTGGACCTAAAGCAATAACCAAAAATGGGTTCACTGTCCAGTAATGAATCAGTGGGACATGGAAAGATAGTATAGTAGAGGAAGATAATATTCATATTTCAAGAGGATGATAGGAATGTGATTATGGGCCCAGGGCCCTATTTGGTATATTCTAGAAGAAACAAACACACTGAAGGCAGCAAGTTTGCGAATCAAGAAAGAAGGGCACGTCAGCAAAATTAGTTATGCCTCTGATGCATATAGGCAGTATGATTTTGGTGAGAGAGGGCATCTTTTTGTGAGCTGTGTATTGTGCAGAATCAAGAAAGATGCCCTATCTCACCAAAATCATACTGCCTATATGCATCAGAGGCATAACTAATTTTGTTGACGTGCCCTTCTTTCTTGATTCTCAAACTTGCTTTCTTCAGTGTGTTTGTTTCTTCTAGAATATACCAAATAGGGCCTTGGGCCCATAATCACATTCCTATCAGAGGTGGTGGTGGCAAACAAACGTCAAAGCCATCAGCGATTCATATGGAAATATTACAGGGGGTATATGTGCAAAATAACGAGGATCACCTGAAGGAATATCCTCGAATGCAAGATTAAGTGACTGACAATCAAAGAAAAAGAGTCTGGCCAATGTCCTTAAATCCTCAGCTGTTTGGACAGCTTTAAAACTTGGATGAGATAACGGCGAAGAGACTAAGATCGAAGAAGCACAACTGATTGAGGAATCAGGCTGGCTTAACATTCCTGGCTTTCCAAATAAATCAACCAAGTATTCCCTGGAAATATATGTAGATTAATTCAGACATCTACCACTCCAACAGCCAGCCAAGTTGAAAAATGCAGAGTGATAGAAGTACCTAAAAGTGTAAGTACTATAGCAAATGCCAAGTAAAATAGATTTAGGCGTTCAGCCTAGGCCACTGGCAATTTTGAAGAATTGATAAAATGAAGGCACATATTCATTATTCACATATCCTCTTACAGCAGCAATAATTCATGTAACCTTGCTTGCTAACTTTTGTAGAATTCACGTATATTAACTATAAAGTAAAGGTAGCACGTGAACTTTTGAAAAGAAATCATTACACCACTAGGACAAACTTAGCAAAAAAATATGTAACTAAATAGTGGTTGATTGATGGTCATTGCATGGGTCATGTGTCCATTCTAATTCTGAAATTAGTTGCTGGTAAAACTTAACATGAATTCCAGGAATGTCAGCTTCATCACTCTTTGCTTCCATGCAGTTTGAGAATATGCAGAAAGCAGTGTCCCTTCGATATGAAAGCAAGAATATCCACCCATAGCATAGGAGATGCTAAATTGGATGATAAAAGATGATAAATTTGTTGTTTTTCCAAGAAAGGTAAATAGAAGTGAATAAGAATCCAGTAGATTCTTGTCCAGGCACAAATTGATAACCAATTCAATGAATTAGACTTTGATGATGAGGAGATGCTAGAGATTAGTTCCAAGGTACCGCAACAAAGTCTGAAGTTGTTAGATCTTTTATATAACTATGGCTTATTAATTATGTCATAAACATATATGGTATTCCAAGTCCATATCATATAGATGGAAATTGCAACTACCGTGCCCCTAGCTCATTCTTGCTACTGAACCTTCAATCCATATGCTGAAGAAACTAATTCACTATCTGTACTCTGGCTCCATATATGACCAATTGCCTATTGTGTAAGTAAAATTAGGTTTAATTTCTAAGAAGAAAAGAATCCCACAGAAATGAACTCATTTTTTCTTACTTTACAACTGGGAGAAACCCTCAGTAAGAATATCTAGCTTGGATTCTCTATATGCACCCACCATGTTCCTTCTAAATCAAATAAGTACCATTCAAATATTCTCTTTTTTCTAATTTTTTATTATCAGTCACCAATTTTAGCAAAAAGCTTAACAGACAACCATGACATGATTCATAAAATAGTTTGATGTACTTTATCATTGGTAGTCCTTGATGATCAAGTCTAATCCAATATATAAAATTGTGATATTATCATGTATGGTGCATCTTCAAGTTCATTTCCACCCCAACAGAAAAATAATCAAGTGGTCTTTCTATCTTCATTTGGTTAGTATATTTTTTTCCTCAATATTGTAATAGCACATTTAAGCCAAGCCACATTATACAATAATTAACTTTGAGGCCCGTTGTTAAAATTAATGTGTTTTTTTCCCCTCTTCATGCATCAGTTTGCCCAATTTTATTTCACTATAGGCTTTTATTTTAGTCTCACATCCTTCGTTAGTTATTGCTGTTCATTATCCTTTTTGCATTTACTCTCACAGCTATCTCAGTTTTCTTTGACCCACTATAAAGTTCTCAAAATTTTTCATTTCCTCATAACCTCGCATGTTCGAAAGCTCTTGCTATTCCAAATAACATACACCTTTGATGTAGTAAGCCATAAATACATATTGAACACTGCAATGCATACCTCTCATTACCAACCTGCACGAGACAAGAAGCAGTGACATCTCTTCTACAATATTTGCATCCTTTGGCAATTCTACAAGGTAAGTTAATTGAGTCTGCCAACACCTACAAAATTTACAAGTCAAGGCAAGTCTCGCCCTGTAAGCCTTTTCATTACACATTTTTAAGAGAGAGAAACAAATGCATATCCAATGTTGGAATAGGTAAGTGCAGAATTTAGCCCAAAAACTCCACCTCCCATCGAAATTACAAGTTGTAGCACGCAGCAGTAGCATGACATGAAAAAATAGCAGAATACATTGAAAAACAAATAAGCGGTGGTATTTACTTTAAACAGTAGGGCGCGATGGACACATAGGCCAAGAGGTAAGCTTCCAATTGGAAGCACGACAGATCCTAAACGGTTTTTTAGAACTTCATTGCATTCCTTCCAGCATATTCCAAAAGTTTCTTCTTCAGTAGAGGTTACACCTCTGCAGGGAAGAACTATTAACACGTGAAAATTCATGACAAAAGTTTGAAATTGCTAGCAAGTGGAAACTCACCCCATGCGACTGCAGACAAGATTGGCAAGCTTATCAATCACATCTTTTGTACTTATCCAGCAACTAGAAAGGCTAATAACTTTATTTTGTAGTTCCTTCAGACTAGGATCTCTGAATCTGTCAATCAACACCACTTTTATTGACAAATCAGCACAAGGATCAAGAGCCTTTAAGGATTCAAGTGATGGGACCAGGCCCGTGTCTCGTTGATCTGTACTTATAGTCCATGCATAAGGATCCACTCCATGAATTAAATAAAACCCATCTGGGATTCTGTCAAAGTAAGATAGACAGCCATTTACCTGGTGGACATGCAAACCAGAGGGAAATATAAACAGTATGTATATGTAACAAACAAAGTACGCATCACAATAATAATTATCCAAATAATCAATTCATTTGCAAAACTATAAGGAAAAAAAAAAAATTCAATCATACCTCAAGGTTATGGAAAATTTTTTTTTTTTTTCCGTGTCGAATAAAACATTTAAAATTTCAATCATGGAACAGCTTTTCCATGAAATAATTATTGTTCGTTCAAAACTGAAACTAAGCAAAACAACTATTCTATTCCTGACCGATTCCATGAATAAAACAGAACGTTAGCACAAAATACTGATAGAAATGTAAAGTCTCTAAAGTTTTGAATAAACCAAAGCCACACTAGGCCACCGCCAAATGTCTTACGACTGCAAACAATTAAAAATTATATAAAATAATATATTAACTTAAATCAGTGTCCAAGTAAATAAAATAATACAAGCTAAGCTAAAATATCTACAGAGAAGCCAATAATGAAATCAAATAAAATCCATCACATACCCAAAATCGATGAGAAACAGCTTCAGCAGAATTAGAAAAAGAAGCGATTCCTCCTCTTAGATGATCATCGGGTTTGAAATCCAAAAAATTTGAATCATTCGCTAATGCAGCCTGCGATGACAGCCTTAAAGCCAACGCTTGCTGCAACAGGTAGTTCTCTTCCGTCTGCTGCGCCCAGCTATTAAACGATGCCGTTTTAGCCGTTCCGGCAGTCGTTTCACGGTACCAGTGACCGTACTCCATTAGGGAAAAAGACTTCCGGCTACGGAATCAAATGAAGATAAAAAGAAATAAATTAAATCATATCTTTTATAATTCTGGTTTCTTGAGAGCGATTAGTGGACCAGAGAATCTTTTCTACTGGTAAACTTCAAAGGAAAAACATGGAAGAAGAGAAAAAAAGAGAAGAGGAGGAAATTCTTTTTTTAGTATATATTTTTTATTTTTTTTCAGCTTGTGGAAGTTAGATGGCCCACCACGAATGTTATTGGATTTCGCTACATTCAGTGAACCGAGATAGGAATGTGATTGAGTATGGTTGTGTATAAAGTTGTTAAATCACATAGACGTCTATGATTGGTCCCTTTAAATGGAGTGCTCACGTGTCATCTTCTGGTAAGTACATCATTACAGAATTGCAGGTGAAAACAGACAATAGTTGACATGGATGTGACAAGGTGTTGTTTCTGGTTGTCAAATCTAAGAGGTAACAACTAGGATGGACACACGTTAGGTTCGAATTGGAATGACAGCCAAAATAGTAATGGATCAAAATCGAACGAAACGGCGGCGCATAGCATAGGAAATTTAAATTCCATGTTAACGTTTAAAAGAAAAAAGAAATCGAGATTTGATCCTACTCGAACCGGTAAATTTTTTAAATCAATATATTTTTTAAACACTTGACTTGACAATACATTTCTTAATTTGAAAAAAAAAAAATAAAACCATTTTAACTTATTTCATTTTTTAATTTTTATTATCAGACATAAGAGATTAATACAAATCGAGTAATAATTTATATATCTATATGAAAATTGAAATAAAAAATATTTAACGGATTTTTTCTGTTCAGTATTCTATTTTTTATATATATATAAATTTTTAATTTTTAATTTTTTTATATTTTAAAAAAAATATTAAGGTACTTTTTGCTTTTCTCTTTCTTTTTCATAATTTATCTCTCTATGGCTCTTTATTTATCTTTCAAATTTATGGGTCTTTTTGCTTTTGATGGAAAACTTCTGTTTGATAAGTGTTTTTAAGTAGAATTTTCTATTTTCTTCTGTGGGTGTATAGTAATTTTTCAGAACGAAAAGAAGCAAGGGCTTTCTGTTCAGTAATTAAAAATTTGGGATTTTCCATGTTGGTGTTGTTACTGCAATCGTCCTAATATAGCTTATAATCCTTTTCTCTTAACCTTAACTTCCCAATTAAAATAGACACTCAAAGTTACAATCAGTTTGTTTATAATTATCATGTCTGTTTTTCTTTTTTTGTGTGTTATTTTTGGACTCTGGTCCAACAATTAATGGTTGGACCTTCTTCAGGATAAGGAAGCATCCCTTCTGATCAGCAGAGATTGATTTTTCCTGGCAAGCAATTGGAAGATTGCCGAACTGTTGCTGATTATAACATTCAGAAGGAATCAACACTTCACCTGGTTCTGAGGCTTAGAGGAGGAACTAAGATCAAAGTAAGGACTCTCACTGGGGAAGAGCATCATCATAACGTCTTCAAAATTAAAAAAAGACACATTAATTACATTCAGTCACCATCCACAACTTCTATATATTAAGACACATCAGTCACCATTTACAATGATTGCTTTAATTTATTTGCCACGTCTGAAAAATTGGAAGTTAAAAAACTTTCTCCAATATTGTTGTCAGTTTAGTCCGTAGTCTGATGTGCCAAAAAAAAAAAAAAGACACACAATGTCATTGTCTATTTAGTTTGTGAGTCTGATGTGTCGAAAAAAAAAAAAAGAGACACTCAATTACGTTGTCTGTGAGTCTGATGTGTCGAAAAAAAAAAGACACTATTCATCACACTCTTTGTTTTTAGAGTGTCTGTTGGACAACATTACTAGGGATGACAATTTAACCCGAACCAGCAAGTATCGGATTCGATCAGTTCCGATTTTAGTGGGTTCGGATAGTGAATAAACGGGTTCAAATAGTATTTTTACTATACGTAGGGATTCGGATCAAGTTCAAGGATGCGGGTACCAGTTGCCTATTACCTATTTAATAAATATTCAAAAAAATATTTAAAATAACATAGTGGAATAAACGGGTTCAAATAGTATTTTTACTATTAACGTAGGGATTTCGGATCAAGTTCAAGGAGTGCGGGTACCCAGTTTGCCTATTACCTATTTAAATAATATTCAAAAAAAATATTAAAATAAATTATTTTTTAAAATAAAAATTATATATACACACATTTTAAATTATAATTAACTCTATAAATTATTTTAATATTTTTACAATTTTATTAATGCCAAAATAAAATAAGTTTTAATATTTATATTACATTTTTTATTAAGCCAAAATAAATAAGTTTATAATTTTTCTTATTTTTATTTTAAAAAAATTAAAATAAAAAATATTTTTAATGCTAAACGGATTAAACAGGTTGGAATTTTTAAACAGGTAATTATAATTAGGTTTAAGATGGGTATGGGTAGTAAATATAAATTTTTAAATGGATTTGGAACGGGTTCAGATACCTAATTTGTAATCGGGTTCAAGTAGTTCATTTTAAATAGATATCCGACCCATTGTCATCCCTAAGCGTGACTCAACTTTTTATTCTTTTTATTCATTTTTTTCTTATTTTTTATTTTTCTTTATGCATTCTCTTTTATTTACGCACAAACTTTTTATTGTGGTGAAACTGATTTCTTTTTCATGCATTGAAGAGTCGTTTTTAAAATATAATATTTACAAATATACATTTAATTACATCGCCATCCATAACTTCTATTTACTAAGATACATCGCTCACAATCTACAGTTGACTAGGATTGAACAGGAGATGCTCTTTGCTGGCTATTTATGAAATACATGCACATAAAATTGCTTGCTGAAAGTAAAGTCTTGTTTGGATTCTCCAATTAGCTATATATACTATATCAAGAAATATACGTGGTATAATTAATAAACTGAACAGTCTGTACTAATCATGTTAAAGAGTTGACAATAGCATCACCAAAATGAAATTAATATTTAAAACTTTGCTATTTTTGGAAAATGTATCTAAAAATTATTTTTTTAATTTTTGGAACACTTAAAAAAATAGTCAATAGAAAATATTTTCCTTATCAAAAGAAAAATTAAATCATTTTAAAGGAAAAGACTTAATTTAAAAAAAATAATTTATTATAATCTTATAAATGTATGTTTATTAACCCATCAACCATCATATAGTTATCATTATCAATTATCACCAATCGACATCCACTGCTAACTGGTACATACCACAATTTATTTTTTTATGCATTTTTTATTTTTCAAAACTAAATTTTAATATTGCAATGTGCAACTAGTCAATAAAAAATAATTGTTTGAAAAACGTTTTCCTTATATTTTTTAAAATATACCATTTTGAAAGCAAAATCTTAATTAATTAATTAATTGGACTAGAAGATTTTGACATATACCAAAATAATATTTTCCACTATATAATTACTCTCATGAATTTTCTTCTATTTCTTTCTTCTTCTTAGTCTCCTAAATTTTGAGAAGGAAGAAGATGAGGCTTGTTTGTGAAATTTTGGATGGATTAAAGCCAGCAATATTAATGGTGGTTGTTCATATTGCATATAGTGGAGCTAATATATTGTATAAATTGGCTGCAAATGAAGGATTGAATTTGAGGATCATCATTGCCTACCGTTGGATTTTTTCATCTGCTCTTATAGTTCCTCTAGCTCTTATTCTCAACAGGTTTGTTTCCTGTTTATTTGTTCAATATGTATCATACTATGATGTTCCATGCAAAATAGAAACCGATTAGTTCCGAAGCATGTTAGGTAAAATTAACTATTTCAGTAATTGTTCAGTAATTATCAATTGTTTAATTAATATTTCATCAAACCTTGAAAAAAGTAACGTTCTACAATTTGCTTCCTCAAATCCTAAACCCTAATATAAATACTATGTTATCGAATAATATAAATAATAAAAATAGTGTTTTAATCTTAGTCAAAACGCTAAACTCTAAATGAGAAGTTCTTTCCGAACAAAACCCTAATAATTTAGATCGATTATTTTCAAATTCTAGTAATTTATGGAGTTTTTGACATGTTTTATACAGGAAGAGCAGACCCAAACTGACATGGCTGGTGATTTTCCAGGCTTTCCTTTGTGGATTATTTGGGTGAGATGAACTATATATATTGGTGGATTTTTGGGTGGAGATGAAACATATATATATAATATATAATATATATATATATATTATATTTATATATATATATATATTATATTATATATATATATATATTATATATAATTTAAACATGATCAACTTTTGAGTTTAAGTTTTAAACACTTATTAAATAGTTGAAAAATGTAAAAATTATTGTTATAAAATTTATTAACACATAGTAATCAAATATTTTGAAATTAAAAATGCAAAAAAAAAAAAAAAAAATCTGCTGAATGCAGAGAAATGTATATTGCAAAAAAAAAAAAAAAAATCTTGCTAATGCAGAGAAATGTATATTGCTACCAGAATTTATAACATTAGGGGCACAATAAATTTCTCGTAAAATTTAAAATGCCACAAGACTTTACATAAAGTAAAAGAATGAAGTTAAATATTTTACGTTTTAATCACTAAATTTTGAATCCAATCAAATAGGAAAAGATATTGGAAATTAATATAAACCAAAAAATTAAAAATTCTATATAATAAGGATATTGAATAAGATGCTAAAAAATAAACCTCACAAAGCATGAAAATGTCTTTTCTTTTGTTTCAACTTTCACCTATACTTGTAGCACTAACACTTGTACTATAGAGGACTAGCAAGCCAGAATATGTATGTGGAAAGCATTGCCTTAACATCAGCAACATTTGTTGCTGCCATGTCCAATCTCCTTCCTGCTACAACATTGATATTGGCTCTCACTTTTAGGTAATATATATATATATTCTTATTTCAATTAAAACTCAAAATCAAACATTTTGTTGATTAATTGCTTAATTAATCTCTAAACCTTGGTCATATTGTTGTCACCAATTTTCCTTCAGATTGGAAAATTTGGAGCTAAAAACTAGAATAGGGCAGGCCAAGTTGATAGGAACATTAGTAGGAACAGGAGGGGCAATGGTGCTCTCTTTTTATAAAGGTCCAAGAATCAACCTTTGGTCAACAAATGTTCACCTTTCAAAGCACATTGAGCATCAAAATAGTCATACTTCTTCTGGCAATCATATTCTGGGCTCCTCTTTGGCATTGGGCAGTTGCATCTCTTATGCGTTGTGGTTGATAGTTCAGGTTTGCCTTTTTAAGTCATCAAAAACTAAAATTGGAATTAGATTACTTCTATCACTTCAGATGATAAACTCCAATGGAGAAATATGCTAAATTTGCAGTTCAAGCTCCAATATCACTAATCCCTAACATATCCATATCACTCTGTATTTTTTTTTTTTTTTCCAATCTGTAAAGGAAACCAATTTGTATTGTTTTCAATGGCAGACTAGGATGAGTAAGAGATACCCGTGTTATTACTCCAGCGCAGCTCTAATGTCCATGATGGCATCATTTCAGTGTGTCATTTTATCCCTTTGCATGGAAAGGAAATGGAGCCAATGGAAGTTGGGATGGAATCTCATGCTCCTTATTTTTTTTTTTTTTCCAATCTGTAAAGGAAACCAATTTGTATTGTTTTCAATGGCAGACTAGGATGAGTAAGAGATACCCGTGTTATTACTCCAGCGCAGCTCTAATGTCCATGATGGCATCATTTCAGTGTGTCATTTTATCCCTTTGCATGGAAAGGAAATGGAGCCAATGGAAGTTGGGATGGAATCTCATGCTCCTTACAGTTGCTTATACGGTATGTCAATTCCTAATGCCTGTAAAATTCAGTTATGTCAGCAATTACATTATATGTCTAAATAGTTGCATAATATGTCTAAATAGTTGCATAATATGTCTAATAATTCAGTAGAATTCAGTCATGCATCTTACAACATGCAGAATCATGTTTACATTAAATTCAAATGCTTGGACTGACAACGCAACCGCCGAAATACTCTCTTCAACACATGATCTTTATCATAGTTTTATAAACTTGCTTGATAGTTGCTCATGTTACTGGACCTGGTTCCCTAGGGGATTGTGATCGCTGGACTTGTGGTGATCCTCATAGCTTGGTGCGTGCAAATGAGAGGGCCAGTGTTTGTGGCTAATTTTAACCCTCTCTCGCTTCTGCTCACGGCCATCATGGGATATTTGATGCTAGAAGAAAAGCTGCACCTAGGAAGGTATAATTGTTCATATTTTTTTCCCACAGTTACTAACTTATGGCACTAGATTCACCAAATAATCAAAGCTGAAGATAACAGATAATTCTAAGTGGATCTCTATTCATATCCATTTTGTGCACTTTCTTGCTCATGGCAGCATATTAGGGGCAGGGCTGATTGTGTGTGGATTATATATGGTGCTTTGGGGTAAGGGCAGGGAGATGAAGGAAAGATCTCAACTAGTGACAACAAAAAGTTCCCCTAAATCTGAAGTAGTTGCGGTTGTTACTGATGGTGATCAGCCAACATTAAATACTTTTTCAAATGAAGACCCATTGCCAAAGGAGCAGCGTGACCAAAATAAATTGGAGGAGAGTGAAAAACACAATAAAAATACTAACTTATAGCCTCAACATGCCGGATTTTGTCATTTATAAGAAATGCTGAAGTATATAGCGAGTGGCTGAGAGTCACTTCATTTAGTTTGGTCTCTAAGATAGATTGCTAGAATAAATCAACATCATGAAATTGCATCAGAGGTCTAAGATGTAAGCAAGTATTGCTAAAGTCCTATTCAATTCAAACAAGTTCTTTGAGCTAGCCTAGAATCCTAAATTCAATTTCTGCAGGAAAGAAAGGACACACACACACACACACACACACACACACACACACACAAGAAAAAGAAAAGCTATAAAAATATGTAGTCAAACCATACAGTGCATTTTACCTAATGCAGAGATGATCTAACAGAATTATAAAACGTGTAAGCTCAGTTGCTAAAAGATGGGTCTTCTTCGTAATGATAAAGAGGACTTCATAACTCACAAACCAGGCAGAAGCAATTTCTGGCCTCGTTAACCACCAAAGACCACATACAGGCAACCACTCTTTGTCCTTCATATTGATCAACTACGGAACCTGAAAGCCAATGGCTTTGGATAATAACTTCAAAATATAATTCATCAACCACCATAGACCACTATAGTTTCCTTATGGAATCCAAATATTTTCCTGAAATTACCTCCTTTAACTTCTCAAGAAAAATATTTTGGCCATCACTGACTAAAGACAACACGGGCGCCATTTTGGCAACAAGAACAAAATTTTCTCCATTTCCAACATCAATTTCATACAATTCACTAAAAATCTCTAGGAATTTATTTATTACCGTATCGTAGAATGATCTACTTGGAGGAATCACATTTATAATAAGAATTCCATAGTCAGAAAGAATAGATCTCGCAGCTGAAAGAATATGCCTCTGAATAAACTCCAATGGGGGAGAACTTATACCGCTCCGAACATCACAGCAATCCAAATCAACCATAATTACATCAAACTTAGCACCAAAACCAGTTGCACGTTTATAATCTTCCCTAACCTTATCAGAAACCAAATTTGAAGAAGTACCAGGACTAGCAAGTTTCTCTAAAAACTCTATTGCATCTCCAACAAAAACTTGAGTTTCCCAATCTTCCAATCCAAAATATTGCCCTGCCACCCTCAAAACCTCCTCATCCATTTCCACACCAAAAACTTCAAAACCCAATTGGGTTCTCAAACAACTGAGCAAAGCACCACCCCCAACTCCTAAACACAAAGCCTTAGGCTTAAACCCATTTAGAATCCTATCCTCAATAGGAGAACTAACCAAGGATAGACCAGCTACCATTGGTATCAAATATGGATGCACCAAAACTCCAATATCAGGCCTAAATTCCACTTCGCCACCAATTTTTATACAATCCAAAGCAAAACCTGTCTTAGGCACGATTGGGATCTCTGTTTGAATCAAGTTTGGCATCCTTTTAAACCTCAGTCTCCTCCTAAACTCTCGTTTTCTATTATTATCATCTAATTCACTGCCACTGTCAATCTCAACATCTTCGACAAGCATTTCACCAACCGAAACCCCAACACATTTTTCTAAAACCCCACTAGAAATCAAATTATCTTCATAATCTAAGACAGGTATGTCAAAATTCCTATTTTGAACAGAAACTTTAGGAGATAAAGCAATAAGGAGTGATTTTGAGCTATTTGCAAGGGTTTCGGCAAACTGCGTATCACTATCTTTCTTGTGGTAAATAAAGAGAGAATTAGGAGCATTGGCAGTGTTTTTGCCAATCAATATGAGGCGTGAGAATCCAGGAGAGGAAAGGAGAAGCTGGAGATGACCGGACTCGGTGGAAAAAATCCAATCAGATTCGCGACCTTGAGGGACAAAAAGAGCGGCGACTCGGGGTGACTCAGTTGGTTCAATAGGTGAATCGAGAACGGCAATTCGAAGGAGTTGGGTGGGAAGAGTTGGGTGGGGGATAGTGAAGGAGATGAAACGAGAGGGAAAGATGGTTTCGAAGGTTGAACTGTCAAGTGCCATGGTGCTTGTTTTTCGTTTTTCTTCTTGCCTTAGCGACTAATTGAACATTGGGTTATTAAAAAAAAATAAATACTATTTATTTATTACGAGTTATATAAATCTATTAAATTTTTTTAAAAATTAATAGTTCAAATATTTTAATTCCATCAACTTAAATAGTTCAAATTGTCCTTCTTTAAAATATTTAAATGGCTCGATTTTATTTGAACTGAGATAGAGCTCAAATAACTTAAATAATAAACGGAGTACTTAATTTAAATATTATAATATTCAATATATAAAATTTATATAATGTAAATATATATTATAATTGTTATTTAAATATTAATTTTCTGATTCAAACCCAACTCCAATTTATTTAAATTCAATCAAGTTTAATTTTAATATTGAATAAATAAATTTTAAATGGTAATCGAATTGAATTAAATCTAAGTTTAAATCTTTTTGATTTAAATCTTTCAAGCATTCAGTCGAGGTGAATTCAAAAATTTTCAATGAAGTTTCAGCACTTGAGTTAAGTTTTACCTCGGCATTAAAGGTTGTACATGATTGAGATTCAAAATTGTAAGTTCATTTTCAATATTATTAAAATAATACACCTATTGATGTCAAAGCAGAGATTGACCTTTCCCAGTAAAAAGTATGATAATTCATTTAAATAATTTACATATAACTCAAAAATATTAATTAAAAACATTATGTTACATAATCTTATTAATTTTCTCAAATATTAAAATAAGTAATAAATCATAGTATACCCAATTGCTCGAGGCTTAGCCTGAAAAAAATTCATCCGATAAGCTTAGCGGACGGATTCGATCTGCTTATCAAGCTTATTTAATAAATAAGTTGAGTTCTAACTCGAAAATGTAAAGGGGTTTTTTTTTCTAATTATAAATTTTAAAAGAGTCTACCTCGAGCTTAATGTTCAAATACAGGATCATAGCACCATTCCATATACAGTATGGGAAAGAAACCAATAACACTCCTCTATTGTACAACCAAGAATCAACGCAAAAGGAAATTTATTACCAGCACCAAAAAAACTACAAACATTTTGAACTTCAAGCAAAACTATTAGCAGTCAAATGATTATTCGAATAATGGGCTATCGGCCCTTGCTAATTTAATGTGAACTATACTCCCTTTGCTATTCCTTTTCTTGCAAAATAAAGAATATGACTAATACTAAATTAATTCATTGTAACAGTATTTAAACCTCATTTCTGGTTATCGCATTACAAAAATGGATTTATGTCTCACCTCTTCTTGTTTTTCTTCCTTCCCTTTACTTGTTTCTCTAAACTTTTAATCCTCTGACTAATTACTGAAGATGAAGATATTCTTTGATCCGAAATCATCTTGGATGATGATTCAACAGGTGATGAAGTAGCAACCTGCTGTTTTGCCGCCAGGGCTTGTTTGATTGCTGAAGAAAGACTGAAGGAAGACTGTGAAGCAGTGCCAGCTGGAGGAACAGGTATTTTAGGAATACCCAAGGTCTTCTTTACCCCAGGAACTTTAAGCACTACGAGTAATAATTGAACAATTACATGTGTTAGTGATAAACTCAAAAGTGTAACTTTGACAATTCAACAATTAGGCATTTAACTTTGATAGTCCAAGAGATGAAGAGAATGAAAAGCCAATAACTTATTGACAATAAAATTCTCACATTCCTAGAAATGCAATTGCAAACTTTGATCGCTCATAAACTAGAAATTGTGAGGACTCACCTAGGCCGTAAAACAGCGAGAATAAGTTGGAAGTGATCCAATAACAAAATATAGCCTGCAAAAATGTGGAAGTGGACTGAATTACTGACCTACATTCCAAGTGGGTATATAAAAGTTTATATGAAGCTACTCTATTACTCTTTTTTGTTAGATCCAATGATATTTCAATGATAAACAATAAACAACTGAAAGTAGAAACAGAAGGTTTCAGGAAGGAGAAGAGAGGTGGAAGGATGACCTAAATTTAAGTTCCCTTATGAATTCTCTCACATTTCATATTCTAAGCACTAGAGTGAAAATTTTCCAACATATTCAGTAGGAGAAGGGTAAAATTTTACATGGAAGGGAGCATTTGGTATTGCAAAGTGATAAGCTTTCTATATGAATAATTCAAAGGAAGCAGACATTGTGATTCAGTGAGATAACAGGGAAGATTTTAAACCTTAAACACACAAGTGATTGCAAGATTACCTTGGGGAAACTCATGGTAAGCGGAATTGAAACAGCAGCCAGGACCCTAGATACATTTTTCATCGTGCCAGCAGCAGGATTTCCTTCCATGCCTTCTTGCATGTTGCACTGAGAGAATGGATACAAGTAGTCGATAAAACAATTGACTCACAAAGTGGCACAGGAATAACATTGAGCAAAACAAGAAGACTATAATGAATTCAAACCAGAAAGAAGTAAACTCTTGTCCAGTTTGACTTGATTCGACAAAACAAGGGCCTACCTCCACAGTTATCCAGAAAGTTAAGGCTGTCAAAATTGGAAAGATGTATAGACTATCTGGAGTTGTTAAATCAACAAACCAAAATGCTCCACCAGTTTTAAAGGAAGGCACTTTTTCTACCATGTTTGAAATCTGAAAAAGTAAATCATCATAGAGGAATTTAAATGTCAAGCTCAATCTAATATTTTAATACCAATATTTCTTAGTTTGAAGCAAATATTCAATATGACAATCTATAAGAAAAAGACATCTTACCGCCAGGAAAAAAGAGATAAAGACAGGACCTTGAATAAAGAGCCCCTTCAGTGGAGTAAAAGGACTCACACCATATCTGCAATTTGCAAATCAAAATGAGCTAAAAATTCTCGAATCAAAAAGCCGCACAAATGGTGACAAACCTAGGATTACAGACTTTATTAACTATTAACAATCACAATTATAATCCTTGTTATTAACATATTACTTTAAAAGGCACAAATGACCCTCTAGAAAAGTTGAAAACCCATTGGACTTGGTTTTGTCCTATAAAATTTCTCGATGAGAGTTTTCATCGTCAAGCCAAGCACAAATTCATTCATGAAATATGACTACACTACTGTGTATATGCATCTCTATACGAATCAAGTTTATCTAAAATTAAGGAAGTAGCAAAGATATTGCTTCACAAATATCTTATATAAACCTTGCATGTAAAGTAAATAATTACTTAAAGAGTAAAAATTCTATCTGAATGAAGCAAGCTCCAACAGAGAAATCTAATCTAATAATCTACTTTAATTTGCAAGTAATGATTAATCAAACACTATGCCTTAAATCAACTAAGCTCACTAGTAAAGCTTAAATTAGTACCGGTTCTGAAATCATTAAATCAATTTTTATTTCATAATGTACGCTTCTTGTTTTAAGAATTGTCTTCATTCTGAAACACCAGTTGAAACCAACAAACTCCTATTAAATGGATTTAATTCCCAAAAGGATATGGCATTTTATTAAAACACTAATAAGACTTAAATTTTATACAACTCAAATCTACCAGCACTTGAAGATTTTAGCACGCATTGAACATGAACAGGAAATAATTGAAGTTACAAAAATGGATCAAACTTAATTGCAATTGATTTCCTTTAAAAGTAGAAGGAAACATTGCTTACTCATTGAAGAGCAACTTCATTTGTTTTTGGCCTTCTGCCACCGTAGCAGGGTCCATACCCTGAGAGAGAGAGAGAGAGAGAGAGAGAGATAGAATTGACATGATTAAAAGAAGCATTTCCCAAAAACATTTTTTCAGATACCATTTTATGCAAGAACTTCAAGGTGAACAGAGGTCAATAGCACATAGTTAACAATGTACAAGCAAAATTTCATAGATTGTATTCTCTATTTAAAGAATGATGATCCCAATTCAGAAATATTATGAGATAAACAACCACCAGATTATAAAATTTCCAAGCTTCACATGATAGGGTTGATCTGTGAGAAGCTATCTCAAGTTGTACTCAAGTGCCCAGGAAAAACCCTACCAAAGTCATTATATCTATGCATCTTAGTGTGCATATGTATGTTTACCAATCTAAAATGGACTGCTGAAGAAAACAAGAAAAGTAAAACAAAAGGTTCAAAAACCCACATCCAAACAAGGAGAAAAGATGTCTAGTTCCAGTAAACATGAATCAAAGATATGTCTAGGACTTCAAACATTTATAAGATGATAAGATAATCAGAGAAGAAGCAAATAACATACTTTATCTTGCATCTGTTGCTTAATCTCCTCCAAGCGTGGCCTCATCAGCTGCAGAACATACACAATTGCTTAAATATAAGGGGCAGAGGAAAAGCAACAATTTTGTGAAGCAATTAAGATCATATGCTGGCAAGAACTGAAGCGCATAATAATGAGAGTACACTGGCTGCAATTCATATTGTGCTTATCTGCACACTAGTATACTAATCACAGCATGGTAAATTTCACATCTCTGACACCACTAGAGCAAACAATTATTAAACTAAAGTCAAAAGATAGAAAAACAGGATGAATATATTTTCCCACCAAGAAAGATGTAAGTAAAAACAAAAAGGAAAAGTTTATATATCTCAAGTTTACCAGATCAGAATAGAAAAACAATATAAAAAGACAAATAAAATATAAAAATAATCAAAATAAAGAAGCAGCAAGCATCAAATTAATTAGCCAAAATCACGGGCCATAAAAATATAAGTTTCAAATAAACAACAAAGTTATTACTCTTTGTAAGGGAATAAAGTTGTCCGTAAATACCAGTCAACAATGTTAACTGAATGAGGCAGAGGAAAAAGGCAAATGCAGCAGCAAGTAAAGCAACATACAGTTAGTTTCGATGTAGCTTTTAGTTGATTTATCAGAAGTGGAACTGTTGCCCCTCGAATCAAAAGAGTAGTTAAAATTATTGAAGCCCACCTGAAAGAAGTAAAGAGGAAAGAAAACAATATCGTATTATAACATATATCACACATCACTAAAAAATTTGAGGTAGTGTGATCCAAGAAATAATGAATTACACATATTGTCTTCAAAATGCTCAAAAAGTTAAAGCAAACAGTGTACAGCACCTTCATAATCACCACACGACGAGCAGATGCACAAAATGGTAATGTTTCCCTTATTTAAACCATTGTCATACATGAAACAGATGGGAATTTTGAGGCAGATTGAGTGGAACTAAACTGAGTAATTCTTCTTAGTTTTAGTTATTGAAGACATCTATACCAAAAAGTTCAAAGATTTCTAACGGTTCATGCAATTAGCAGTTATTAGCTCAACATTACTTAATAATTAATTTGAAATCTGTACAAGTAAATATCAGAAACAGATACTTACCAATTAAAACCAGTAAAAGAATGCACATTATCAATAACATGCTGAAGGATTGCAACAGGGAAAAAAGAATCAGCAGCAGCAACTGCAACTTCATTCACTGCAGGGTTGGCCACAGCTTGAACAGTGGTGTCTGTAAGAACATCAGCAACATCACTCATCAGCTCAAGTTTCTCTGACCCTTCACCAATTGTCGTTGACATATACCGGAGAAACGATGCCCCAATGCTTGGTGAGAGAGAAAACTCAGAGCATCTTCTTCTTTCTTGAGAGAAACCACTGTATTTGGATGAATTATTGATAAACCCACTTGCAAATCCCCTCTGCTGCAATGAACTACTACTCATCCCTCTCAGAGGCAATGGACCTTCATCAATGGAGTTGCGTTTGCGATCATCATCATGATGAAGAATATAACTAAACGAAAATTGACATTGTCGTCTGACAAGATTTGCTCTAGTAGAGAGGCTACGTATGTAAGCCGCCATGTAATATAATTCCTCTAATAACAAAGACAAGTGTATAACAATATTAGAAATTGAAAGATTCAAACATCAATCAAATTGCACAAGTTCAAAATCATTTGACAATATTGCGAATAAACTTTGAAGTCAGTTAGTGAAATTATGAATTTTTTTCTGTTATATTGTTTCTTTAATTCAGGTTCCTTCTGAATCAGTGAATATATCAGATATACATATTCCTAAACTATCCAACAGCTACAGCTTCCAAATTATAAACCCAGATGGGAAATGTGAAAAATACCTCTAGAGAGATGTTTAACTATCCCAACTCCAATTCTTGAGATTCTAGAAAATAACATAGTAATTAAAGGCGCAACGCACACTGAGGCGCAAAGGGCTGCTGGAGCCTAGGTGCTAGCCTCCAGGCGAAGGCGCGCGCCTGAGTGAAGAGAGGCGCAAAAAATAAAAGAATAAAATACATAAATCTGAAAATATATTTAAGATATCAATCCAAAAAAAAAAAAAAAAAAAAAAAAAAAAAAAAAAAAAAAAAAAAATATCCCAACTCCAATTATTTGAGATTCTAGAAAATAACAATAGTATTAAAGGCGCAAACGACACTGAGGCGCAAAAGGGCTGCTGGAGCCTAGGTGCTGCCTCCAGGCGAAGGCGCGCGCCTTGAGTGAAGAGAGGCCGAAAAAATAAAAGAAGAATAAATACATAAATTCTGAAAATAATATTAAGATATCAATCCAAAAAAAAAAAAAAAAAAAAAAAAAAAAAAAAAAAAAGTAGAAAACATGGAAAGAAACACACGTAAATCAGAAAAAAAATGGCAACATGACAAGTTATATTTTACGATGTTAAAGTTAAGACACAAAAGCATATAATCAAAAAAATGAAAAAAAAAGAAAAGAAATAGAAAGCAAATATAGGAAGAAAAATTGAAACAGTTATATCTGGATGGAATGGGGCTAAAGACTAGATTGTAAGAGGTGAGTGCTAGACGAAGGAGTGGAGGTTGGATCACATAGCACATCACTGGTTTTTGTGCTGCATTTTATTTCTTTTATATTTATTTATGTTGTGGAAGCTGATGTTGGCTAGATAGCTTTATATTGAAAAAAACCCTAGGTGACTTGTTCTGGAAAACAAAATATAGAAAGGCGCCCGTTTCTCGAGCCTTAGGCACAAAAAAGGCGCACGCCTCTACCCAAACGCGATAGCCTGAGTGAAGTCGCCCGCCTCAGGACTGTTGAGGCACGCCTTTTAATAACTATGGGAACTAAAATGATTGTACCACCTCAATGGCTCCTATATTCCAGAAAAAACAAAGGGAATGACAGGAAGCACATATTACATCTTGAAAATAGCATTCAAATTTCAACGACAAAAAATATATGTAAAAAAGAAAAAAAACACAAATTTCCTGAACTCTAATGAACAAACTGTGAGAACTAAAAAACAACCAAAAGCACATTGAGGATGGATTAATAACATTCCAGTTTATAAAACCATATAGCTATCAGCTCAATGTATGCTAGATTAAGTTGCAGCTTAATAATCTCATAGCAATAGTCAAGATCCCACTACTGGCACTTGCGAAATTACAAAACATTAAAAAAAAAAAAAAAAAAAAAAAAAAATTACAAGCATTAAAAAAAAAATAAAAGAAAAAAAAGCAACAAAAGGGGAGTTAAAACCCCAAAGCTAGTTCCAAAATTAGTATGTTTGACGCCACCTAAAAGATGGAGCAGAAGTGAAGTATTCAATAAAAGAAAAGATATAGCTGAAAGGATAACGACCTTGTTTGAATTATTATCTAGAGTTCAATAAATCAATGCAATGACAAGGTTTTGAAGAGGTTTTCCTTTATAATGAATGTGTGAAGTTTCAAAATTTGAGCAGAACGTAACGAAGCATCTAAATCTTCATTTGGGAAAGAAAAAAAAAAAAAAAAAAAAAAAAGCAAAAAGGGGAGTAAAACCCAAAAGCTAGTTCAAATTAGTAATGTTTGACGCCACCAAAGATGGAGCAGAAGTGATAATTCAATAAAGAAAAAGAATAGCTGAAGGATAAACCTTTTATTATTATTTAGATTCAATAAATCATCAATACAAGGTTTTGAAGAGGTTTCTTTATATGAATGTGTCAAAGTTTCAAATTTGAGCAGAAACCAACGAAGCATCAAATCTCATTGGGAAAGGCAAACCTTCTCCATGATACACATCAAAAGTTTCCTTTTTTAAGGCAAAATGGTCGAGCTCAGGACGATCGTAACCAATGTCATTAACCAGTACTTCTATGAATGATAGAGCAAAAGATTGGCTAAATAGAGTTGATTTCCTAATTACTCGTACCACAGAGATCCTGCACTGCTTATAATTTCAAATTAGATAACTCAATACTATGTGAGATCATTAGGGTTCAGCTATGGAGAGGTCATAATCAAAGCATTCTTCATTTTATCTTCAACGTAACATTATTTGGCATTACAACTTCAAAACCTATTCTTTAATGTTATAATGAATATACCAAGCCCAGCAAATTCATAACCACAACAACAGAATCATAAAACAGAACTGTTGCAAGAAACCCTTTTCATGTTTCAACCAAGACTGATAAAAAAAAAAAAGGATAAACCTCTATTCAAAATCTCAAAAATCAATCTGATTACAAAACTAAGGGAAAAGGATAAAGACACTATGATGTTTAACAGAAAGAAGAACAAGAAATTGCACCTGTTCTGGGTGAAGCAGTTGCCCAAACCAAAGAGAACAGCCAAAAACTAAAATGATACCTGATTTAGGAAATTAGGTTAACGAAAGGGATGAAGCCCAGGCTGCTGATGGTGAACGCGTTTCCGTTTCGTTTCTTTTCTTTCGTCGCCTGCAGGGACTTATTTTATTTTTTCTTTTCTTTTGTCGTTCGGCTTCATTTGGGTGCCAAAGAAGGATCTAAACCCTTCGCAGAAGAAGGGATAAAAAAATTCTATATAGAAAAAAGGATAAAAAAACTTCATACATGAGAACGGATAAAAAAATTTTAATTAAGGAGACAAAGCAATAATAAAAAAAAATAAATTTATTAAAAGAAAATAGAGTTAAGTTTATTAAAAATGAATAAAAAATTAGGAGCGAGAAAAAAAAAAAAAGAAAAGTAAAGGCTATCGCTTATTAACAAACACAGAGCCAATCGAATTCTAACATATTAAATAAAATTAAAGAGAAAAACCCTAAACTAGCCCGTTTTAGAATTTTTTTTCGTTATTGTACTTAATTGCATATTATATTCAATCGAATTTTAATATTTAATAAATTAATTAACTTTACGATAGAAAGCATGAATTTTTTATTTTATGCAATGACAATGTTTTTGTTATTGTAGTTAGAAAATGATACTTTAGCATAAAATCAATTATAAAACCAATAATTAGAATCATTGATCATCAATCACTCATGCTATTTAGCTTGTTTATCTAGCACCTCTTTAGTAAGTTCGTTGAAAATTTTGAGCTTGAAATATAAATTATTTATTATAATATAAGAAGCACCATTTAATATAATAAGCTACTAATGATTCGTTAGTGACTTACATTGAGCGGATATCCAGTAAATGAAAAATAGGCATTAATTATTATAATTTAATTATAACGATTTATTTTCATTTTTCAATAAATTCTCATCACTTATATTTATTTTATATATGATATTTTTATGATTTTTATGTTTTAATTGGATCATAAAGTGAATTTTGAATTTTCTAGCTATATAATTGTTAATAATGCTTACATCTTTCAAAATTTTAATTATAAATAATAATGATACTTGGCAGTTATATTTTATTAATCATAACGTTATCGAGTATCCTTTACTTATAATAATTTTTATTTTTTCAATATTTGCAATGGATAACGATGATAATAAAATCAAATTTACAAACTAACAGTGATAATAAAATTGATAGTAATAACAAAAAATAAATTATATTCTCTGATTTGTTTAATGAGAGTTTTTGAGATGAAGAATATGAGAATTGTTTTTTGAATTAAGCGTTTAACCTTTTATATAGTGGGAAGAAAGGTAGGGTTACCAAAATATCCCCTCAATTGAGGGTTTTTAGGGATACGGGATAAACAGTTACCGGATATGATTTTATTAATTAGATTTATAGTTTGCATTTTGAACATTATATCATATTTATTATATTTTATTATCAGGAGTCCCCAAAAAAGGTTTGGTCATTTATGTCCAAGTGTGTTTGTTTATTGCAAATTGTTTGTATATGTATCAACTTAAGTCCGTTTGTTAAAGAGCTTTTTTGGAGCTCGACCAGGACTGCTTAAGTCCGTATGTCATGGAGTTTTTTGGAGCTTGGCCAAGACTACTTAAGTCCGTACATCAGAGAAATTATTTTAAAGCTCGGCCAGGACTACTTAAGTTTGTAAGTCAGAAGCTTGGCCAATATTGCTTAAGTACGTGCGTCAGAGAGCTTGTTTTGAAGTTCGGCTAGAACTGCTTAAGTCCGTAAGTCAGAGAGATTGTTTTGAAGCTCGGCCAGGATTGCTTAAGTCCTTGCGTTAGAGAGCTTGTTTTGAAGCTCCGCCTGGACTGCTTAAGTTTGTACGTCAAGGAGCTTTTGAAGCTCGTCTAGGATTGCTTAAGTCCATATGTCATGGAGCTTTTTGGAGCTCAGCCATGACTGCTTTAGTCCGTGCATCAGGGAGCTTATTTTAAAGCTCGGCCAGTGCTGCTTAAGTCCTCACATCAGGGAGCTTGTTTTGAATCTCGTGTTAGGACTACTTAAGTCTGTGCATCGGGGAGCTTGTTCTGGAGCTCGGCCATGACTGCTTAAGTCCGGTGATCAAAGTAAGATAAAGGATTTTTTTATATAAACCTCAAGAAAAACTTACCATATATAGTCATTTCTACACCCTAGATCGGTAGACCCTTTCGATTTCCCCTAATACTACTCTAGTTCGCCTTTTTGCAAAATACGTTCTAACTCTCTTTTAAGTTGCCAGCAAGCTTCAATGTCATGCCCAATGTCTCTATAGAACTTACAATATCGGCTCCTGTCTCTATATTCGGTGGTATCTTCTTTCAATTTCTTGGGAAAGGTTTTATGTACTTTATTACCTTGCACTGATATCCATGCTAATATCTCACCACTTGATTTATTGAGGGCTGGGTGAACTCCTTTTCTTTAGTGAACTTGATCTCTTTGTGATAATGGGCTTTGATTGGGTAGCTTGTTTTTGGGTGTGTGATGGGCGACCTTCCCCTTGTTGGAGATGAGTATCGACTTCCACTATATCTATCATTTCGGGTTGAGCTTTTTTGCCATGCGAGGTAGGCTTTATCAAGCTTTGTGTACTTATGAGCTCTGGCCATTAGTCCTGCAAAAGATAGAGGAAGGTAAATTTTTATACTTTCAAAAAGTTTTTTATACTTACAGGTCTTTGCCATGGCGTTGATGGCGACTTCTCATTCAAGTTCTCCATCTGCATTGCAAATCTTTGAAACTTTACTATGTATTGCCTAAGTGATTCTCTTTCTTCTTGCTTCAGGTCAATAAGGTCGGAGGAGATTTCCCTTAGAGGGATGCTAGTGATGAAACGAGCTTTGAATAATGTCGATATTGAGAAAAGGATTGGATGGAACCAGTCTTTAGTGTCTGATACCACTATTGGGTGGCACCTTTAAGTGTAACTGGGAAGACCTTGCACATGAAGTTTTTTGAACTGGTCTGCAAATATGTAAGTGTTCAGAATGTTTTGTGTACTTATGAGCTCTGGCCATTAGTCCTGCAAAAGATAGAGGAAGGTAAATTTTTATACTTTCAAAAAGTTTTTTATACTTACAGGTCTTTGCCATGGCGTTGATGGCGACTTCTCATTCAAGTTCTCCATCTGCATTGCAAATCTTTGAAACTTTACTATGTATTGCCTAAGTGATTCTCTTTCTTCTTGCTTCAGGTCAATAAGGTCGGAGGAGATTTCCCTTAGAGGGATGCTAGTGATGAAACGAGCTTTGAATAATGTCGATATTGAGAAAAGGATTGGATGGAACCAGTCTTTAGTGTCTGATACCACTATTGGGTGGCACCTTTAAGTGTAACTGGGAAGACCTTGCACATGAAGTTTTTTGAACTGGTCTGCAAATATGTAAGTGTTCAGAATGTAGCTAAGTTATTGTGGTGATCGATACTGCCATCATAAGTTTGGAAGATCACCATCTTGAACTTCGGTAGGAAACCCGAGCTTAATATGTTCAGAGATAAGGGTGAATCATCTCTGAGTCCGAAACTTCCAATCTCTCCGTGCTTCTTACATTCTCTAAAAATTTCTTTAACAATATTGCAAAGATCGGTGTTGTTCGCTACAGATTGGGCGAGCTCCCTACTGTCATGCATATAAGAGCTTCAAACTCGTCCTCCGGTAGCTCAGTTAGAGGTTCGTCCTGGAAAGACATATGGTTCTTTTGTCTCTCAGATCTATTAGAGAGACTTGGGTGCTGCTGATCATTATCAACATGTCTGCCTTTGCTGTTCGGGAATTAATGTTCATTCTCCTACTAAGGTTTGGCTAACAAGTGCCCAAGTACAGAGGTGAACTGCTCATAAGCTCGAGTTAGGGCGGCTGCCACTTGAGGATTGGTCATCAGAGGAAGTGGCATTGACACTTGATTATTAGGTCTCTCTTGAGCCGTTGGACATGGTAGATAAAAGGTTTTTTTCAGGTCTGAAAGAATTATGAGGTGTGTTCCACACTCACCGCACCATTTGATAATAAAAAAAATAAATTATATTCTCTGATTTATTTAATGAGAGTTTTTGAGATGAAGAATATGAGAATTGTCTTTTGGATTAAGCATTTATGATTTAACCTTTAATTAGAGTTTTTGAGATGAAGAATATGAGAATTGTCTTTTGGATTAAGCATTTATGATTTAACCTTTAATTAGAGTTTTTGAGATGAAGAATATGAGAATTGTCTTTTGGATTAAGCATTTATGATTTAACCTTTAATTAGAGTTTTTGAGATGAAGAATATGAGAATTGTCTTTTGGATTAAGCATTTATGATTTAACCTTTAATTAGAGTTTTTGAGATGAAGAATATGAGAATTGTCTTTTGGATTAAGCATTTATGATTTAACCTTTGCAACATAATCTTATTAATTACTCATTCCGTCTCATTTTATTTGCGTGGTTTGATGAAAATACATATTAAGAATTTAGTCAGTAAAAGTTATTTTGCCCTTTTTTACCCTTAATAACTCGTTAAGATAATAAAAGCGCTTCATTCAATGAACAATTATAAAGGTTATTATAGAAAAAATAATTATTTACATGCCTAAATTGAGAAACTTCGCAAAAATTTTGGGATATCCAAAAAATGAATAACAAGCAAACAAAATGAGACAAAGGGGTACATAATAATAACAATAACAATAAAAATAATAGTAACAAAGTAGTTACGTAAAGCTTTTGAGTGCATTTTTAATTTTTTAACAAAATAGATTTAAATACATTTAAAAAAAAGATTTAAAGGGCGTTGGTTCAACCGATTTATGCAGCTATGCTTTAGAGCTTTTATGTATTTGTCATTTTAATTATATATTTCTCATTTTTTTTTCATTTTTATAAGATTTATATTCAAAAATTATTATTGTCATTGTTATTATTACTATTATTTTCTCTATTTATATAAATCTAATGTCATTTTATTTATCCAAAATATACAAGCATATATTTTTATCTCGGTTCAAATTCAAATTTTTTTTCTCTATCTCTTCTCTATTTAGTATTATTTTTATATTTATTATTATTATCTCTATCTATATAAATTTAATGTCATTTGGCATTAGTTATTTATTATAATATTTGGGTATTATATTTTATTCAACATAATAATCAATAGTTAATGTAATATTGAAGTTTTAAAATTAAGTTGTAAAATATTTTTAATTATTTCATCTGAAATTTTGGATTATTAGAAAATTTATTATTAACTAGAACAATTTTAGAACAATTTTTAATGATTTAATAAGAGAGGTTTGATGATTAGAACAATTTTTCACATTGCGAACCAAAACAAAGAAAAATAAATTTAAGAAAAAAAATAAATTTTCAACAAACAAATAATTAAAACTAAAAACTATTTCATGTTTCTAATAAATAAAAAACTCAAAACAAACAAACGTAACAAAAAGAGCTAAACAATTAACACCTACTAAAATACGATTAATTTTATTGAAAAAGAACTTAGAATTTGATTGAGTATATTATCAACCCCAAACGCTATGAATAACAAAAATAATACTTTAACCCTAATCAAAACATTGAAGATGGCCTAAACTTTACTACAAGTAAATTACGTTAATCAAAGTACAATTGCCATTAAAAAAAAAATTGAAATTAATTATTAACTCATCTAATCATTTATTTACTGCCCACGTGTTTATACTAGAACTCCGTTGCACCAAAATCCTGTTGCACCCTCTTTTACGAAAGCAAAGTTCAAAATGGGAAAGAGAGGGAGGGGGAAGGGAGAAAGGCGGCAAATATAGTCAGAAAATAAATAAATAAATAAAAAGCAGGAGAGGTCTGGCTATTTCTGAAAACCTCCTTTTTGGGCAACAATAATAGCACAAAATCTATAAAAAAATCCCATAAACTCTCTATTTATTAGTGTTATTATACATGTATAAGCACAAAAGAGAGTCAATCTGTTCTTCTCTATTCCTGCATATATACAAGGTAATGGACTCGGGTACTTTTGCAATTTTTCTACTTAGTTGCTGTTTTGTCGAATACAGTATATTCTAAAACCCCTTATTTCACTTCTTCCCGTGCTTTGATTATGTTTTCTTCTTGTTGTTGTTGTTGTTGTTTTTTTTTTTTTTTTTTTTTTTTTTTTAATTCAAAAACCCCTCTATTTTTCCTTCTTCCCGTGCTTTGATTATGTTTTCTTCTTATTGTTGTTGTTGTTGTTGTTTTTTTTTTTTTTTTTTTTTTTTTTTGTTGGTTGGTTTGGTTGCCAGAAAATGCAGGGAAATGCAGACAAAGGAGATAGTATATTTCGGTTAAAGATAACCTCACTAGCATGAGTAGCCAAACTGTGTGGCTCAGAAATCTTTGTTTATTGATTTGTAATTCTTTTCTTGGAATAATGGAAAATTTAGGGTTTCCTTGGGGTTCATGTATTATTTTTTTTTTTTTTTTTTTTTTTTTTTTTTTTGTGTGGTTGTTTGGTTGCCTAGAAAATGAGGAAATGCAGACAAGAGATAGTATATTTCGGTTAAAAGATAACCTCACTACATAGTAGCCAAACTGTGTGGCTCAGAAATCTTTGTTTATTGATTGTAATTCTTTCTTGGATAATGGAAAATTTAGGGTTCCTTGGGGTTCATGTATTATTTCCATATCTGGATTAATTGAAATGATGTCTCCGTTTTGTTAGATTTACAAAGTATTTATATTCGAGTTCTTGTTTTTTTTTATGAAGCTATAATAATATTTTTCTTAGGAGTTGAAGAGAGAATTTAGCTAGGTCTGGTTGACTGTTGATTGGTTGATGCAAATTTGTTGAATTTGTTTGATGAAGAAATTTGATGGCCTGTTGCATTGAATCGCTTATTGTATTTTGCTTAAGATATAAAATGTGATTGTGATTAGGTTTTATTAGAGTATAGGCTGGTCACGGTTTAGTTTCTCACTCTTTCAATTTTTGCATACCTATGTGATCATGGCTAGAATTTGTTTGTTCTGATAACTTTCCCAGCAATCTACTCTACCATTTTGATTGCATGTTAATGAGAACAACTAGAAAGAAAAGAATGAAATTAACGCTGTAGAGAATAAGTATTGATTTGGTTGCTTATCGTCCTTTTTTTTTTTTGGGTATCAATACATCTCTAAAGTTTCCGATGAATTTCACGAGATTTGTGCACTCGTGAAAATACTCTTTCATGCACTTGGATGCATAAGTTCAAATATAACTAAGGACTTAGAATTGCATTTTTCTATAATAAAATTTTGTTCTCTCTTTTTTGTTTCTTTATCTTTTTGGTTCTATTGTCAAGTCCTTGAACATCCAAAGCTTTCTATCTGGTGGATCAAGCAGTTCGTCATCGATGCAATAACACCAAGAGATTTATATAACTGGCGATATTGAATCGATTGTGATATTTGTGGTGCCAACCATAATGACTTTGTTTTATTTCACTTGCTCCGTTAAAAACAAAATCATAAGCTTTTGATTATGAATGCAAGCAGATCGAGCAAGTGTAGTGAATAAGTTATAAGTGCATTCTAGAATTGCAATATTGCTTCATTAGCATAATAAATTTTTTTTTGCTTATAGCTAAAGCCGATGTTGCGATGGACTTAAAACTGCCAGTACTTGACGAATAAGTTACTATATAATGGTGTTTTAAATTATGGATTTATTATAACTCATAAGACATTGCATAGTAAACATTATCATATCCCCCACAAACATCAGTGGTTCATTACATAATTGTATATGGTCATCACGTATTAGTTTTTAGTGTTGCAGTTTCTCCCAAAATATGGTCCATTCTTCAAGCATTTTTCTCCTAACTTAATTAATTACCATATGTATACAATTCTGTTTTCTTTATTAATAAACTTTCCATATTTATGTTAAGGGATCTTTACTTGTTAGCTGAATTCTATGAAGCATCCATTAATAGTAAATTAACAATAATGTCGTCATAAAAAAGGGTTTTTAACCAACCAGATTGGCTGGTTGGTTCACCTATAGATAATTGCAGGTAGAGGTAATGGGTTTAATGTTTGGATCCTTCTCCCGAGTCTAAAACAAATGCTATTACCTTGGATAAAGATAAAAAGTCATTGGATGCATTAGTACTATATCCTTTAAGTCAAATACTGCAAATATGAACATAAGTTGCAAGTTGAAGGTCCAAAATAAAATTTCATGTTTGTTATGGCTGCGGCTGAAACATATTGCTCATAAGGTGATTTAACTGTGGTTCTAGTTTCTTTTTCTCATGGAGATTAACATTGATGTACCATCCAAACTAGTAGTTTCTTTGACATCCCCTAGTGTTTGTCATACACCTTTCATTACAATGCCATTGATAGCTAAAGGATAAACTTATTTAAAGAATCATCAAATAATGTAAATTATTGTTTTGATGTATGCTTTAGTCAACAATTTTATGTATTTATTTGTATCATAAATATTACAGTCAAATATTGCAAAAATGAGCATAAGTTGCAAGTTAATGGTCCAAAGTAAACACTACATGCTTGTGATGGTTGCGGCTGAAACATATTGCTCGTAAGTGATTTAAAACCATGATTCTAGTTTCTTTTTCTCATGGAGATTAATGACGCACCATCCAAACCAATAGTTTCTTTGGTTTCTCCTAGCGTTTAACATACACCTTTCAATATATTACCATTGATAGCTAAGGATGAATTAACATCAAATCCTAAAAATTATCTTTTTGATGTAAGTGTTAATTGACAATTTTACGTTTTTGTTATTTGTATCTTAAATATTACCATCGTTGGGTTTGGGATAACTTGCTTAAAATAGGTATTTGAATTTCAAGATATTTATTGATTGAGAGAAAATTAAGGCTTGATTGAGGATTTTAATTCCTAACAAAGTTGGACGTTATTCCCTAAACTATGTGGAATTTTCCTTCCAAGGAGTCTATATAAAGGGGAGAAGATCTCATATCCAAGATCATCTCATATATCTCTCTTTCTCTTAGTCTTGTACATAGTTTCATTTTCTTTAGAAGTTAAGTATTCAAGAGTCGTGCAAAGTTTCAAGGAAGCCATCTAAGCAATTTATCACTAGTTCTTATTTCTAAACTCTTAATCTTGTTTATTTCTTTCATTATTCTTATTGATTATGGAATATTTATCAAGTATACTAGGTAAAAGGACCAAATTTTTACACCAAATATATATTATGGTGGACCTGTATCTTATTTTGACTTGAGAGCTCTTGATTTTTTTAGATTTCATTTACCAATGTGTGCATGTATCAACCAAAAAAGAAAATCACATGAAGGGCCTTTATTTATTCATTGGCTTAATGAGAAAAATTCTCATCAACTGTGAAGCAACTGTAATATAGTAATTTAATTTCTTATACACATGTATGTGATATATTACACTTCTTTTTTATCATTTTAAGAAATCAAGGTAGATTTTTTGCTTTTGATACATACATTCGTGCTTTTATGTCATTCTTCATAGCTTAAGGCTGCACAAGGTTGGGAAATATTTTCAAAGTTCAGGCACTTGATTTCTTATGGACAAAGAATCATCCTAAATTTCTTCGTTTCACAACCCTACAAACACATATCATTCATTTGAATGTTTTGTAATTTACATGTCTGTCACGGAAAAGTTTTCAATTGATTGGATGTTAAATTAATTTTCTATATAAGAAAACTAAAAACTAGGGGTTATTTTCATGACAGGGAAGAAGAAGTGCGGAGATTAGTTCGAGTGGAGGAAAAAAGATAATGAACTTAAAATCTCTCCTGTGTGTATCCGTTGTTTTGGGTGGTTACAGTTATTTGATGCTAGATTAAAATAGTCTTTTCATGTATGTGTGCAACAAGTGTATGCGTACTTGTGAAGGTGGTACGCAGTTGTGTTCTAGTTATGCTGCATAGAAAGTTTTTATATGGGCACTTATATTGTGCCTTTTTATTTTTATCAAAGTGCCTGTTCTTATCATCCTCTTTCTCTCTTGGAATGAATTATGATAATATCTTTCATAATGTGGCATCCATTAAAACAAACTAAATAAACATGTTCTATATTTCTATATTCAGAGCTTATATTAAAGCTTATTATGTTAAATCTGATTAAGGCAGTGTAGTGTTACTGTTTTTTATAACGTGGAAGATATCAAAAAGGATAACCACTGGTATCTAGTTTGTGCACTTTTGTTTTGTTTCCTTTTTTTTTTTTCTCTCTCTTTTTGCTGCTATGTTTATGTTGTTGCATTTCTCAATTGTGCACTAATTCATGTTACAATGGTAATCTCTTGTCAATGAAGTTATAGATTTTTGTTGATAATTTGTTGCTTTGGGGAAAAATCATAGAGTTTCATTGCTAAAGATGTTTGATTTTATGATAGTAAGACAATGAGGTCCTCTTAGCTTCACTACATGATATTTTTATTCAAGAGAAGTCATTCAACAAAGTGAAAAATCACTTTTGGGAGTATGCTGCTTGAACTATTATTTAGTGATGCCAGTGTTTGCCCCATCCACATTGACAACCGATGTCCTTTTTTTCTGTGTACTACATCAGCTTTACTCAAGGCACACTTAAAGAGATAATTTCCATTGACAAATTTCATGTATGTCGCTCATGAAGATACTTTCTAGAATCAAGCAAAATGCAGTGTGCAAATCAAAATTATGTTTATGATAGTTAACTTTGTTTTATTTTTCTCTATCACTTCATAGTTAGTATTACTCTTTTCGGTTCATTTCTTAACTGAGTAATGTTATGAACTATATTCAGCTTGCAAAAGCATTACCCTCAGCAACAAGGTTATGAGGTGGGAGTAGTGATGGAGCAAAATTGAACTAAAAGACAGAAAAGGAGATCTGTGTATCTGTGGTCAAACTGCTTCTCTAAGTAAGTATATGATGTACTTTTTTGGTCTTGACTCTTGACTTCCGTTACTATTTTATCTTCCTTAATAATTTTAGGGGTGGTGGTACATTGCTATTTTGATCTCTGCAGTCTCCACTATGGAAATTTCTGCCATGAATTGTTGTTTGTAGGGGACTTTGCATCTAAAATCTTGTGACATCTGTGTCCAGTAACGCTTGCATGTTTATTTACTGACTATTGTAAATGGTCATGCACTTTAGCGGAGATCATACAACTGACCATTTAATAATCATTCACATTTATTTAAATAAATATTCAACTGTTGCTAAATCGACCAGAACCCCACCCCCCCAACCCAAAAATGTTATTGGATTTTGGAAATGGAATAGCATGTAAAGATGTATGGTTTGCTTGTAGGTGCTTGTCTGAAATTCATGGCTTATATTTGCTAAATGAAAAAAACTCCCATACAGGATTTGAGAGTTGTCCTCTAGAGTCACTTTTGAGTCCATTATATATGAACGTTGGCCAGTTCTTTCTGCTTCTGAAACCATTCCTTTAATAAATGACATAGGCAGATTCAATTGTTATTTATTTGTTTTTAACCATGTACCGATATAGATAACAAGAATGATATTCTCTCTCACTCTCTCTCTTCTTATTTGAAAAATGAATTTTTTTTTTTTTTTTTTTTTTTTTACAGGATTTTGAGGAGTTGTCCTCTTAGAGTCACTTCTTGAGTTCCATTATATATGAACGTTGGCCATTTTCTTTCTGCTTTGAAACATGTCCTTTAAATAAATGACGATAGGGCAGATTCCAATTTTGTATTATTTTGTTTTTAACCATGTACCGATATAGATAACAAGAATGCATATTCTCTCTCACTCTCTCTCTTCTTATTTGAAAAATGAATTTTTTTTTTTTTTTTTTTTTTTTTTTTTTTTTTTTTTTTTTTGTTGGGGGGCAGGGGGCGGGGCGTGGGGGTTTGACATTGTCTAGTTCAGAAAATTGCTCTGTTTTGAGCATGAATTGAAATAATCATCATAAATCCATTTATCAAATACATCCCACTTGTTGTCATATCTTACAATTTAACTTGAAAATTTCTCCATGCCGAGTTCAGAGTTTTTCATGTGGAGGAAAAAAAAAATTGAATGTACAACAATATGTCAGTTAATTATCCCTCTTCACTAATTCACCTACCTTTTGCTGGTTAGAACTCTTGCTATTAACCATCTCTGCATCATGGCCTGCTCATCATTGTCTTGGATTCCTCATCCTCATTCTACTTGCTGGATAGTGCAGTCTGGCTATAAGAGGCCGGGGTGCTCTTGTCTTTTGTTCAAATCCTCTCACACAAACAAATCCTGCATATAAAATTTCATTCAGCGACAAAGTGAAGCATGTCGAAACTTGCAAACCATTCTACTCTAACAACAGACAACAATCTTCCCAACATAGCACCACTGATATTTGGGGATCTTACTAGGTCCAAGGCTTAAGTAGTAACGGCAAAAGATTAATGGCTTCAAATACTTGTCTCAATCTTAATTTTGAGTGTTGTGCAGTCAATCATTTTGGCTCATAAACAGTTTGCATATTATTAACTGTTTTATTGCTCTTAGTTGCCATTGATATTCAATTTTTCAACCTGTTTGGCCAGTCCTTGAGATCAAGTTCAATTATCTTTGATTCTTATTGATTGGATGCATAGATGATAACATGTCTAAAGAATTCATTAAGGTGTTCCTATTTTATCACTTTGACTTTTCAGTAGTTCTTAAGCATGTTAATTTAGTTTTGTTAGTTCAGTTGTCTGATGAATTTGTTTTGGTTTCCATGAGGTTTTAATAGCTGAAGAATAAAAAAATATCTCGATGACAAAAGATTTGATCCTGGAGGCATGAAGTTATACATACTTACATGTGTGTAATTGTGCCTGCTATCACATGAAATTTTTATAGTTAAAACATTCGGCTTTTTTATCTACATTTTTACATCTTGTGAGTTGACTGTTAAATATTTTGCTTGTATGAGATCAGTCTATTGGTTACAGAATTTGCTATTCATATATTTCATAAAAATTTGCGAACTACTTCAAATCTAAAATATTTTGTTTTAAATTAAATTGGTCAGTCCATTAGTTTGGAAATTAGGAAGAAGCATACGCCTTTTCTATACAACAATTCACATTTTGCAAATGTTAAAAAAAGACTTATTGTGCCTTGAACTAGTCATCATCAGTCGTTTCATAATGGCCTTGATGTTTTATGAATGTTGCTCAGTTCAACTGAATTTTAATCCGAGCTCAATATGTTGTTTGAAAATTACAACTTATGTTACAACCCGAGCTGAAATTTTTTTCTTAATCTTTACTATTTTGATCGTCAGTGATGCAGTTACTTTACTACACAACATAAAGGTACATGATGCATGTGGCATTCCCATTTTACATTAATTTAACTACTTTTTCGCACTCAATCTTAGTATCTTTGACCTTGCTTACATATGTCGTTTAAAATTTTATCATTTTTATGTCATATATTCAACTCAGCATTCTGTTGTTGCAACAAAGCAGTTACAGCCCTATTCTTCTCCCTTATAGTTTTCTCCTTTACACTTTATTTGGGAGGAAGGAAAATGTATATTGACTATAATATTAACTAGATACATTAGTCAGTATAAGGGATCGCAACTTTACGTAAATCTGGTTAAAATTAAATTACATTTCCTTTCCATTTTCCTCCCTCCTAGGCATGACCATGGTTCCATGTCAAATCGAAATCGAATCGGTCAAAATTGGCACTAAACCATTGTCAACTATTTTTGGTTTCAAACCATAACCGAAATTACGCGTTTAAGATTCGGTTCTGGCTCTTCATTTTTTGAAACTAGAACCGGCATTTTTAGTTTTTTTTCGATTTTAAACCGACAGCTCTGGTTTCAAACTCTGAAAAACTCGTCCTTCACAAAATTTTCAATTTTGCTTTTCTGTTTTATTATAATTTTCAAAGTAACTTTTTAAAGAATTTTTATTAAATTGGTTTGGTTTTTTTCAATAATAATATTTAATGCTTATTGTTTATTATTGCTTTTTTTGAGATATATTATCTAATTTTGGTTTAAAATCGAATAAAACCAAAACCGGCGGTTTCAAACCCGTTTTAGGAACCACCTAAAAGCAGTTTCGGTTTTACCCTTTTCATAATTAGAACTATCATTTTTAAAACTGGAACTGGCGGTTTTAGAACCGTAGTCATGCCTACTCTCTCCTGAACAAAGAGCAAATTTAATGCTTATTCTAGGATCATAATTCCTATCAATAAAATTGGTCTATTTCACTAGGTGATCTACTATGATGAATATCTATTTCAATCTCATAATTAGTCTCCAGCCTAATTTAGCCACCAATGTAATCAGTTGCAAATAACATGGACTAATATCATGACTGTGTCTGTACCTATCACTTTGGTCAATGGCTGGTAAAATAAAGAAGGCATAAGTTTCAAAAGTTAAACCAAATGTTTAATGCAAAACAACTATAAATGGAAGTTGCTAATTCAGTCCCCAGGAACTAGTTATAACTCCTTTTATTTCATTGACAGTATTAGTGTATATATGTTAGGATTTTTAGTGTCCATCATATATTGTTCACTTTATCTGTAATAGTTTTATGGCTTTTATTACTTTTCCAATGTTTTTCTGTTATTTACTTTGTAGGAAAATAGTTCCATAGATCATCTAAATTGGTCCTTTCTAACTCACTGTTATATTAATTTTGCCCTCAGTTAGCCAACAGTTCATAATGTGAATTATTTGCTTGATATTTTATAATTTTGTCCAACATTAACTGAAATGTTGCCATTGTTTATGAATCAGTCTATATCCATTTAAGGTGTTTTAATTTTATGTTTGAAATTTAACTGAAAAATTTAGTCAGTTGATCTAAATCCATGTAGACACTTCACAGTTCACACAAAGACTGTTTGATCTGAGCGCATACCAAGTTTGGTCGTTCTTATATCTCTTTGACTTCCAGTACTTTATGCTTACAAATAAAATTGGATTTCTGTTTTTGATGGATTAAATACGTTGTCTTAAATTCTCTATCCAACTCATGTCGAATGAATTTGTTGAAATCTCTTCTCCATGTCCAGTATTTCGGCAGTAATCTGTATATTCCTCATAAACTTAAAATCTTTGCCCTTTTAACTTGGCCTCCTTGTAAATATTTTATCCCTTACTTTTCTCGGGTTACAATATACTTGCTGTAAGTTTTTGACTTAGTCTCCTTTGCTAACTTCTTAAATTATCTTTGACTTCAATTGTTCGATACAGCTTTTATAGTCTTAGATTTGTCTTGAAAATAAAAAAAAACATAAAAAAAAAGAAAAAGATACTGAATTGTCTGAATTTTAGGTTGTCTGTTTATTTGCAATGAGGTGACCTTGACATAGTTATGATGAGAAAATTTGCACACATTCACTTAGTTTAGAAGCCATTACAGTAAAATTGCAGCATTTCTCCTTTCTTTTGGTTCCTACATAAGTGGGGTCTTAAAAAGTGAAAATGTCTTCATTAATTTGGTAGATTGCGACATAAAAATTGCAGTGATCTATGTTTATTTTTCAAAAGAAAAAGTAAAATGTTTTATAAGAATGAAAGTATTAACTCACTGGTGGTTGTTATAATATCAAGAATAATGGATATTCTTATAAGATTCTGTAGTTGAACTAAGCCAAGAGTAAATCCTACATGTTTAGCTCAATCTTACGAACTTAAAAAACTCAAATATATTTAGCTGAATTCTTAAAATTATGTGTGTGACCTTTCAACTTGTTCGATACAGCTTCTCTATAGTCTTAGATTTGTCTTCGAAAATAAAAAAAAAAAACATAAAAACGAAAAAGATTTACCTGAATTGTAATCGAAATTTCTAGGTTGTCTGTTTATTTGCAATTAGAACGCGTGACCTTGACATTAGTATATGAATTTGAGAAAATTTGCACACATTCCACTTATTCGAAAGCCAATTACCAGTTAAACAATTGCAGCATTTCTCCTTCTCTTTTGGTTCTACAATTTATTGGAGGTCTATAAAAGTGAAAATATCTTCATTAAATTTTGTTTAGATTGCGACATAACTCTCTGCAGTGATCTATGTTATTTTCAAAAAGAAAAAGTAAAATGTTTTTATAAGAATGAAAGTTATTACTCACTGGTGGTGTTTATCTCTCAGAACTAATGGACGATTTACTCTTATTAGATTCTGTAAGTTGAACCTCCAAAGCCAACGACGTAATCCTAATGTTTAGCCTCCCAATCTCTTACTTGTGAAACTTTAATAATACTTCAAAACTATTATATTAATATTACTATTTAACCTTATATCTTAGTATTCTCTATAGATCTTACACACATCACACACCCACATCACCTATAAACGTCTATAATAACCCTATGGTGTGAGATAATATTGTGGTATCTCTTTTCTGTCGTTCCTTAATATAATATTGCTGGTGCTTATAAATCTTTTGCTTTCTTCTACTTAGAAACGTCCCAAACACTCTCAGCTCTCTCGAATGTGTACGCACACTGACTTTCCATATCTGTTATACGCAATTCCATATCTCCTGACGCATTTATTTATTCTATTGTTAACTATAACCTCTCACTCCCAATAGAGTATTACAGTTACGATTTCTTCCATTTTAATTCGACTGATCTAATACCATATAAATTTCTTCGTAATATTATTTCTCATAATATTTGTGTCTAGTCATTTATAAGTCTGTTTTACCTTCGTGTGCATGCATCATTAGAGTGTGTCAACAATTAATTGCATATTCGTGCTATGGAAATAACGTACTTATCTCTCGTTCCCTATTTGAATATTACGCGCTCATATTTCTCCATTTTATCTATCTCTCACATGAGGTGTCAATGATATTCTGCCATTGTAAATATAAATATTTTTGCTAGTGGAAAAAAATGAATAGCTTCCTGTGAAGTATCTGCTTAAATCCATACTACTGAGCTGTATATTCTCCTTCGCTTCATTACCCATAACTCTTCTATATACTAATAAAAGATGCACAGCCTAATTACAATATTACGAACCTGTGTATTTACTGATTAAACGTCTTCATGGTGTTCATTAATTAATGGATGGATCGTGTGTAAGTCGAATATATGGGTGCGGATGTCTCGTCCACTCACCTCCCACAACAACTATAGTCTTAGTATCATGTGGCTGTGTGTGCTAGATAATTTCTAATAAATTGTTATACTAATAGAACTACACTAATTGAAAGTAAAAAAATAATCTATGTCAAACAAATAGAATGTGATGGTAATATGATGACAATTTGTAATATGAATGTTTATACTTGTGACTCAGTATAGTCGATCGCGAGACTTATTATGCTACACTCTGCATTATATCTATATATGTTGTAGGGATCCAAACTCGTTGGTAGAGTAGTCGACCAATCCACTAATCAATCTATATCTAAGATGCCGTAAATTCTATTTTATCTATTTACTAATGAATATGGCTTCTAGCATTGATGTTACCACGTATTTGTATACTTTATCCTCATGTATATAACATCTAGTATAGGAAAGATGTTAAAAGTTGTCTACAAATAGATGTAGGCATTATGCACTGTGACATCTTGTTCCATCAGTAACTTACTTCCTTCTGTTGGAAAGCGAAATAAACCGTATATAATAATCTAATTTTTGTGAGTATAGCATACTCTATACCATATTTTTGACTAGATTGATCTTGGAATAAGATATGTATTTCAACATAAGATACTAACTAGCTAATGTTTTTAGTTACTTAAATAATTTGTTTGATACTCAATGACGTTTCCAATAGTATCACTATATGTTCTGTATATATAGACACACACACACACACACACATATAAACGTATAACCATGGGAGAAGTTACCCTGTGGATCTTTCTGTGCTAAATAATATTGCTGTGCTAATCTTTTTGCTTTTCTACTAGAATCCCAAAACCAGCATCTTTCGTGTTATGAGTATGTTACAGTTTCTCTTTGTCCAATTTTGTTGATTTTTTCTTTGTAAAATTTACTCATAGATATTTATTCAAGATTTAAGTTCATCTTTTATTGATACAATACATAATTCTGTTTTATTCTCTTATTGGTTGTCATTTAGTCTTTTACCTTGTGCATGACATTAGAGGGTCACAATTAATGAAGTCGTATGGAAAATTCTCCTATTGAGTTTACCCAATTTCATTATCTACAATGAGGGCAATGATATTTGCACTTGTAAATAATATTTTGTAGGGAAAAAATTGCCTAAGTATCTGCTAACCATTCTCTGAGTGGTATTTCCTTCTATAAAGCTCTACAACTCTTAACTAAAAGATCCATCTATTTACAATAGACCCTGTATTACGATAAAGTTCTGGTAGTCATGTAATTAAATGGGAAGAATTTTGTAATATCCATATAGTATCATGGTGGGGTCTAATAATTTTTGCTAAAAATGTTATCTTTTATGAACACCTATAAAATTTTTAAAAAAATTGATTGAATTTTAAATTGTTAGCTTTTTGACATATATCATCCAAAATATAGGAATATCTAGATGCCGGAATTATTTGTTATTTCTATGAGCATATGTTCTGCATGATACTATTTGTTTATTTTTTTCAAATAACATAGTATTGGAAGTTAAGGATAGCATTGCATACCTTTCCAAAAGCAGTACTGAATTCCTTCTGTTGAAAGCCCTAATAGAAATAATTGTCTTGTGAGATAGCTTTTACCTTTTTGACATAATTGGAATGATGATTTTCAAAAGATCATAAGCTAATGTTTTTATTACCTTTAAATATTGTTGATACAGAGGTTCCAAAGTACACTAATCGTCTTGGCAAATTCCATATCCATGCTCTTGGAACATTAATTGGGTTGAGGCTCGATTCATGATCTGCAAATACCTGCATGGCAATACAAACATCAATCTATAAAATGCGTGGCTTCAAGTTCTGGTCCACAGAAGATGGTAATGGAATCAATTAAGAATCTCCCTATTCCTAGTTTATATTTGGTGGTATGATGCGGTCTGTTTTTCCAAATATGCTTTTATACTCCAAAATGAGAATTTTTCCTTTTTAGTGAACTATCAATATTTTTACCTAAAAGTGAGTGATATAGCGGCATCACCTCCTGCACTCGGGCCTACTATATATATATATATATATATATGTATATAATTCTAATTGGAATGATGGGTTGCAGGTCAAATTGTTGGCCAAACTTTGTATTGAGTTATCATGATTGCAGGGCTGTCAGAGCCACAAGGTACCATCCTTTTAAGGTGGCAGGTTCAATGGGTGACCAATTCCCCAAAATATATTCTTGGCAATGGAAAATCTTGTTACACCATTGAACAAGATGTTGTTGGACCTTATAGGGAGGGCCTTGAGAATATGCTACTCTTAAATTTAGTTGGAAGGCAGTTAGCAAGCCAATCTACAAAAGAGCTGGCTTAATGCGTGATGTATGTGGAACCTGCTTTTCTCTGTTCAATTAGTCATATTGCATGCCAATAACTGTTTGATACTGAGAGCTCATATAACGTTTTGCGTTCACTCATAAGTTGCTTTAATACTCATTGGTTGTCTACTTTTGGAAATGGTAGATTGAGCACAAAATGTCAATGGTAATTACCTCATTCACTTGAAAGTATGTGCCATTCAGTGGAAAGCTTCCCCGCATTGCTGTTCTACATGGTATCTGCATGTGAAGTTCAGTATGCAAATATAGTAGTCATTTTTTCTCAGTTTTGCTTCAAGGTTATTGTCTATTTTGCACTGAGCTAGATTTACATACCAGAAGTGTTCCTCTGACTGTTTGTGAATTAGCTTCTCTGACACTATTGCATGAAAAGCATGTCTCATCATTGCATAATTTATTTGATTCCTGGGACTGACAATGTGTATCTGGTGGCTGAATTGAATTTGCAGTTTCACCTAGTAATCAAATATCAGTTAGCAATTATACAAGATGGTGAGGACATTCTTTATGCAAGGTTGGAGCATGCACTAGACTTGTCATTGATCCATGATAAATTTCAGGTTCATATGTTGCTATATCATGTTAACGTACCCTAGAAATGACATTAAAGATTAGAACACTATTTGCTAAACATGCCATGGTAACCTATCATCTGTTTTTGCTTGCATGCAGACCATTTGTCTAGCTCTATTTGGGTCACTCTTGCTAGCATATTACATGTGCTATTCACCTGGTGTCCATATTGCCAGAAGGTATGGACTGGGATCGTCACGCTCTCTTTTATCCATCTGCAAATTTTGCAACTCACCATTAAAAGAAAGTGATTGAAGGAGAATTGAGGATGTCAAATGATAAAGGGGAAACTAACCCCTTTCAAGAGAGGATGTGAATCTGGAAGTTCATACCTGCATCACAAGAGATATGTTAGAGTGCATGATTCAGGACTTGTCCTTTCCAGCATGGTTTAATTTGAAACTTTTTACCATTTTTTCCCTAGTAAGCAATTTGAGAATATTGCTACTAGGTGATATGTATGTAAAGTTGATCGTATGATTGTGATGAGTTGTGCAAACTATCTGACTTGACTCTCTCAAGCTGTATGCAGTCATTCTTTTGTGATTGCTTATTTAGATAAGGGAAGACTTTCACTTACACTTGGTGTTCTGTCCGTAGCTGACTGATATTCTTCAATTTGGGAGTGGGAATGGAGGCAGCCTCTGGATTCAAAGCAACTAAAGCCTTAGACATGTCACACTCTTGGAGTTCCATGTTTGCTTGCATGTAATTCTGTACGTTCACAGCCAATTCTTCCAGGTTGAGGTTTATTGTTGGTATTTCATCAGGATCCTCATAGAATATGTCCTCTATATCACTTTCTATTACTTCTGTGTGTTCTTGTTCAGGTGTTGCTGGCTCCTCAATAATAGGTACACAGCTAACAATATCAGGCTCTCCTCTTTTGAGCGAGTTTTCCTCTGGTGGAGGTAATGGCATGGGATCAATTACTATGCCAGGGCTTCTCTCTGTTGCTATGGGAACAGTTGAAGTCACTATACTTTTCTCTTCTGGGCCAGGCAGTGCAAGCCTCGCGCTGTATCAGAGGTCACTATTTCAGCTTCATTCTTTAAGTCATGCTTTTTGTACATGATGTGTAAAGTTGTAAGTTGAGTTGCTTTGGTAATTTTTTTAAATAAAAAATTGGTCCCTTTTTGGAGACAAGGATACCAAAATTTATTTTTTCTATCATTACCCCTATGCTGTCCAGAATCATAAAGATTCCACTGACCTGTAAAAAGGGGGCCTAATCCTTGGGGATGGGGTAATACATCTAAGAAATTATTCCATCGAATGTATTCGCCCCTGGAACCAGGATTAGCGACATGGACTAAATGTCCTGTCTTTGAAGTCTTTGTTTCCAAACCTCATGCCTGATCTTATGATTTCCTGAACATCCTTTTCCTAAGGTGAAATAGAACTGTGCTCCCAATATGCATCTTAGTAGAAGGTATCCAACTTTTTGGCATTATATGTTTAAAAGAAATTATCTGCCCTGTTATCTGAGATTTTCACAATTCCTATTTGTGCATATTAGTTTCATAATATAACAATTATTGTTACCTTCCCTTAACCCTTATATTACTGCATGATCAGAGAACCATTTGATGTTGCTACTCTAATTCACTAGCCAGCGTCTGATTTGTTTACCAGGCTAAAAAATTTTTTGGAAATAAATGGTGGTTTGTTCAATTCTGCAAATATGAGTTTCAAATAATTGAAACTTCACTTTCTGCTTTATCAGAATTTCAAAGTTTATGATGATCAGTCTATTAATGTTTCTTTGATAGGTAAATAGTGACAAAACAAACAAAGACAGGTAAGTATACCTTGCAAAAGCACTAGCGAAGTGTCTGCATTCTGCTCGCATTGGACATGCATTGCAATTTGGCTTACTTTTTGTACAAAATACCTGCATAAATGTTGAAGCTTGTAGGTGTTTATGTGTTTTCTAAGACGATCAAACAACAAAAATTGTTGCACGAATGTGGTAGCAAAAGTTAAACTCTTTTAAATATACCTTGCCAAATGTGATCATCTGGTAATGCAATTCATACCTGTAATCCCATTAAATAGAAAAATATCAGCAAGACCTATCACTGAATGAAATAGCAGTTTAACCTACATGAATTTTTAATTAGGAATACTGTTCTCTATGAACAAACGACTTCAATGAAAATTGTGGTTACAATGTTCGTTGATCAAGTTTGCACAGTCTTGGCCAGAGGTACTTTTGAATTGACTCTAGTATTGGGTACCTAGAAAGAGAATCCGGTTAGATTTTTATATCAATGGAAAAATTTAAAGCCAGTTGGCTGTAGATAAGTACTTACATTTCTAGCAGGTGTAATTGAAGTGACTCTGGTAGTGGTTGAAGAGGGACCCATCCTAATCGAACTGCTATCCGTCCAACATTTGTGTCAACCTTTATGAAATGTAAATGAATTATGTTGGTTGTAAGATTTTACAGCCTCATGTAAGTTGCTTTCCGTCTGCAATTCGCATATGTAACTTACCGGAAATGCAAGATGATGAAGAGTTAAGAGCCGCACACACTCAACACTTTTCAACCCCAATCCCCTCATACTTAGCAGATAATCCCTGCAGAATAACATTATTTCTGATCTTAGAATATGAATTATGAAGATTCAACGCATTATTTTCTATTCTTATTGGCTAATGTCATGCTATATATAATTTTGTTAAAATAAATGCAGTAGCTTTGACATTTTCAGAAGGGACTCTAATATTAGATGGCTTACTTTGCTTTGTCAGGTGGAACATCTCTTAACCATTCTAGATCAATGCTACCATGTTCCCGGACCAGTCGGTTTAGGAATTCCTGCAGTATTTTGCAACTGTTAACATCTTGGTGGATAGTTGGACTTGTTTGGTGATATTGGATGCTTAAGATGCCACTTGAAGCATAATCTGTGTTATTTCGGATTGAATTTAATTATTTACCTGGATTCGCTCTGCTAGCATGTTGTTCATCCCTCTTTCTTTAATAGCATCAGCTATCTGGTTAACACTAGCACATCTCAGTGCTTCATAGTCCAGGGAGTCCATTGTATCTTGGCTTCTTTCTTTTCTTTCACCATTTGCTAGTGCCTGCTTCCTTAAATTGTCCCAGTCAACTGCATCCTTTTTCTGACTCTGAGCCTTTTCTTTTCTTGTTTTTAAAGAATTTATACTTGAATTTACTTTGCTAGTAAAATGTACTTGCTCCAAATTTGATTCAACAATTTTCTTTTCTGAGTGTCCTTGCTTATCTGCCAACGTAATTCTTTCTTCAACATCAAAAACTTTTCCTGTGAGCTCAGGGGCATTTGAGACAGGCTGATTGTAACTACTCTGCCTGTTAGATTGTGAAGCAGCGAGATATGCTGGCTTGGCAATTGATTGGCTGTCCGATTGGAAGGTCTTGTTCACCTCATGTGGTTGACTGCCATCGCAAGGTCCAGGATTACCTTGCTCACACATCATTTGCTTGCTTAAGAAAGCATGTGGGTCCACTATTGGAGTTTCTTGGTGCATTGCTGAGCTATAGTGTTGTGCTGTGGGTTTGGCTGCATTCTCTGCCCCTTGTGCTACCTTTTTGCTTGTGTTGCTTGCATACTTTTCCTTGCTGATTCTGGAGGCACTTGAGGGCCAAGAAGATATGCTTTCCTCACCACACAATTCTAAACTTTCTACTTCTAACATCTCAGATTGTGCAGTTGAGTACAGCGGATAGTTACTGGGAGGAACCACTGGTATTTGCATATGAGGATTATTGTAATTGAGTTGCTGATTAACACTAGAAGTGCCTTTTATGCTGTAATCTAATCTTTCCAATCTTGGCCAGTCATGCCTATTTTCTGTAGCTTCTGGTTGCTTATGTCCATGTTTGGATGCCTCATGAAACAGTGACCTCCCACTGACATGACTATAGAACTCTTCAAACAAGGTTGTGTTCTCTACTTGTGGAGAATTTGTTGAAGATGTTCTGAGATTCTTGCTATGTTTGCATCCATTTGCAGGATCTTCTGCTTCTGAGTTGGAGCCTGAATACGATCTAACACCATTGTTTTGGACGACTGAGGAATCAAAAGAATCTTGTGATGACAGGGCTTCTTCTTCCGGGCTGTGACTATGTGCCTCTACTATGCTGGTTCTTTCTGTCCATGATGTCATGCATTCTCTCTGATGTTCTTTTGATTCATACAATGCAATAGAGATCTGATTGTACAAATGATTACATGATGAATTCTCATGCCATTTAATCGTGCCATTTGGGTTTGATGTGCTGACATCTGGTTCTTCAACCAGTATTCTTGTTCCATCCCTCTTATGATTTCTGTTTCTGGTTGACTTGAGCGGAAATTTTGCTGCTAGAGACATGAAGGCAGAACTGCATAATAGGCAAATAATTGAAGAGATTATTTAGGTTATGCATCAATAATACCATTCAGCTCTTGCCAATCTAGTTTGAAACTAAGACAAATCCTTGGATTTACCTTGAAAGATGGTCTGAAACGTTTTGTGTAAGGAAGACTCCTATCACTGAATCAACAACTGACCCCTTCCATTTTGAAAAGCGCCTATCTCCTGCAAAGGGTTATTGCATTCGCAAAGGAAGGTAAGTTTACTGATATCCAAATTCAGTTTTGGAACTAGTATGACAGAATAAGATTCTTTTTCTAACTGTGGACTGTTGGTCATAACTATTTGAAAAAAGTTCCACCTAGATTCATCAGTGAAAATCCCAAGTCAATGGTATAAAATAATATAAAATCCAATTTCCTTTGGACATGTGTTTAGGTACATTATCACTGGAATGAAGGTGCTCCAAGTTCTTAGGATATTTTTTAACTCATATTCTACCTTGTACCAGATGCATTCTTGCAATGAATGAATCGGCTCGTCCACGAAAAACTCTTCTCTCTTCGTCCCACCATCGTTGTTTGTCCTCATCTGTTTCTTCGAGGCCTTCACTTCCTTCTTTCCACATCAACAGTTTCCATACTCTCTCTGTCTCTGGGTCAAGGTCTACTTTAGGCCTTGGCTTGCGCTTCTTGATAAATTCAAACCCTTGATATGGAACTAGTGTTCCGTCTCCTTTGTATAGCACGAGTGCATTTTGCTCCTTACCCTTCATTTTTTCATTGAGACTGAGACGCTCCATTCGATAAATAATTTCTTCAATTGTGGCTGGGAATTTCTGCTTAGCTGGTCGTCCTGCATGAGAAATCAAAAGTGTTGCTTTTCAATAGCAGTTACTAGAATATTTTGGTATCTAGCCTTTTGATTGTACTGATTCGATAAAGATATCTTGAAATCAACATACCTTTTCTTCTTGCAGGTGATTGTAGACCTTTCAAGATGTCTGCTTGTTCTTGCAACATCTTACATTTTCCAGATGCAACAGATATGGATTGATTGGGTCCCACTTCCTGCTTTCTTGACACATCAACATTGCGTTGAGGGGCTGTTTTGGGTGGAGTTAGTGGGGGCATGTTGTAATTCTCAATTGAGGCAAGGGAGGAAAGGCCTTGGACCTTGGTGGATTTGTTGCTCTCTTCAACTCTCTCTGTGCATGAATTTTGTCCAGTCAATAAATTCTGCATTGATAAATCCAATCTAGAAGCCATCAGATGTCTGTACCAATCAACAGCTGCTTTGGACCCATTATTTTCTTTTCCTTTCATATAATTGCTTCCAAAGTGTGAGTTCAATATTTCACTATTCCTTTGTGAGGTGGAAGCAATTGATGGGACATCATTGCTGCTCATGGTTGACCTTGAATGGTTAATAGCTGCAACAGAGGCTGGCAAGCTATTTGTGTTTGTGTAGATTCTATTTTCAATCTTCTTTTTCTTGCGAGTCTCTGAATAAACTGCACTGGACATGTGGTTATATTGGCAATAATCAGTACGAGGCATCTCTTGACGCAATAATTTGCAGGGTGTATTGGCAGTGCAGTGGCTTGTCTGCTCAACATGACAATAGCCTCTCTTGGACCCTCTACCTTCAGTAGAATGAGGTGAGATCTCTGAAGTTGATAGAGGGGTATTCTGAGGCATCATTTGTCTAGAATTCTCGAGGCTTCTGCAATTAATTCTTGATGGAGAGGCAACTTGGAAAATTCCTGAAGCACGGATATGTTGCTGCGTTCTGATATCTTTATCTCTAACATCGGCATATATATTATTCATTTGCACACCTTCTGTTGAAGCTAATTGTATTGCAGCTCCTATGCTGTCTGAAATCGATATATAACTGGGTCCTGGATCTCTTCTGGTTGAAATTGTGATGTCATTATTTGGCAATTCATTCATGGGGGTGAAGTTACTTGTTGCCCTTGATTGTCGGTTTTTCAACAGCAGCTCACTCTGTTGGCTATTCTGCAATTCTGACTTAGTTCTGCATATTGATTCTGCAACTTGAAAATCTGTTCTCAAATTGTAAGTCTCTTTTTCCTTATTCTCTATCACCTGCTGAGCAATGGAATTGTTCTCCCTTTCCTCTCTGGTACTTTCAGAGCTGTCGAAGTTCAATGCTCTTCTACATGAAGGTGCTGCAGTTTTAGAACTAGGATATGTAGCCTTACCAATGCAATCTGCATTTTGAGATTCTGGTTCTCTCAGGCTCTTCTTGCGCACATATTTCCTCTTTTCCTTTGGTTTCTCCATTGGATCAGTAGTTTCTCCAATAGAATCTGGTTGTTGATTAGCTGATTCATGCTGGGTCTTCTTCCGCACATACTTCCTTTTTTCACTTGCTGTCTTCTTGGGATCAGCTATTTTTCTGGTTGCAGCTTTGGGTGTCCTGGTTGGTTTTCCTTCTACTACTACTTTAGGCCTATGCTTTCTTCTTTTTGGTGGTTTCTGCTGTGGTGTTTGGTTCAGGTCAATAACTTGGTCACTTCCTTTGCTGCAATCTTTTGGCTCTTCAAATGGTGCAGAAATGACAGCAGAAAACGAGTCCCCAATGTTATGCAAAAGTTCATTAGAATTTTTCTCGTTTGGAAAACCATCTATGGATACAACTAAATCATGTTGTCCGAGTCTTTCTTCACTTGTGCTTTTTTCCTGTGGGAAATTTACAGTTGTGCAGAGCTGGTTCCTCAACTTATTGGTCTGTTCTGGTGTGACTGGTTCAAGTTGAAATGAATTGTGAACACTTGATGATGCATAAGCTTCTGTACTTTGCACCGAATTGAGGTCATAGTTCTTATTGCAAGGAATGGGAAATCCATCTGTAATAAAGAGCATATTTGAGATAATTTACCCATTTTTTCTTGAGGATATGTTAAGGGATGACAATTTTTTTCCCTTGAGGTGCAGTGAAATGGACATAAATTACAATCTTGCAGTCTGTTCTGTCTCACTAATGGACTTGTAGCAGACAATTTTTTGGCAACAAACAATAAAATAACAGTTACTTAACATACTGAGGTCGAATTAAATTGCTAAATTTTCCTTCCTTTGTTATTATTAGCTAAGATTATGAATGCTAGGTGAATTATCTAGGATCAAATGCAGTAAATTCAAGATAAATCGAACTAATATTCTACGTTCTATTAATTTTTCTATAACCTGAGCATCAAGTGATTCACTAATTTTATCATTGATGATAAAGTAATATTCTTCAAAAAAAAAAAAAAAAAAAAAAAATTGCAGGATTCGCTCTATACAGGCGCCCGCATGAGCAACAACTTTTTTCCCTTTCCCTTGAGGTGCCACGCCTGCCAAAATGCCGATCACTAAAATCTTCACCACATCCTTGCCACCTATCGTCTCTGCTCTCACCCTCACATGGACTTGTGCCACGACCAAAGTTTTCTTGTGGCAACAAAACAATTAAAATTACACTCAGTTTACCTAAACTACTGAGGGCTTTGAATTAAATTGCTACAATTTTCCTTCCTTTGTATTAATTAGCTTAGATTATGAGGATTGCTACGGTGAGATTTATCTAGGATAAAAATGCAGTAAATTTCAAGATAAATCGAACTAATATTCTAGCGTTCTTATTAATTTTTTCCCGTATAACTTTGAGCATCAAAGTGATTCTCCAACTAATTTTCATATCATTGATAGATAAAGTAATATTCCTTGCAAAAAAAAATAAAAAAAAAAAAAAAGACTAAAAAAAAAAAAAAAAAAAAAAAAAGATAGAATCACTTACATTGAGGCATCTGATATAAGCTATTATGACCGGTGAACATGTTTGAACTCGAGCAGTGAGTTTGGTTTACATATTTTGTCTGGCTAGAGCTATTAAAATGGGAATGTAAATTTGGAATGAAAGGCCTTTCTGCCGTCATGCTCATGCTTCTATTTAAGCTTCTATTTGCACCGGGAAGAGGTGCTGCAGCCGCCAGAAGATCTGTTAAAGAACAACTAGCATCCCAATTTGCACTTTCACTTCTCAGTGCCTGTGTATAAGACCCTGCAATTTGATTTATCATTCTATTCCTCTGTACCAAATTCCCATTGCTACCAAATTGGCCTAAATGTTGAGCTGCTCTGCTATAATCTGATACTTGCTGTATATATCCACTGGGAAATCCAGCCAGTTCTTGCAAATTCCCCCTGCCCAGTTGGCTCCCATGTCTTTCCATTGGCATCGAATTAGATCTTGTTGTAAGAATTGGCTTTTCTGGAGTTATTGGCACCCAAGAATTCACATACTTGAATTCTTTATCTTGTGGGATATGAATTCCCTCTCCTAAATTGATCCTCGAATCCATTCAACCAATCTTTCTTTCTTTCTTTCTTTCTTCTTCTTCTTTTTCTTTTTTTTTTTTTTTTTTTTTTTTTTTTTTTTTGTTCAAATTTCCACTGAATTGCCAAAAATTTTCAAGATTTAAGCAAACCTCTGTCTTTTTCTCTATCTTCTCCTACCCCATTGCTGAAACCATCCTGCAATAACCAATACATATTCTTCCCTTAGTCAAAAACCAAACTAATTACCTAATAAAGCAAACTTTTTTTTTTTTTTTTTTTTTTTTTTTTTTTTGTTCAAATTTCCACTGAATTGCCAAAATTTTCAAGATTTAAGCAAACCTCTGTCTTTTTCTCTATCTTCTCCTACCCCATTGCCTGAAACCATCCTGCCAAAAACCCAATACATATTTTCTTAGTCAAAAACCAAACTATTACCTAATAAAGCAAACTACCAAATCAAAAAGAAAAGGGTAAAATTAAAATTAAAGGGAAAATGAGGGAGAAAGAAAAACTCAGGTTGGAAAGTACAAGAAAACATCCAAATGATAAATGCAGGGATATTATTTTCCAGATATTTCTCAACGACTAATTAAAACAGACAGCTAGCTAATATTATTTACTGATATTGAAACATGTAGTTAATTGAAAACAAAAGAAGAAAAAAAAAAAAAGAAGAAGAAGAAAGCATTACAGAACAAGATTGGCTGAATCAGCATAAATTGATTGAATTTTAATCAGTTTTAAATTATTATGTAAACCCATTAAAAACTATATACCAAAACACTCCAAAAGAATCTTTCTTTTGATTGCAAAGAAGAAACGTAACCACTGTTTTTGGTTACCCATTTGAAAAATAAGACAGAAAATTAAAAGAAATGGTAAAATAACATGTTCATCTACACCAGAGCTCACCGATCTGTCACTGTGTCAGCTCAGCCTTCTTAAACGAGTCAATGCCGGAAAAACCCAGTCTGTCTATATGTTAAACAAGCGAGGAAAGAGAGGGATAGAAGGTAGAGAAAGAGAGAGAGAGAGAGAGGAGAAGAAACCAAACAGTGATTATATATATATTGTATATTATATATTTTTTCACTAAAATGCATGCACTGCTTTGGGCACCCTCTTTATGTTTTATACACTGGGCACTTTGGGCCCCACCTTATTGCATCTCACTTTCTGTTTTAAAATTTTCTACATTCCTTCCCGCCATTCTTTAATATATGACGTGACATTATTTTATTTATTACTCTCTCTGTTTATAAATATAAATTTTAAAAATATAAAATCATATAGTTTGTTAATATATTATTTCTTTTTTCTTATTTAAATATTAATATATTTTTTTTTGTCTCATTTTAATTATCATCTAAAATAGTATATAAGAATTTTAAAAAATTAAGTGATAATTAAAAGTGAAATAGGAAAAATATAATTTAATTTTTCAATATAGCTGATATGGAATGCCATTTATAGAACCAGTAATTTGCTGGTCCAAAAATTAACACGTTGCTAATTCCTAACTCAGATTAGAATAATAATCAAATTGAGGGTTTCTTAACCTCTCTTTATATATATATATATATAAATTCCCTTTCACCTTTTTGTAAAGTTGTGTATCTTGTAGGTTACCATTTGCCAGTTGCCCCTTCTCTAATCAAAATTAACTTTCCATGAATGACAACTTATGTAGAAAAAATTGAAAACCGAACTATATTTAATTACTTTCTATTTTGTTTTGGTTATTCAGTTTTCGGCTTCGATTTTTCATTTTTTATGTTTTCAATTTTCAATTTTTGAATTTGTTATTATAAAACAACTAGTAAAATTGAACTGTTTGATTGAACTAATCAGTTTAATTCGGTTTCCGAATTTACTTTGGTGCGGCTCGATTTCAAAAAAAAATATTAATTTTGATTTTCAGTTCTTTTGTGGTTTGGTCTAATTAAGAGAGATAGAGCTGATGACAACGACTAACTGCAAATATCTATATTTATTTATATGTATAACATGCATTATTCCATACTCAATTTATAATATATTCAAATTGAAGGTTTCTTATACCTCTTTCTATATGTATTTAGATTTGTTTTGACCCATTTATAGGTTGTTTATCTTGTAGGTTACCATTTCCCAAATGAAATTAAGTCAAAAATAACTTGCCAAATAAAATTAAAATTACAAGTACAATATCTGTTTCTATTTAAATCAATTATCATATAAGTATAGCAAATGTTTAGATGTGACTTAATCATACAATAATGAAATTATTTGCTTTTATAGTTAAGAAAATAATTGAATAATGCCAATTTAAAAAAAAATGGTTGTAATAGATTAAATTTTCCTTTTATCAATTTTTTAAAGTTGTCTTAAAATAATTTTTAAATAGCTTTTAGCTTTTTCATTGAACTCTATTTTTTTAAAGTATTCGATAATATAGCGTTGGACTAGCTTGTAGAGGTTACAGTAATATTTTATAAAAGGTAAACACTTGTGATGTTTAGCTATTAATATTTTATAAAAAACTACTCAAACAGCTAAACGCTACTAAAATAATTAATAACTAATTTTACAAAACCGGTGCTTAGTATTCACTGTATCTTTAATTAAAGGAGAAAAGCAATCATCAATATCTTTATAAAAATAGTAATTTAATGAAGATAACAAGTGCTAAGAGTAAAGTTTTAAAAAATAATTAATACTTAATTTTTTAAAATGACAAATGAGATGAACACAGAAACTTATAAATTGAGACTTAGAGTGAAACAGAGAAAATATAAATTAATATGAAATGTCTTTTATACAATAACTAATTATTTTTCTTTATTACATAAATAATTTTTAATTCCTTTTATATAATATTGAAATTGAAGGTTTCTTATATAGCTTTCCATATAAATCTAAATTCCTTTTTACTCATTTGTAATCGGTAGCTTTTCTTGTAGGTTACCATTTGCCAGGGTGCTATTTTCCAAATAAAAATTATTCCTATACATGAAAATTTATTATGTTCAATGCACCCTCCTTGTCTCTTCAAAAATTAAAATTAAGTACACAATATATTTCTATTTAAATACTATATTATTATTATTATATAAATAAAGTATATAATATTCAAATATTTTATATATGCAAACTGACACTGAAATTCCATTTCTGTGTAATTAACCCTTAATTATTAATTATCAAAAAAATTAATTATTCAGTCAAAAAAAACTATTAATTAACTCTTTAATCACTGTCAGGGTTATTTTGGTATTTTTCTTCATTGTCATAGTACTAAACGTGATATACCGGCCTTGCCTGTAACGCGTGTTTTGGAATTTTATGCATGACCTAAACACGTGACTGACTTGTACTGGAAAAAGTCTAGCCTAGCCCTAGGGGACTTTCTTTGTCTTGTAGTTTGTGCCAAAACTATCTAAGAGGTGCCCAGATTATCAAAAGAGGTGAACATACTAATATAATTTATTTATTTATTTTTAAATTAATAATAAAACCCATGATTGTCAAAACTGAAGTGCCCCCTGTCAACCTTGCATGAAATTCACGTATTTGCTTTATCTTCCATGCACGTTGAAAAATTTATCTGCTCGATCATTGAATTACTAATTTAAATAATTATATTTTATTTATAATGCATTCATGCAATAAAGCGTGGTCTTGTTTTTTTCTGCAACTACGTGCTTGAACATAATATTTATGGGTCTAAGGCGGCCATGGCCCTCCAAACTTTTAGAATATTATTTTATCACATGGAAAGTTACAAACACGATATATTATATTTTTTATGAAAATTTTTTTAATTTACTTTTAAAAGATCTATCTATGGCTTCATTTATTTTTACTACAAGTAAATAAAATAAAGTTTTTTTATTCACTATAATACACGTTTGCATTGTAAGGTATAATTTAGTAATAAGTATATATACAGCTTGACAATAGATTCAATTTTAAATTTTCGTTCTCCAATATTAAAAAACACACATGTGTGTATATATATATATATATATGAAAATAATTTTATCCAATTGAAATTTTCAAAATTATTGCAATTTTGTCTCTTTTCTTTTTAATAGGAAATATTTCACTGGGTTTTTCAAAAGACAAGAATTTTAAACTCTAATTTTTTTATATGGCTAATTAAATTGAGTAGTAATGTTGAAATTAACGGCCCAAAAATGAATCAACAATGATATGATTTAATATGTATATTTGAATCTTATAATTTATTTATAGTTTATAAGATTACAATACTAATATTTTATTCTATGAAATATACGTGTCTTTTCTAAAAAATATGTATGAATAAAAAACTATTTCAATCGATGCATAATTTATACGTGGCACAATTTTATTAATTATGAAATTTTAAGTACTTGCATATCATATGAGTGCAAGGTAATAATATGTCTATAATTTTTTAGATTGATTAACAAGTTATTGTTGTCATCTCTTTATAGTTAGTTCTAAAAATTATTTATTCATTTTTCAAGAGAAAAATTATAATAATACCTTTTTTTAATCTTATTTTGAATGTTTTTGTCATAATATTGTCTGCATAAAAAATTTAAGAATAAAAATATGTTTTTTTTTTCCTGTCTTGCTAATTTGCTATTCAAATTTTGAATATTATTTATTTATTTAATTAATTTGCAACTTTATTAATTTAATTACTTTAATTTTATTAATTCAATATTATTTTATTAAAACACTCAAATGAAAACTAGATTGGATCAAGAGAAAATATATCACGAAGGAATAAAGAAGGGACATGATCCCGCTCCTGAAAACTAAACCCAGAATCAACCGCACTCTTACAGGATAATGGGCAACTCGATTTGTTGATCTCTTAGCGAAAACAACAGAGCCATGATAAATCTCATTCAAAATATCCTTACAATCACAACTAAACCAAGATAAAACTTTCAAAAAATTTGAATCTTGAAAAAAGTGATCAGAAATAGGAAGCCTTTCATATAAAAAATTGTTTTATTTACAATTAAGGTATAACATTGAATTTGCGTAGTAGAAAGATAATTAGTGAGAAGAAGTCATAATTATTAGTATTTAATAACCAATTAAGGAAAGTAAAGTTTATTTGTTGGCATAAGATTTTAAAGTAGAATTCTTTACTTCCTTATGGGGTTGAAAACTACATAATGATAGTTGGAATCTATACGTTATTCAAGAATATAGATTTTGTTTCCTAATTATTTAAGGATATATTTCTCTATTTAAAAATCACAAAATGCCTACTTTAGTATATAGGCCAAAAGGTCAAAGGTGCACCAAGTAAAAAATAAGCTCTACAAGCGATCTCCTATTGCATATATTATACTCTATCAATTCGGTCAGCTATTTCAAATGAGATTGTGTTTTTTTTTTTATATTTTTGCGAAGCGGTTTATTATTAGACTTTTTATACAAAAATGTAAAAACATATTGATTTATATCTCATATTTGTATAGAGTTTCCACTTAATAAAATTTCTAGTTTGATTTCTTTTCAAAAAAAAAAAAAAAATCTAATCCTTCATTTGTAGACGTGTTTTTATGTTCGAATTAAAAAATATATTTTTAATAAAACTATTGAAATTCCAATATTAAAGAATTGAAAAACCTGTCAATCAGACGTGGTCTGATTGTTATTCTCACTTATGTGAGGAGTAAAAGATATCAAGTGTTCTCTTTTTTTAATTCATTTAAGGCTTTTATAGGTCAAAATTAAACTGCAAGCTACGTAACAAGGGGTAACCTTCTCTTTAACTCATCAAATTCATGAAAACAAATATGATCGAAAAGACTTGAACTCAAAACCTCACACTTTTTACAAAAATGAGAAAACCAATCAGATCACCACCTCATTGGCATGTTACCCTTTCTCTCTATTGGAGTGATTTGTAATAAATAAATAAGTACCATTCAGTTGAAAATGACAAAATTTTTTGAACAATAAAATGAATTATTTTTAAATTAATTTATGTTTTTATAATATAAATATATTTTTTACTATAAATACCTTCGTATTCTTTTAGATATGGAATCATTATCGTTTTAAGATTGATTATTATATCTTTTTATGAATTT